AATGCCTTAACGTCTGCTTGAGAAGGAATTTTAGATATGTGCGCTCAATTCAGCTCAGATACAAAGATATTCTAATTCTGCACTTTGTAAAATTTGAAACTAAATACATGTCAAATAAGTAGCGCCAACTTCATGACAAATACAGTGCAATATGATGTGTCTGAGCTATGGTTTATGAAATATTTCTCATTTCCAATCTTCCTGAGCTTAAATATCATAGTTGCATCAATATATGTCTTAATATCATAAAATTGCAAATTATACTTGGAGACCTGAATCTCCAAGGTTAATTCTTCTAGCTCAGATGCATTACAAGGACAGTAATTTGATTATTTTGTGAAGTTATAAATTATTCTACGCAGTGAGACTATTTTTGTACAGACAGTAGTTTTGTTGAAAAATTACCAGTGATATTCCTTTGTTAATTGTGATTACATTTTCTGTTGAGTCAGTTCTTCCGTGGATCATTATTCTTAATAATTGTCCTCTTATTAGACATCACTGTCCTCCTTGTCAAACCTCTTCAGCGCTGAGATGGTGCATTTGGTTTCAGTTACACCATGAACATTTCCCAAAATAATTATTAGTTTAATGAATGATTCATGTAAGTTAATAAAACACTATAGAGTATCAACTTTTTGATTTGCTAAGTTCTTATTAGTAATTTTACATGTAGATTTTCAAATATGGTGTCACTTTGACAGAATTTTGAATATTTAATGATACAAATCAAGATTTTTTCTACTTGCATCTAGTCTATTCTGATTTATCAGAGTCTAGGTACAGATGGCGAATTCCACACTGAATTGAATCAGTCTTCACATATTGTGACGGATGGGTTATGTGTTACCGTTAGTAGTTATGATTAAAACGAAAAGGCAGGAAGTTACCTACCTGTACAGTATTCAAATACTTGTATAAAACAATGATATTCTGAATTTTTGAATAGATAAATTAATCACAAGATGAGTCAGTCTCAAATGAACATAACATTGTGATTTATGTCAAGTTGTACCTGCTTTGTAGAAAGCAATGTCACAAAGACCATTAAAGTCCTGTCGAGCTGGTCTATTAAATTGCCACCTTAGAAGATATAGTATTAAGATATTGATTGAACAATGTCTTGCTAGCATAAGCCTAAACATTAAACAATAGGACGGATCCCTTATCAGTGAAATATAGTGAAATGCTCAGTCTTTGTGATAAAGATGCTTTATGGAATTCTTGCTATGTTTCTCGTTTTCTTATGCATTCCAGTGATCTCCCCAGCATGCGCTGCACCCACTTGAGATTTTTAACTCACATGGTGAGCTATTGCAATCACTCACTTGTCCATCTGTCTGTTCATCCGTCCGTCTGTCTGTCCGTCCATCCGTCTATCAACAATTGGCCAGTTTTAAAACCTCTGTCAATAGGATTCCCGTTAAGTTATTTTTGTTCAACATCTATGGCTCCTGGATCAAAAGCTCGCCTATTTTCAAAATGGCCGCCATTTCACTGTAAAGAGTATTTGTATGAAATAATTTTGTCACAAAAAATCGGCAAAAAATTATATCCGTTTTTTTTATTTTCAGCCATTTTAGCCATCATTCACTTTTGAGCAACACCATGTGAGCCCAATATCCACCGTGCACGGTATTATTATGTCACCACCAAAAGTGGTGACATATTGTTATGGTCTCCGTTTTTTTGCGACGGCGGTTGGTGGTTGGAGGTTGGCGTCCGGCGTCTGTAACAATTTCTTACAACTTCCTATAACTTAACAAATACTGTTTAGACTGACTTCAATTTTTTTCTAAATCATCTACATGTTCTCAGAAGTTCAAATCTGACTTTACATTAGACATTTGACCTTCAATGACCTTCTCAAGGTCAAAAAGGTCTTTTTTCAACTTGCTTCACATTGACTAAATTTTTTTTCAAAATCATCTACATGTTCTCAGAAATTCAAATCTGACTTTAGATTTGACTTTAGATTTGACATTTGACCTTCAAATCTGACTTAAGATTTGACATTTGACCTTCAATGACCTTCTCAAGGTCAAAAAAGGTCAAAAAGGTCTGTTTTCAACTTGCTTCAAATTGACTAAATTTTTTTTTCAAAATCATCTACGTGTTCTCAGAAATTCAAATCTGACTTAAGATTTGACATTTGACCTTCAATGACCTTCTCAAGGTCAAAAAAGGTCAAAAAGGTCTTTTTTCAACTTGCTTCAAATTGACTAAATTTTTTTTTCAAAATCATCTACATGTTCTCAGAAATTCAAATCTGACTTTAGATTTGACATTTGACCTTCAATGACCTTCTCAATGTCAAAAAAGGTCAAAAAGGTATTTTTTCATCTTGCTTCAAATTGACTAAATTTTTTTTTCAAAATCATCTACATGTTCTCAGAAATTCAAATATGACTTTAGATTTGACATTTGACCTTCAATGACCTTCTCAAGGTCAAAAAAGGTCAAAAAGGTCTTTTTTCAACTTGCTTCAAATTGACTAATTTTTTTTTTCAAAATCATCTACATGTTCTCAGAAATTCAAATCTGACTTTAGATTTGACATTTGACCTTTAATGACCTTCTCAAGGTCAAAAAAGGTCAAAAAGGTCTGTTTTCAACTTGCTTCAAATTGACCAAATTTTTTTTTCAAAATCATCTACATCTTTTCAGAAGTTCAAATTTGACTTTACAAGTTCTCAGAAGTTCAAATCTGACTTAAGATTTGACATTTGACCTTCAATGACCTTTTCAAGGTCAAAAAGGTCTTTTTTCAACTTGCTTCAAATTGACTAAAAAAATTTTTCAAAATCATCTACGTGTTCTCAGAAGTTCAAATCTGACTTTAGATTTGACTTAAGATTTGACATTTGACCTTCAATGACCTAACTAGGTGGTGACATTTTGTCATGTTAATGCCTTGTTTGTCATTAAAATAGGCTTGCACCCTCCTGAGAACCCATTTGCACCCACTTGAAAATGAGAAAAATCATGAAAATTTGGCATATTTTGACCAAATTTGGTCTAAATCGTGAAATCAAAAAAAAACTTCCATTTCCTTGGGAGGATACTGCGAATCTGAATAGCATGTCCAGCCTAAGATTAAATTTACAGGTCATGTTGCATTGCATTCATTTATTAGAGAACAATGCAAGAGTTGCACCTCAGATTACTCCACCCTAATGAGGACCTCTCACTGAACCCTAACCCTGGGACACCTGGGTAATTATTGTGCCCATGTAACATCTCGAGCAACTCAATATTCAAAGCTGTTGAAGCCAGTTGAAGAAGATATTAGAAACGCTGCTTGTCTAATCATCTAAGAATAAAGTTAAATCTGATTTGTGATCTAATATAATGTATTCTGATTTCTGTTAGATTGCATCGCAGTAAACAAGTGATTAGGTGATACTGTTGCATGAGTCGAGGTAGAATGATTAATTTCCCTGGCAGACCCCTGGACAACTTATTGCATTATATTTATACATTTCAAGGTAGCGTGTCTCTCATAGAGGGATATTGAAGAAATGTGTGTTGAGTTAACTCGTTTATCTGATGTTGTCAGTATCTAAAATTCCAGCTACATCTGTAAAGTGTATTATAATATCTCCGCTTAGGATAATTTTGTTACTCATATGAAAATCTAACTATCAATAGTTTCAATTTTGAATGCTAATGTTATGTGATTAACCAGACTTCTGCTTTGCGAAAACTATTTCACCTGTGATTTACTACTATAGTTCCTTGTGAAATCATCTCTGAATAGAACACCGGATTGGTCTTTTAAAATGTAGAGTTTGTTATTAACCCTTTTTGTCTGATAATAAAGCAGTGCTTTGGTTGAGTAATGTAACAAAACACCACTTATTTATATGATGTTCGTGTACTACTCTAATGCTTCCTGACTCTAATTTCAATAATTAATTCTTTAGAGATTGCTTTATTATTGTTCATATAAAAGAAGCCGCTGGAATTCAGGAGCCAAAAGCCATTACATATATTTGTTTCATGTTGAGCAATTTTATCTAAGTATCAAATGTAACTTAAAACTAATAAGCAATCAATTCTATAAGTGCCAAGATTTCTAGCATCACTGAACCATAGCACTGAATTAATGGCAAAGGTCCATTGAGATATGCACAAAGCAGCATCCCTACTAACCAATGCATTTCAATGATGTTTCTACAGTCGGTCCAAAGCAGTCTGTGTTTTATGTCTCATGTCTTGAAGATTGAAAAATACTACACCCACCATGTACTTTTCTTTACCAAATCAACATTACCAGGAAAATAGATATACAGCTTTACAATTGAGAAATGTTGCCAATTATCATTAATGAGTGTGTGATATTGTAATAATGACTAGCACTCACAGACAACCCTGACATATGTAACTATGAGGGTCAAACACAAGTGTATTATCTAGTACCAAACAAATTTCGCTTTCATCCTTATTAATCAATTTGCTCTTAAACTGAACAGTTGTCCTAATTGATTTTGATGACCACTTTAAAACTAGCCCTTGGCCTTAGGTCAAATATCAAATAATAAAACAGTAAAGATGCAAGGGTGGGGGACATTTAAATTGGTTTATTATTAAATATCTATGGCTGTTATGACTCTGAAGTAGTCTAGTGGCTCTAGTATTACTTGTGGCTTATTGCATTCTTTGTCTACGAAATCAATTTGTAATTACTGTATTATCCTCCTCCGTCTTCATAATATGGTGGTACCCTTCTTCCATTGTTTAATATCCTTGTTTTAATTAATTAATGTAAACCGTCATTTCTGAAAGTTCATCAAGTATAATTCTTAAAGAAAATCAGAAGACAGACATTCTATTACTTTAATGCATTTTCCTGGATTTATGAATAATGGATGATCTTATGAATCAATATCTAACTATGTCACTCTGACATGACACTGACTATTTGATAAAATCTTACTCAAAACAATGTAAAGATGGTAGCACCTCTTAGTGTCAAGCACTCATGACTTTTTCTTCAGGAAGTGCAAAATCATCCAGAGCTTCAGAGTGAGTCAAAAGAGGGCGCTGTTGATCTTCAAAGTGACTCCAGTTCTGAGGAAGAGATTGAAAACGAACCAAAGAAAAAGAGGGAGCGAGATGAGTATGTTGGAATAGAAAGTGTGGAGCTGCACAGAAAACTTAAGGATGTTGACCCAGAAATGGCACTTAAGTTACACCCAAACAATAGGAGAAAGATTATCAGGTATTTGAAGTCAGTCATAAACAGGATTCCTACCTGGAAATGACAGGCAAATGAATTTTTCCACCACCAGGAAATGTTGGGTAATTTGGAAATTAGAACAAAGGGCCTAAATGTTGGGAATTGAAGTAAAAATATATCTTGGGAATTCAGGGAATTTTGTATCAAAGCTGAAAAATATAAAAATAAAAAATATAGCCTGTTTATAAAGTTATTGATATGCATGTAGTTAACAGTAAACACTTTGATCTATCCTTTTTCTAGTTTGGTACCACTTCTTAAAAGATGGTTGATACATGTTTACCTTTTTTACTCCATTTTAAAACCTAGTAATATAAGATTTGTTACAAAAGTGTAACAATTTGTCACTGATGCCAACTGCTGACACTGACTGCAAAACACTAGACACCACTTCTTTATGATTGCTTAAAAATGTAAGACACTACCATGCTTTAATACATAGAATTGGTTATGACATTACTAAGATATTGATTATCCCATCGAACGAAGTTCGGAGGGATATAGGGAACGCCTCCGTCCGTCCGTACGTCCGTACGTACGTCCGTCCGTCCGTACGTACGTCCGTCCGTCCGGGCAATAACTCAAATACCGTTGGCCCGATTTTGTTCATATTTTGTACACATATACCCTATGGGGGTAGAAGTTCTGCTCGACGAAAGCCGATTTTCAAAATGGCCGCTCATTTCAAAATGGCAGCCATTTTAGTGACGATTTTACAGTAATTTAGGTGCAATATGTAAAACTGTAATAGCAATATGTTTTAAATGTAAAAAAATTATAAAGGACATTAATAATGCTACAAATGTAGATATTAAAGAAGCACATGGCAGCCATCTTGAAAAATGGCGACCTTTACTCATCATTTTACGATTTTTGCTGTAACTCAAAAAGTAGTGGAGCGATTTTGTTCATATTTGGTATGTGAATACTATAAGCATTGCACACTGTCTAAAGACACTTTTGGTAGAAGGCAGCCATTTTTCAAAATGGCCGCCATTTTAACATATTTTACTATAACTCGAAAAGTAGTGGAGCGATTTTGTTCATATTTGGTATGTGAATACTATAAGCATGGCACACTGTCCTATGACACTTTTGGTAGAAGGCGGCCATTTTGAAAACAATTTTGAAAAATGGCCGCCATTTTAACGTATTTAACTATAACTCGAAAAGTAGTGGAGCGATTTTGTTCATATTTGATATGTGAATACTTTAAGCATGGCACATTGTCTAATAAAACTTTAGAGAGTAGTCGGCCATTTTGAAACATGGCCACCATTTTTATGTGTGTTATTTTACAAGTACGTGTGCGATTTTACAAGAGGTGGCTACTTAAAAGCATATTATTTCTTCTGATGACAACTTGGCTAGTGAGCAACCATTTTGAAAATGGTGGCCTTTCTGGTGTGTTGTTTTATGATATTTGCGCTTCGTTTGTAAAAATGCCAGCCATTTCTGTTCGATGGGATTCGCTACGCTTTGGCGTTGCCGTTGTTCTGGTTAAACAATTGTCTTGCCACCATTACATAGAATCTTATGAATCAACTCCTTGCTTAACCTGCATTTTGTAGGGCTTTAGAAGTGTTCAGGAAACATGGCAGTAAGATGACAGAGATACTGAAGCTCCAGCATGAAGAGATGGGATGTAGCCATGCTTTGAGTGGCCCACTAAGGTTCCCTAACACTTGCTGCATCTGGGTGAATGCAAATCAAGATGGTAGGTTCCTCACATTTTCTGATATATTTTTAGAGAAAGATTATCAATATTTAAGAAATATAGACCGAAGAGCAGGTATTATTATATCGACGATTAAATACCACTGGGCTACACACAAACGTTTTCTCTACCCTGAAAGACCGAAAGGAGTGAGGGGTTCAAAGCTTTTGTCTAGCCCTAAGGTATTTATTTCTCGAAATAATACCTGATCTGAGGTCTATATTACGATTTGAATGTGAAAACGCACCAAAATTTTGAAAAAGCATCACTTCATTTTCTACTTCTGGTTTACCCCCCTATCACACCAAACTAGTTCTTACCCGTTCTTGCCAGTCCTACGAAAACGTCGTAAAACGGGCTCAATCTGGCTGTGGTCGGGAAATATGTCTGAAATAATTAGCTGCATGAAATAATTTACTGCATGAATGACTTTGGTGATTCTATCTGGGTGGAAGTTAAAATCAATTTTAAATCAATTCTTTTTGGCACATACTATCGTTCACCATCTCAAAACCAAGCTGAGACTCAGGATTTTTTTAGTAGATTTTCCATTACATGTAGTAAATTGCTTCACTCTAAAATAGACTTAATGTTGATAAAAGGTGATTTTAATGCCAGGTGTAAAAGCTGGTGGGCATTAGATAATGAAAACTCAGCAGGTAAAATATTATATGATTATTCAGAGTCGTTGGGTCTTTTTCAACTTATAGATGAGCCGACACGAGTTACAAATTTAAGTAGGTCATGTATTGATCTTTTATTTACAAACAACCCCGATCAAATAAGCAATACAACAATTAAACCTCCAATTGGATACACAGATCATAGTACTTTATCTACTGACTGTTGTTTTACTACTTTGAAAGAGGCGCCATACTCAAGACGGGTTTGGTACTATTCCAAAACAGATATTACATTACTTAACAGTACAATACGCGAAGCAAATTTGGAACAGTTAATAGAATCGGTAAACGATATTGATAACCTTGTGGAACAGCTCAGCGATAACCTTTTGAAAATATTCTCTGACCTGATCCCAAACTCAGTAATTAAATTCAAATCCACTGACAAACCTTGGTTTAATGACAAAATTAAAACCCTGATAAATAAAAGAAATAAGTTACATTATAAATTTAGAAAAACCCATAACTTGACCTACCTTCAAAAATACAATGAACAATGCACAATAGTTGACAATGCCATAGAGGAAGCTAAGCAAATTCATGATTCAAATTTGCGCCACAAGCTCAATTCGTATAAACATGGAAGCATGTCTTATTGGTCCATCATATCAAAACTTTTGGGAAGATCTAAAAATTCAAAAATACCGTTTTTGTTTGACCACAATGGAAATTGTATTTCCAGAGGCAATGAGAAGGCAAATTTATTTTTGGAACACTTCATAAAAAACTTTCATTTAGATGGAGAAGCTGGAAATATTTCTTTGAATCTCAGAACTCCAAATCAAATTGACATACTTTCGACCCATGAATCCGAGATTTTTGAAACACTACTTTCATTAAACATAAATAAAGCAACCGGCCCTGACATGATAAGTAATAGAATGTTAAAAATGGCAGCACCAGCCCTCTCTCCCATTTTATCTAAACTGTTCAACAAAATGTTTATTCTTCAAACCTTTCCTCAAAAATGGAAAATTGGGCATATTTTACCTGTTCATAAAAAGGGTGATAAATCTAATATTCAAAATTTCCGTCCAATCACCCTCCTTTGTTGTATTTCAAAAATAGCTGAACGTATCATTTTCAAACGATTATTTGACCATCTACTATCAAATGACCTATTTTACAATCTTCAAAGTGGGTTTCTGCCAGGGCACAGCACTCAGGCTCAATTATTAAGCATTATTGATTTTATAACAAATGAAATAGAATCTGGGGGAAATGTAAGGGGGGTTTATTTAGACATTTCAGCTGCGTTTGACACCTTACCTCATTCTTTGCTACTAAAAAAACTTGAATCTTATGGAATTGGCCCAAGTATTCTATCACTTTTAGCATCATATCTTTTTAAGAGACAAGCAAAAGTTATCCTTGATGGTCAAGAGTCTGTTTTGAGCGATGAGGATTATATAAATGCTGGCGTTCCACAAGGCTCTATTCTTGGACCCCTACTCTTCCTGATTTATATAAATGATCTCCCTGAAACCTTATCAAGCAAATGCTATATTTATGCAGATGACACATCTCTATACCAACCATATTCCAAATCTCATTGAAAGTAACACAATTTTACAATCTGATCTTAATTCAATTTTCCAATGGTCCAAGACATGGAAAATGAACTTTAAGGCCTCTAAAAGCAAAGACATAATTTTCTCAAACCCAAGGAAATGTGAATATAACGTTCCTGACCTCAAAATTGGTAATGATGTTCTACCTCGAGTTGATCATCATAAACATTTAGGTCTCATACTAGACAAACACCTAACTTTTGACCAACACATCACAGAGCTCACCAAGAGGATTGATAAACTATTAAACCCACTTAAATCTCTAAGCAACAAATTAAATGGAAAACACCTGGAATTAATCTTCAAATCTTTCATACTTCCAATTTTCGACTATTGCGATATTCTTTATGGTTGTGCAAATATGAATAAATTAAAATCCATTGATCAATTATACTACAAAGCAGCCTGCATTTGCTCAGGTGTACTACATGGAACATCTTCAACAAAAGTCTTTAACTGCTTAAATTGGCCAAAGCTATCTGATAGAAGACAAATGCATAGACTTTTCCTGATGTACCGAGCTTACAACAATAAACTTCCATCCTACGTTTTGAGCATTTTTAATCAATATCGTAGAAATCTTCCATCAATAACACGAAGAAGTCGTGACTACCAAATTCCAATCAAAACCTCAACATTTTCAAATAGATCATGCGTATTTAAATCCATCATTGACTGGGAGTCTCTCCCACCCGAAATTAAAGAATCACCAAATCTAAATATTTTTAAATCGAATGTAAAGAAAAAATTAATGACTACTTATATCATTAATTCCTCTGAGATCTCCTTGACAAGGAGCCAAGAAATTTCTCTGAACAAGGTGCGCTGTGATCTGATCTTCCAGTCCCATTTTTACGCCCACAATTTTACTAATGTACCATCCCCTACATGCAAATGTGGGTATAGCAATGAAACATCCATTCATGTCATGTTCTCTTGTAACCTTAGATCACAATATCTTAAAGATTTAGAGGATGCACTTACTCTTCTAAATTTTAATTACCCAGCATTTAAAAACCAGCAAGACAAATTATCATTGTTTTTGTATGGAGACAGAAGTCTGCCAAAAGAAGTTAATATTGAAATTTTAAGGCTCACCTCAGCTTTTATTCAAAGGTGTGCAAGCGTGTAAGTATTTCTTCCACCACCAACTGTATAATTTTGTACACAATAATTCTTTTGTTTATTGCAAATTCATTGTCATACTTTCTTTTTAAATCTTGTTATTATTTAATTGTGGCTTATAATGCTTCATTGCAAAGCCGCAACATGTGTATGTAATAATTCTATTTTACTATGAAATAAATCAAATATAAAAAAATAAAAAAAAATAAAAATAATTAGCTTCTTCGTTCTTAAACAGTCTTCAATACGTCCATCTCGTTCGCAGTTCGTTCAGGTCGCACCACATCGGTGTGCAACGTCGTAGAACGCGTCCCTTAGTCTAGAAGGTCAACATGACCTGATTACAGAACGGTATGGTCGCCATCGAATTTTGAATCGATTCAAAATTCTAAAATCACATTCCCGTCTGAGAACGTTCATAAATTTCGTAAATAGACCTTAGAAAGTTGCAGCTACGTTCACTCCGTTCGCACACAGTTTAAAACCAGTTTTGAAGAACGCAGTGGCAACTTGTTTGGTGTGATAGCTTTATTTTTGCTAACTCGTTCATAAGCAGTGTTAAATATGTTCTTAATCAGTTTAAACCCGTTTGCAATTAGTTCTACCTCGTTCTCAACACGTCCTCAGACAGTTCAACTCGTTGTTAAAACGTTCCTAGTAGGATTGAAGTACGACAGTTCCGTTCGTAGTACGTCCAGCTCGTCATTAGTACATTGTCATTCGTTCTAATTGTAGAACGTGACGACCATGAGAACATTTTGAGCATTGTCTAAGTTCTAGAGGACCTACCCGTTCGAGTACGTTCGATGAAGTTTGTAAATAGATCCCAAACGGTTTTTAGTAGGTCCAGTCCGTTCGTACACAGTTTTCGAGAACGTAGTGAGAACTAGTTTGGTGTGATAGTAGGGTTAGCGTTTAGCTTTGAGAAAACACTTAGTACAGACCAGGTATTGTATTAACGAATTAATACTGGGTGAAATATTGACTTTGTTTGCAGTTTATAGAAAGTGTAAATACAGTCATGTCCGAACGATTATTAAACCCTCAATTAACAGTCATAACACTGAACATATTTTTCTCAGCCACTCATATTTTTGATATTCCAGTATTGGATGATCGCATCAACAACAGAACAGAAGATATGATCTCAAGGGGTCTGCTACAAGAGCTTACAGGTTTCCATGACAACTACAATAAGCAGAGGCTTCAGGAAAACAAGTAAGGGAAATATCCCATTTCTAATTTTCATTTCAAACATTATAATGAGGTCATCGATATTCTGAATGTGGAACCATTAATGTGTTCCAGTTGACACTAGCATACAAAGAGAGCATTTATTTTACACTAGGATAGCTTGACTATATATTTAACCTGAGGGATATATCCCTTAGAATATTCAGTGATACCTTCAGTGGATATATGATATAAAAGGGCATCTAAAGACATGAGTGGGTGTAAAAGGACCAACAAACACAGGAACATACTGTCATTGAAATTCCTTGAATTCCAGGGCTCCAGATTACACTCACGGAATCTTCCAGAGTATTGGTTTCAAGGAGTTCCACCAATATTTGATCCTGTCAGAGGATGAGAAGAACTCGGAAAGAGGGAGACTATTGTTCAAAGAAGGTAAACCATTCTAGTGCTTTAGTGTTGGATAAAATCTAATACAGAGTTGAAAAATGGACCTAGTTTTTTTACTGAACTAATGTCTCATTGAACTGGTTACAGTGTCTCAAATAATTGGAATGAGAAATTGTGTTGAAAAATGTTTTCATTGTCTTAAACTCATCTGAAACTTGGATGTCAATGTGGAGGGAATGTACAAAGAGAATAGTTTGAGCCACTGGAGTTTCTGTTTGAATAGACATGATTGTATGAAGAATTTTAATGTTGACAACATCAACAAATGAATACATATAACAGGCCCATAGTCAGGATTTGCCAAGGAGGGTTCACTTTTTGAAAAATTCCAGGGGGGGTTCATTTTTGAAAATTTTGGTCCAATTTTTGGCCTAAATCACATAAAAATGCTCAGAATAGTAAAAAACTGCATGATTTTGAAAGAATTTTTGGCCGGGGGGGAGGTTGAACTGGCTACGGGCCTGTATAATAAACATAATCAACATAAAGATGTACTCTTTAACTTTGCAGGTAAAGAACAGTTACAATTGGTAACTAGAAGATATGCTAGGAAACAGAAAAAGTGGATAACAAACAGATTTTTAAAGAGTAAGTGCAGATGATAGTTTTTATTTCACCACCAGAAGTGGTGACATTTGTACTGTCTTCAACTTTTTTGTGACGGTGGTCTGAGTTCGGTTTCTGTAACAAATGCCAGGTGGTGACACTTTGTATGTTAATGCCTTAGAATTATTTCAATGTAATGCAATCTGTGTTGTTGATTCATAATTAGATAAATTTCACATTTATTACACATTTACACAAAAAATGTTCAGTTTTAAACATTTACACAAAAATGTTCAGTAATTGCACATTTACTCAAAATGTTAACATTTATTACATATTTTGCTGAAATATCCATTGCTACTTTAATGTGTATATTTCTGTTTCAGGGCCTGGGGAGGCTCCTCCTGTGTTTGCTGTAGACTCCACATATCCAGATCAGTGGGAGAAAGATGCACAGAAACCTGCTTTCTCTGTGGTAGAGGCTTTCTTGAAGGTTAGTTAAGACTAAAGAATAATATATTATATGTTCTATATGTAAGATGAACATGTATGCTCTTGAAGTGTATGTTTTAAGTGTATGTCTTTATGTGAAGTACTTATATGACAATGTTTGAAGTTGAAGTTTATTCTGAGTAGAATGCAAACTGTTCTTTAAATCCAAAACAGATCCTCAAAGATCAATCCTGGATTAACCTAATGAGAATACAAATGTATTGGAAAAAATATATTTACTTTCTTTCAAACTATGGAACTTCGAGATATGGAGCTGTACACTAGTCATGTAGCAATGTCCTCAGTATTTCTTTCTACAAAAAATGAAGATTGAGATTTTCAGGATACCATTCCTCGATCATCAAATCCTAAAAAATCATATGTCTATGTTTGTGATTATATGTGAGAATGTTTGATGGTGAAGTTGAGATGTATGAACACATCAAAAGCCTGAGATTATATTTAATGAGTATTATTTAAAAAATATATTTCCTCTGAACAGTTCAAATACAATCAAGGCCAAATCACCCAGCATTTCTACTTCAGTCTATTGCATGAGTATGTTTTCAGGGAGAGGACTACCCAATAGAGCCACTTCCACGAGGGGACAACAGTGCAAATCAACCTGAACATAATGTCTGTGAGGCATGTGAAAAGGTTTTCTTAACCAAGCAACAATGGGCAGGTATTCAGGACTTAATTTTCTTGAAATTGTTTTCTTGTTTTAACATTATGATTGCTTAATTTAGAGAAAAAATACCATGAATTCAGAAATTCTGTCCATATATACAATATTCACTATGCTACATTATGTACCATATTAGAATATAATTGTATGAGAAATCACTTTAAGTCGTTAAGTAAATTCATAATAAAAGAACTATACACAGAAAGATGACAGCTACTGTGTATTTCTTGTATAGAAATAACTACATATCAGAAATATTGTCAGTAGATGTTACACGTAAAGTGTTTTGTTTCAGACCATACTAAAAGTAGGAAACACCAAAAAAGGCTTGCTAAATGGAAACACAATAGGAACAAAGCTGACTCAAATGAACATACAAATAAGACTGACAATAGTGATGGGGATAGTGTTAATGAACTCAATAAAAATGACACCATTGCTGGTCCAAGTTGAGTTCAACTCAATAAAACACTTCTCTGGCTGCTGATACTATGGCGACTCCTTTACCAATTCATGTGGACTACACCGAGGAAAGTGACTCCTTTGTTAAACATTTGATCTCACGACATGGATAAAAATATCAATTAAACTATTTTAGAACTTGAAAATATGCAAATATTTTTACACCATAAATTCAATTAAACATTGGAAACAAATCTCCAGTCACCATAGCAGGGACTTTATAAAAGAGGTACTTGGTCTGCAATATAAGTTTTTGTATCATTTATATAAATATATCTTAATACCCTTTCATTAAATGTAACTCAAAAAAACAGTTATATTCAGCTGCCTGTACCTTAAACAAAACTATTGTGGCATTTCAAATTGTGATATTGTTATATTGCCATATTGCCAAACATAATGCTTCAGGTTTACAAAGCTAGGATTAGAGATTATCTTAAATGAAATTCAGGATGTTGGGATTATCCTGAGGCAAATCAAATATATCTGCCCATAGGTTTGATGTTATGATAGGTAGATATATCACCAAGAGATCATCCAAGTTTCTTGAACTATGGAGGTAATGTAAACATTGATAACATGGAAGATGAAGTCAGTGCTGACAGGGAAGAGGTTGACAGACTCAATCAAGTAGAAGGGTATCAGGCCCGTAGCCTGAATTTTCCAAGGGGGGTTCACTTTTCCAAAGAATTCTAGGGGGGTTCACTTTGGCAAAGGATGTGTCTGGGTATATGCCCTTTTGGTCCCTCAGTCAAATGTATGTGAAATATGGTTTTTATTACTGTCCTAGTTATATTTGATAAGTATATTTACTTTTTCATGAGTTTTGATGCATAATTAGCCCCCTGCTGAGAGTCAGAATAAGTAGCCTAACAAACAAAAAATAGTCATTATCATAGAAAAAAAACACCAATGGTAACATGTATGATATACAAAGAAGAAATAACTTAAGACCCATGAAGAATTAAAAAGAAAATCATATTTTTGAAATATTTTTAAGGATTAAAATTTTTTTCAAATTTTTGAATTTCCCGCCAGTTTAATTTGAAGGGGGAAAAACAAGATGGCTGCCATTTGATGTTAGAAATATCAGAAAAAAAGTTGCTTCACTTTTAGTTTTCACGGTGAGCACAGTTTTCCGGTTTGGGTTTTTTGACTGAATCTGACTCTTCATCACCAGGGTCATGTATAGGGATTATAAAATTGAAACCAAAATGTTGTGCTCAGCATGAATTTGACTGAAATATGTGTAACTTCACCAACACAATTGAAGTCTCAAAACTGGATGCTCAGTAACTTTGAGTGACTATAATCCCTTGATTACCCAGATAAACACAAATTCACTTATCCAGAAATACCATTCAATGTCTATACAAAGAAAATAAGCAATGTTTTGGAGGATATGTTTCAAACTTTTTGTATAAATAATTCATTTAATATTTGCCATCGATTTTTTTTCAATTCTGACAAAGTGATATGCACCGTCTTTGATGCCAATATTCTTCATCAGTTGTTATACAAATTGATATTTTAGTAATCTCAGAAGAAGGATAAGATATTGAAGTTTAATAATATGTGTGATTGAGTTGGTTTTTCAGACATTACAATTTCCAATATTTTCTAAGTCGATACCCAGACTCATTCCCAGACTCATCCTTTGGCCAAAAATCACTCAAAAAATAGTCAGAATGGTGAAAAACTGCATGATTTTGAAAGAAATTTTGGCCAGGGGAGGAGGGGGGTTGGGTTCGCCTGAACCCACCCCCCCCTGGCTACTGACCTGGATATTCAAATTGCCAATTTGTCATTTTGAAATGAGGTGGTTGCTAAATTTGGATAAAGCTGCCAGAATTTCTTCTGTAAACTTGTGTTTTCTTTCCTAGATTTCATACCCATTTTATGTTTAATTTTTTGCACGAGATTATACTAAAATCATATTAATATAATTCGTGTATATACATTTCATGGATGTTTAAAGTTAGGGGTGATATGTTGGATCAGGGCAAATTCCAGAGGCTTCATTTCAAAAAATTGTACTTCAATCAGTATATTTCTGCATGAGTGCATAATATGCATATGTAGAACATAAAGTTGTTTCTTTGGTTTCCACTATTTTATTATCAAAACAATAAATAACATTAGCATTTAACACACAGTGTGATGTTCTCTTTTCCTACTGTCATGATTAGATCAAAAACTGACAAAACAATAAAACAATAAATAAATATATATATACGAAGTAACGATATACAAGTATATGATGTTCACAACTTTGATATAAAATCAATCCTAATAAATATATTTAACTGTATAACTTTTGACTTGCTTGTTAAAGGCAGAATCAGAGCTATAGGGAGATCAATATGCAAGCAATGTGTACAGCTGATCTACCAATGTATTCCTGATTCGCTCAAATATAATATCTCCCAAAAGATTCGTGATATGTTATCAATTGATGAAGTTACTTAAGATTCAAAGTGCAAAAATTGGGAAAAATTTAAATTCTCCCAAATAACAAAAATGGTAACCATTCTTATAGACAAATGATTGCATTGGTGTAAAAATCTTTAGTGTTCCTCAGATAAGGTATATACTTGGGGTATTTTTAGAAAATAGACATGGCAAGGAATAATATGAGCCCAAAATATTGTAAAATTGAAACAATTTTCATAAAGATGGGCACCAAAGTAATCGAAGTAATTGCTAGATCTGATTCTGCCTTTAATCTAGCTAACGGTATGCTGAATGCAAGATACACATACCCAGCATAAGAGTAACTGGGTTCAGCAATCCTCTGATAATTACATGCCATCCTGTTGAAATTCTGATTGCACCATGCCAAAGGGGTGAAATCACCCTGCCAAAGGGTGAAATATTGAGATATCTTTGACAATTCTAGTAAAATTAGCACCCAGTGAAAGAAATCCTGGGGAGATCACTGACATGTACAGGGTGGGCCAAAAATGTAACCCAAACAGATGTTAATAACTCAGTCATCCATCATGGGTTTAATATTTGTTTTGGTTATGTATTGTCTACATTTGCTGGTACATTTGCTTAGAATTATGAAATTGTAAACAAAGAGATATCACCCGTAAGTAAAACAGTAACTTATGTTTATCATAAAGCTATAAGTGAATTGAAATTTTATGTTTTGCAAAAAAGATGTACTATGTATTGTAGCGATCAATTCTAATATCGCTTTCACCAAAAATGAATAGTTTTCTTCGTATAATTCCTTGCTTTTAATGTAGATTGAATAGTACCCGGGGAATAGTAATTTGATCTTTTCCAAGTATCACACTGATTCCAGACCAATGACTGTTTGAGATGCCATTATTTAATAATCAATAGTTACTTGGATTGATATATAGAACAGTGCAGTAAATTATGATGTACTACACAAACTTTATTAATAATACACATAAGGGATTTATAAACACGTTATAAGTGATTTTACAAAATCTCTCCAATTTAAGTTGTACTTAGCAGCATTAATATTATTGATAGTGATGAAATATCTGGGTGTTATTGATATCTGCATGCAATGGCTGAGACTGAAGTACATATGTTACTAGTTAATATTACAACTATCCATGGTGATACCAGTTAAAATATTTTTTTGATATAATTTCGGTAATAAATCAAACTACATGTACATACAGTACATGTATTACTGTCATTTCATTTTTCTCGTGTCATCCTGAACATGTCTTTGCATTTCCAATTGGTATCTACCAGATTCAAATACTGTCAATAAATAGATGATTTGAACTTTAATGTTAGATCATACATAAGTGTGCGCTGGTTAAAACATACTCTAGTGAGGTAATTGCGGTTGCATACAAACATTTCCAATATTTTTGGTGCCAGCTGGGGAAGGAGGAGGGTGAACTGTGTCAAGAGGTGAAAGGGTTTAAAATGTCATGGAGCTTTAAACATTGGAATCAAGCAATATAATTTAATAGCTTCATAATAACAGTTTATACAGATAGCTGAAAATCAAGTATATATTCTATGTACAATTTCTGTAATGTGTGAGCATAAACATATGATATTACTCCTTTGTAAATGACATTTCATTAGTTTTTTTGCAGAATTGGTGTCCAGCCAACATTAATTTTCATACCAAAATAGTGATTGATTTCACATACTAATCTCCATGATATTGCCTTCAGTATTATAAAAAAACATGTAATTGATAATAATAATCTAATATCACTATTGTTGACTTTTCACTATTCAAATGTGAATCCTTGACTCGGATAATACTCCATAAACAATGGTTTCATTCTCCCTTTATTTTCCTTTAATGAATATATGCGTCAGAACTGAATTTGCTACATCTGAAGATATGACACAATTAAAATCCTACGACTCTGGCAAACATTTGGGGTGTCATGGGGGTTGACGATGCTTTCAAATCTGTGAAGTGGCATGGATGGCCATGGCTCTCCCAATAGAGGGAGCCACAGTTATTGCATGAGTGAATCATGACGGCATAGACATCTTTAGTACCATGGCGTCTGAAAATCAAAATTGAAGAAATAGCATGGTGTAAAATGACATTAATATACTGCTTTCTGTGAAATTGTTGACCAATGTACTATATTGGCCAATATGATTGAAAGTGAGGTCTAATGAAAGTAAACTGTAAAAGGTTGTTAAAGAGATTGTTAATATAATATTATTTATGTAAGACATCATAAGACAGGCATTTTTTATTGAATTCATTTTTTCAAATGTCAACCTTTGTTTTATTACTTTATGTTTTATGTTAGATCTTTAGCAAAGGATACCTCTGGAAAGAATTGCATGACACAGTAGTTATATGTCGTTTATGGAAGAAATGTATGTCTACGTACAACCTGCTATAGATTAAAATTAATTAATTGTCATTTATGGCATAGGTGAGCCAATACATCTGTCCACTCACAGGTGACAGATGACACATGTATGTATAGAGTCTAGACCCTTGATATTACTCTGAAGATCTGAGTTGCTTTAGATAAATAGATTATACTGTTTTATGATGGTAAAACTTATTCAGAAGTTCATGTGATTTCCCCCCCCCCCCCAGGTACCCCTGTCAACAAGAGTTGTCACTATAAACATTTAATAAATGCATGAATGATAATATTAATCAGTTACTCGTAATGTCAATGTTCCCATTGCATGATTTCATGTACCACACTAATATGTTGTACCTGACTAGTTTTTTATAAAGCAACTTCCAATCCACTCCTTCCTCGAAACTTCCCCCGAGTCGCTGCAACATTGTCGCAAGTTGGACATCGTTGAAGTGAAAAAGGCACATTTGTTTCCACATCTGATTGTCTGAAGAAATGTTATACATTGATTGTTGCGTCTCCCCAGAATGGACGAGGTCAATGTGGTCAGAAAGTTGGACAAGAATATTCCGGATGCAGTCGTCAGGGAGATCACTAAGTGTCAGCTTCCCATCATCTTTACGCTAGGGAATACAATGATGAAATGTTTATATTCATTGTTATGATCTGGTTCATCATTGACTCTTGTGTTCAGTATTACTTAACCGAGGTAAAAGGTCAATATATGTATTAATGCATGCTGTGTACCCGAAAAACGTATTTGATTATATCTTATAGTGTACATCTTTTTTTTAGAAGGTACAGACTTTTATTATGTGATTATTGTGTGATTTGAAAAATTCAATAAGTGTTCAGTGACTTTTTCGGAAATGAGACTGTATCCTTTAAAGGCAAATGTCGTCTTTTTAGAAAATATAGCACAGCCTTAATACCTCTTGCATTTTGAAATTGTTAAGACGTCTTTCCATCTTCTGAACTGTCTGGTTGTGTTTATCATGTAGAGCTAAACTGCCTACATGGTTAGGGTAGAATGCATTGTCATTCAAAGCCTCGGTAAGGTCAATTAGTAGTCTATGAACCTGTTTGATATTGTTGCCTGTCTTCAGTACTGAAATCAGAAGATGCTAGATTTACAAAAAGTTTGAGGGATTGCATTGGAAAATGGGTATGAGTATACTTTTACCCACAAAAATGGTCTAACTGATTTAAAGCAATCCTACTTCTTTAAACTGTAATGTTAATGCATGAAAACAAAGTGGTAGTATCTGCAGTAGATATGCCCATATCCTCTGCAGTAGATATGCCCATATCCTCCTTTTACTTTGTGAAGGAGGTACACAAAGCAATGTCAAATCCAAGCAACAAGTCCAGTGAATCTCTTTATATATCACTACATACCATGATTGAACGCCTCTTCTAGAATGGTCAGGATATATTTCTGTGCAGTTCCACTCAAGTTGCCAAAGTTGTGACGAATGAAGTACTGGAGCACCTGGACAAAATATTTTAAACATTCATTTCTCTTCTTGTGTTTGAAATATAATAGCCAACTGTTCAATAATTTCTCAGATTAAGGTTGCACTACCTTTGGAGTATGAATGACTAAGTTAAAGGTCCAATTAAAAAATTCAATAAATTGTTGAGGTGGGTCAACTCTTACACTGTAGTTAAACTAACGTCAGATGTATTGTTTATAAGGGTTTCATTATAATGATTGTACAATATGAAAAGACGCAATTTCAGTAAATAAAGATTCAAAGTATTCAGCTGATGAAAAATGCTCAATATTCCCAAGAGTAATCAATGTATGCATTTAATCATTTTTTTAAATAACTGAAAAATTACCTTGCATGTGTAGGCGAATCTCCTTGGATCTCTGGCAGCCCCCACCATGTCAAGTTTACTAAAAGATTCTGCCAGACTAGTAGATCCTGTGCACTGGAATACATGATTGTCTATATTTTTGATTGGGAAAGGACAACCTTAAGGCTTAAAGAGCAAGGTGGGTGAATGGGGCTGAAGAAAAAGATCTCACATAAAGTGAGTGAGGTGACTAGTAGTGTGGATTTTTAGGTTTTGAGATAATTGTTCTTGTTTAATTGCCAAATTCATTAATACTTGTAATTACAAGTTATATGAGAATTAAGTACTTGGCCATATGTGATCAACTATAACAAGCACTTTTCATGCATTTTTAATCATTAATAATCATTAATAGCCTATTAGTCACATATTCTATATGTAACTACTCATTGTGACCAACTGTAATTTCAGTGTCATCCACGTCCCTTGATATACTAAAAATCAATGTTCTATTGACTGAAGTATGTGTATTAGACATTTTATATTAGTTAATTGTAGCTGGCATTAATTATATGGATTTGTGTTTTCTTATTTCTGATTTGCAATGTTGACAGTGATTGAAGAAATCCCCATCCATCAGAGCCCCGCGATTTGAAAGAATTGTCAAGTAAATTTGTCATAACCTCATGGGAAGCTGAAATCATATCAGGGTCAACATTTCTAGTGTTGATTTATATTTATTTAATGATGATGTCTCTGTGCTTTTGCAACAATTATAGAAAGATACATATTCAGGCCCGTAAGACACTTTTCTCCAAGGGGGGTGCGGTTTTTAGCTTACTAAAGAGAATATAAAATTGTCAATTTTTTTGCCGCGTAAATCAAATCGCGTAAGTCAGAGGGGGGGGGGCTCAGTTACTCCCTATATTGGTTTGGAATTAACAAATGCAACTTCCAAACTGTCCAATTGTTTTATATGGGTTGTGAGGAGTGGTCCACTCCCCCTAGAAAATTTTACAGTTTTGAGATGCTATTTGGTGCTTTCTGGGCACTTTCAAAGTGTACGTTTCCAAGTAGTACGCCACCACCATGGGAATAAGAGTTGAGTGAATAAAAAACCGAGCATTTAGGGGGGTCTGGGCGTTCTCCCCCAGGAAAATTTTGAAATTTGGTTGTATTTGGAGTGAATTTGCAACCATCTGGTACGCCTGTGCGTTATGAGTCAATAAGAAAAATGTGTATTTTTTTCAAATTCTTTTGGGGGTGTCAAAGTCAATGAGAGGGTGAAATGGGGTGTGGTGCCAGTAGGGGAGCAAGGGGTTGTCCCCCAGAAACATTGACCATATCAAGGTGCTATTTGATAATGTCTGGGCACTTAAAAAATGTCTGAGACAATACATGAAATTCAGAATATTTTCTTTTGTTTTGTGGGGGATGTGAGGGGTGGCTAACTCTCCTAGAAATTTTTACAATTTAAAGATGATATTTGGTGCTTCTGGGCACTTTTAAAGTGTATTAGTCAATAAAAACATTGAAAAACAATCACAATTTTCAAATTTTGGGGGTGTCAAAGGGGGGGGGGGGTGCCAGAGGGGGTGGTGGGGCTGGGGTGCCAGAGGCCGGAGCAAGTGTTTGTCCCCCATATCAAAATTTACGATATCAAGGTGCTATTCGATGAAGTTTGGGCACTTTAAAAGTGTCTGTGCCTAAAAGTGCCTATTTCCCAAGAAAATTTTACAATTTTAAGATGCTATTTGGTGCTTTCTGGGCACTTTAGTCAATAAAGTCAATAAAAAAAGATGCCAGAGGGCGAGTAAGTGTTAGTCTTCCAGAATCATTAACTTTATCAAGGAGCTATTTGATGATGTCTGGTCAATTTAAAAGTGTCTGAGACAATACATAAAACAAATTCAGAACTTTTCCATTGTTTTGTTTGGGGTGTGAGGGGTGGCCCACTCCCCTAGAAAATTTTACAATTTTACAACGCTATTTGGTGCTTTCTGGGCACTTTCAAAGTGTATGAGTCAATTAAACAATTTGAGAAAATCACAATTTTTTTGGCGGGGGGGGGGGGGGGTCAAGGGGGGGGGGCGCCAGAGGGGGGGGGTCTATGCAAGTGCAAGAGGGGGAGCAAGTCCCCCAGAAACACTAACTTTATCAAGGAGCTATTTGATGATGTCTGGGTACTTTAAAGGGTGACGCATATCGTTTAGCAAATCGAATGCTCGTTTCTGGTGTTGCTCACCGTTTAGTATAAAAGGCTCGATCCCGGAATAATACTCAAGGGTTCACAGGTTCGAGGTCGTTGTGTCAACACCTCTAACTGTTATATAGCATAAGTATATTATAGATCGTCACACATTTATAAAAGGGTGATTTTTATTTTGACAAATAAATTCCACATTTATGGGTGAAGTTTCAGGATCTTCTATTTGTGTATAATAAGGAAAAATTGGCATCTAAATTTCCCCATAACGTAATAGCACACAGCTTGGTATATGAAATATCCTACAAATGAAACAAAGCAATTCTAATACAAGGATTTATATTGGCTGTTGTACATGCATTCTTTGAAGGCAATCACTCTTTTGATAACGTTTTCAAAATCATTATAAACGGATTACTTTATCTCAAAGACAATTTCAATAAACTGGATTTTACAGAACTCCCCTTATTTCTTAAAAATGGACTGATCCAGTTGATTCGCCTGGAGCCGCCATATTGTTTTTATACGGGATGCTAAACGGAACCCTTTAAAAGTGTCTGAGACAAAACACTAAAATAAATTTAGAACTTTTCCATTGTTTTGTGGGGGGTGTGAGGGGTGGCCAATACCCCTAGAAAATTTTACAATTTTAAGATGCTATTTGGTGCTTTCTGGGTACTTTCAAAGTGTATGAGTCAATGAAAGAAAATTACAAAAAAATATTTTTCAAAAAAAATAATTTTTTTTCACATTTTTTTTTTCAAATTTATTTTGGGGGGTGACAAAGGGGGGTGCGGTCGCACCCATCGCACCCCCCCATCTGACGGCCCTGATATTGAGAAATGTAATTCACTTCCATCCCAGTTGATATCAGTGTTTTAAGTCTACTCCAAGCTTTAGGCTATTGTCACACCCCTCCTATAGCAAGGAGAATTCAAAGGGCAACATTGATACACAAAACCTCATCAAGATCCATATTTTAAAAATCTTCACTATTTCTACTTTTTCTTTCAGGACTACTCTTAATAGAAATTAGAAAGTCATGATAAATATCTAGAAATTGTTGCTGTATTTTTAAGACAATCCTCAATAGCAGCTGAATCTGAAGTGATGCTTCTTAAATCATGATAATAAGGTTACTGAAGTACAATAACCAAATCAGCTGTTTGGGAAAAATCATTCTATTATCTGAATGTTTGTAAGGATTTACTATTGATATGTTCCTGGTATGATGCAGGATTTCTAACAGAAAACATATTATATTTCCCGTTCAGGTGTATGCCCTTCTTGAAATATTCCTGAATAGTCACTCTGAACCAGAATATGGCCATTGTATTGGGGCATTCAGTACTTATGTTAGTATTTTTTGTGAAGGATGTTGTAACTCATGGCTATGATCCAGTTTAGTTCAAGTGTTAATTGTGAAAGTGTGATCTAAGCCATTAATCTCTGGTCAGGTGGCTTCTTGCCAATGTTATTGTGCATTAGTTTCTAGAACTGATATATCTGGCTAGTTGCCTCATGATCTGTTGCTGATGAGTGTATACTTTAAAACATCTGTCTGGTATTTTAGATGCCATAAACAAATTTTGTTTTTGGACCAAATTTAGTTTTGTAGATTACATCATTATTTTTGCATCTTATTAAACAGTCAAATGCTTCCACCCCATTCAACAGTCAAATGCTGCATTGTTTGTTGAACCTCATTCAAAAGTCAAATGCTGCATTGTATGTTGAACCTCATTCAAAAGTCAGATGTTGTATTCTATGTTGAACCTCATTCAACAGTCAAATGCTGCATTGTATGTTGTACCTCATTCAACAATCAGATGCTGCATTATATGTTGTACCTCATTCAACAGTCAAATGCTGCATTGTTTGTTGTACCTCATTCAACAATCAGATGCTGCATTGTATGCTGTACCTCATTCAACAGTCAAATGATGAATTGTTTGTTGTACCTCATTCAACAGTCAGATGCAACATCGTATATTGTGCCTTATTTAACAGTCAAATGCTGTATTATATGTTGCACCACATTCAAAAGTCAGATGTTGTGTTGTATGTTGAACCTCATTCAACAGTCAAATGCTGCATTGTATGTTGTACCTCATTCAACAATCAGATGCTGCATTATATGTTGTACCTCATTCAACAGTCAAATGCTGCATTGTTTGTTGTACCTCATTCAACAATCAGATGCTGCATTGTATGCTGTACCTCATTCAACAGTCAAATGATGAATTATTTGTTGTACCTCATTCAACAGTCAAATGCTGCATTGTTTGTTGTACCTCATTCAACAATCAAATGATGCATTTTATGTTGTACCCCATTCAACAGTCAAATGCTGCATTGTATATTATACCTCATTCAGCAGTCAAATGCAGCAAAGTAGGCTATACATAATGCAGCAGTCTAAAAGTTGTTCTGTGGTCAATGTAGGAACCATATCTATTGATGTATAAACCACTTTTTTTTATTTACCAGTGCAGTAAGTTTGTGTTATTGTAGAAGGGCTTTCATTTCCTTCTAGCAGGGAAGTACGAAGTATTGATTTCCTCCAGGACAGCTGATAATCAATATGTAATTGTATAGCAGGAGATGGTCTCAGATCACTTGCATAACATATCTCATTCCAGATTTACTAGTTTAGAGATATATGCTTGCATTTATTTTCTTGAGAATCTCTTTTGACATTTAAGTGAATGTAAATCTGTATTGAGAAATGAACTGTGTCACCTTGATACGGGATATAACCCTGTTAAGAGCATTGAATAATTGACATTGCTTGGGTGTATTTTTTTTGAATGAATGATCATGATGCAGCACTACAGCATAAAAAATAACTAGGTTAGCATTGATATTTTGAATTGGCTGTGGCAATCTTAATTCTTATCAGTGATATGTGACATTCATAAAAAACAGCACTTGTCAGTTTTCTCTCATTTATTTCATGTTTATTCTGATGATGAAGAATTCACCATACAGTTGACCTTGTAAAGGTAATTGGATGAAAGTTACAATGGGCAACATCTGAAGAATACAAATGATATTCTATAAAGCATATTACCAACCAACAGTCTATATCACAGTATCAGTTGTATTAAAGGAACATTCCTTGCCAGACTATTTCTCTCCTTATATGGTAGCTACAATCATATATATACTTTACATATTTAGCAAAACACGGGAACATTTTTTAATATGGTCAATATTGATCATTTAAAAATTTAGTACTCATTCCCAGTAAGCTGCCATCTTTTCAGATTTCTTTCAGGAAGTGATGTCATCGACTCTCACCTGTTATAACCTTGTCTATTACAGTATAGGAAAGAAGTACAAAATCATTTCTAAACAAGAAGCCCTTATCTTCTGTGTAAAAATATTTTCAGGAGTTTCAACTTAGAACTAAAGAAGAGATCATCAAAAGGATTTTAATCATAGACCAAATTGAAAAAAATATTCAGCTGGTTTAGTAATTCTAATAGCTCCTTACCTAATGTTATATGCAAAGTTGAGAGTCGATGACATCACTTCCTGAGTGAAATTTTAAAAGATGGCAGCCTACTGGAATTGAGCACTACATTTTTAAGTGATCAATATTGACCATTTCAAAACATTTTTCTGTTTTTTGATAAACTTGCAAAGTATGAATATGGTTATAGCTACCATATTAGGAAAGAGATGGTCTGGCAAGGAATACCCCTTTAATGATCTCTAAACACAAAAAATAATACATCCCAAAATCGATGTACATGAACCTTGTAACACATATCAGTATTATTCATGCAATACAAATAAAGTGCCAATATACCTCCTTTGTTGTGTGCTTTGGTATGAGTACATGTGGAGGTTGATGACAGTGGCTGTATTCATCTTTCTGAATAAATGTGTTCTGTTCTAAGGCTTCCTTGAGAATTCTGAAAATCAGATAAAACTTATAGAGAGGACATTGCAGGATTAGCCAGCAACAATTTTACTGATAATTCACAAAAAAATTTTAAGCTTATGAAATGTTTTAAGGAAAGGCAGATGTTTAAAAAGGATCTGACTACCTCATTTAATTGGATTTATGCCAGGTTAAGAGCATCTTTGAGGTGGTATTGGTGCCAGCAAATATTATGCAATCTTTTTTTCTGTTTGTAAAGCCCATGGTAACCCAATGACAGCACAGTGTGTAATGTTCATGTGGTGTTACATAATGCAGGTGCACTATAAGTTTATACAGAATATATGGATTAAAAATATAAATAAAGAAAAAATCAATATCATGTGATATAGAAATGTGAATTATTTAGAATTTTGTTCTTCGGACCAGAGGCATGAAGAATATTAGTCCTTTAATCAACCCGATGGTGTTGAATAGAGGACTATTATCCTGTAAATGACAAACGCATTAGAGTTTATGCCCCGGGTTTATGCATGGACTGTGTATCTTTCTCATTATCAATCATCATTGCAGATACCAAATATCATGTGTGTATTCAGATATATGTCTCTGGTGTATTGATAGTAATGTTGGAAAATAGGTGGTGAACACTCATCAAATCTATTGAATTAATAAAATGTTGATTGAAATGTGAATAAAGTCAAATGAAATATAGTTGAATGCTAACCATACTGCACTACCTAATAATATTTTGTTATTGGGAGTCAATATTGATACTGCGACACAGAATATGTTAATGAGATGTATAATGTAAAATCCATACAAGATGCTGAAAATCTTACCTCGAAACAATATTTTCGTTCAAATTCTCCAGCAATCTGAGCCTCCATAACTTTAATCTATCCCATCCTTCGGTAGTTTTAACCCATTCCTCACCAGGACCACGCCAATCCTGTCCTAAAAATGGCATGACGATGTAGAAATCTCTATTTCAGTGGTACGTACTTCGACTGCTTTGTTGTGAAAAATATTACGTTTTTGTTTACATCGGAAGTTTATTCTGTCACGGACTGATTGTCGTTCTGATCGCCTATTGGTCTACCTAATTTATGTAAATAGACAGAAGCACGTGATCAATTAAGGATTTAAAATAAAAATGAAGCGATTTTAACATTACTTTTAGTACGTATGCTCCTATTTTAACATGGTTATTGCAATAAATGGCTCGATCATTGACTAATTCAACTTTCTGGCATAAAATGATAGTTGAGCTTATGATACAATAATTTTCGCATTGCTCTCATATAGGTGGCGCTAGGCATCTTCCGTGAAAATTTTATTTTTATTTTTCTGCAGCAAAAATGAATATCATGCCTTCATAGTTGTTCCAAGCGGTACTTAAGAAAGTGCTATGGCAGGTATGTTACACACGCTTTCTATAATAATGAAGTATTTTTGTAATTCCTTTCGGAGATTGTTCCAAACGGCCTCCCTAAATCTGAGCCCAAATCACGGATAGGGGCCTGTAAAATTTTAAATGTTTGGAACCACTTTGAATTTAAAACATAAGCAATCAAATGACTATATTGCAACAGTATATGCAAAAATGGAAACATATGTACAAGTCCTAACTTTTGTTTATTTCAGATAGTTATGTATATGTGCAGCAAAGCTGTGGCCCTTTGTAATATAGGGCTTTGTATAAAAAACCTCCTACCTCATACCCACCTACTCACATATGTTGGACATTGTACATTTTGTAGCAATTATGTTTGTCAAGCCTATTTGAAAAGGTGTTTTCAGTCTGAATGTATATATCAACACTACATTAGAATCATGATGTAATGATTTTTGTATTTTTCCATTTTGCTTATGACTGTATATTTGTATATAAAACACATGTAAATAACTGTATAGTGAACCATGTGTCGGAGAGACTGACATACATAAGAGTCAATAAAAGAATATATGTATATATATATGATATAGTCTTTGACGGGTTCAATTTTAAAGATCTTAGTTTATGATGAATTATAGATGCATTTCTAACTACCCTTGACAGCAAGTTGCTACTACAGCCCAGCTGGGTTTGATTCCCACTCGGAGCATCGAATTTAGCACACTTTCTTTCAATTTCTTAATCTGGCTCGTTGGACCTATGCCCGCGGTCGTTATTTAGTTATTCCCCTGGGGCGCCCTCGGGTCATTACACATTACAATGCACCCATAAGCCTTTCTTTATGGATCTTTCATCGGTCTAGTCATAAAATAAAGCCGGAATTGTAGAAATGTTAATAATAAGAGCTATTTTGAGATTTAAAAATCTTTAAAATTGAACCCTTCAATGACTGTAACATGTCCCACATAGGTGGGTATGAGGTAGGAGGTTTTTTATACAAAGCCGTAATTAAGGGAGTTTCATCCATTTTACTGTAATCGACAGACGTCAAGTAAGTTTCTGGCGAAAGCTGGAGCATAGATTATTTAGAGGACTGGAAACAAGAATGACCTACCTTTTAATTTCCCGAATCTCACCTGAAATTAGCTCATCTTGGTGACTGTAACCGGTATATATGTATTAATAGAGTCTCTTTGTATCGCATCTGCCTCGATTTTAAAGTTTTATTGGTATTTTTAATATGATTTCACTGTTTTTGTGGACTGGTACGATTGGACCAAGCAAATGGCAGCTGACCTGTTCAGAGTACTTTTAGTACTATCGCAAATGATAATAATTTTGGAAACAATATTATACTAAATAGATTACTAAGCATCTAAGGTAAGTAAAACTAGATGAACAACTGGGTCAATAGTGATAAATAGGCCAACACGAGTTGGCAGATTTGAAATAGACTGCCATCTTGTTTCCAGTCCTCTTTATAATCTATGCTCCAGCTTTCGCCAGAAACTTACTTGACGTTCGTGCTGTAATCATGGGAAGTTCCCCCTATAATAGGCTATAGCCTACTGTAGTTTAACCTATAGATAGCATGAGGGGGCTTCTGTTCACTATGGCCCAAATGCATGAGATGCTAGCCTTGGATTTCATCGTCCTTCATTTGGATTAGAATTTAGAAATTAGCCCTTAGCTCAGATTACTCGTGTCTCTAGTCTCTTCTTGGCCAGAAGTAATTTCATCTGGAACACCATGAACCATTTGAAAAAGCTGGCTGTCGTGTTAAAAATTTATTATTAAATATTTTAAAAATCGCCAGATAAATCAATCATGAATAAAATGGAACTGGGTGGCCTCCTTAATGAGATATTGCACGATTTCGTCAGGATTTTGTCTAAAATTAAATCCAAGAAAAATGGCGATATTCAAAACTGGACGAAATGTCGTTATTGTCTGACATAAGTAACTGGCTGTAAATTCTAAGTTAGTGATCCAGAAGATGTGAACTAATACATTGATCACTTCATGTGTGTTTTGGAATTTTTGGTGAGGTAATAATACCAAAAATTGCAATTCAAATTGTGATGTGGCAAAATGGCGAACATTTGATTTCAAATTTTATGATTACGACATGACCCATATACAGCAGTAAAAAACATCCAGGGGTTTATCTTGTAGATCTAGTACAAAAAGCTATATATTTGTCCCAGACACCCCCTCTCCCTTGTTAGCTATATATGGAAAATGTTGACACACTCAATGTTTAGCAAAAAATATCATCATGTACCGTGTTGACAAGTATTTCGTATTATTAGATTGGGTTTTATATACTGTATAAGTGGTATTTAATCCGAGTGGTTAATTTTCCGAATGGTCAAATTTCATCATTTTCCTAATTTTAATTTTCCTAATTACAAGAAACCTCCCATTGGATAACATTATAAAGACAATATTTCCGACATTTAATTTTCCGAACCTGGCAAAAATTAGGAAATAGGCAAATTAAATGATTAGGCAAAATTACCACTTATACAGTATTGGCTTTACCATTATATTATAACAGTGAAAAAGAAGATGAAAATTTGAAAAACTCCAAAATATTTTCAATATGGATGCTAGGTGCATTAATGTGTCTCTAGGGCTTTATATATCTGAGATTTGTCACGACCCCAGTGACCCTATTAAAACTCCTATAGTCAAAAAGTCACTAGAGGCTTCAACATCTATATGGAGGCGTGCAAAGAGGATTGTCGGACATAGAATTGCTGATGCAATTCCCTGGTTACCTATGTCTGGGAAGTTTGTTTTGGGGGGTTTCAGACACCCTTCTTAGCTGACATATATCCTGACCCATTTTCTGACTTATCCTTGCAAAGTAACTAACTTTGAAGGGTATTGTTTCAGGCTGTTGTGGATGCTGCGGGCCTTTACGGCCTCGTTACAAGCGTCTTGTAGACAGCATCTTCCCAGCAGACCCACAGGAAGGGCTCGTCAAAAGCAACATGGAGAAGCTTACATTTTATGCACTTTCGTCACCTGAAAAGTTGGATCGTATTGGAGAATATCTTGCCCAGAGACAAAGTAGAGATGTATCAAGACGTAAAGTAGGGTAAGTATGTTCATCAACTGACTTTGTTGTTGGTGCCAAAGATAGTTATTGTTATGTCAAAACTGTGTCATCATATACATATATCTTTTATTGACTCTTTATTGTCATCACAATGAGATATGAGTCAGAAATCATCATAAAATATGAAGTACTATACACTGTAGTATTGTTTAATTGCTTTGTGAAGAGGTTCTTAGATTATGTCATTATACCCATTTTATACAAATTTTATATAACTTTTAACTCTTACATATTATAAAGAATTTGATGTTTTTATTTATGATTTCATGCAATGGACACAATGGATGTTTTTGTTTCTTATAATGTTTTCTCAATGATGAAAAACATGGACAATGACATCCTCCTAAGCAGGTGTCCAGAATCCGTACCTCCTTCTTCCCCCTGCTATAACCAATTTGGAAGCGCCCGATTTAACTGAATCACGTGATCTAATTATGTGCAATGACTTATACATGATTTCTGTTGCATTGTTGCGAAAGTCAATCAGATTGCGAGTTCTTAATCGGGGAAATGGTAACTGCTTATCGCAGGAGGTAAAAAGAAAGAATATATTCTGGATTTTGAAGCACTGTGATCGGAGGATGGGACAATGATGATGATGAATATTTCCAGGTTTGTGTTTATTGCAATGGAAGCCTTAGACCAGTTGTTACTAGCTTGCCACACCCATTCAATTAATCTGTTTGTTGATTTCAGGTTTGTGTTTATTGCAATGGAAGCCTTGGACCAGTTGTTACTAGCTTGCCACGCCCATTCCATTAATCTGTTGATTTCAGGTTTGTGTTTATTGCAATGGAAGCCTTGGACCAGTTGTTACTAGCTTGCCACTCCCATTCCATTAATCTGTTTGTTGATTTCAGGTTTGTGTTTATTGCAATGGAAGCCTTGGACCAGTTGTTACTGGCTTGTCACGCCCATTCCATTAATCTGTTGATTTCAGGTTTGTGTTTATTGCAATGGAAGCCTTGGACCAGTTGTTACTAGCTTGTCACGCCCATTCCATTAATCTGTTGATTTCAGGTTTGTGTTTATTGCAATGGAAGCCTTGGACCAGTTGTTACTAGCTTGTCACGCCCATTCCATTAATCTGTTGATTTCAGGTTTGTGTTTATTGCAATGGAAGCCTTAGACCAGTTGTTACTAGCTTGTCATGCCCATTCCATTAATCTGTTGATTTCAGGTTTGTGTTTATTGCAATGGAAGCCTTGGACCAGTTGTTACTAGCTTGCCACGCCCATTCCATTAATCTGTTTGTTGATTTCAGGTTTGTGTTTATTGCAATGGAAGCCTTGGACCAGTTGTTACTAGCTTGTCACGCCCATTCCATTAATCTGTTTGTTGAGAGCTTCCTGAAGATGGTTCAAGACTTGTTAGAATGTGAGGAGCCAGAGTTGCAAGAGCTGGCCACTGCTTCTGTAAGTATAAGCAACTTTCAGGGGCAGATAGGGCAAAGGTTGTTTTGAACTAAATTGGTATTTAGATATAATAAGGTAATGTGTTTTTGGTGCCAGATAACCTGGTCGAGAAGTCCTTGGTTTCAAGTTCATGTATATTGTTATCCCATCGAACGAAGTTCAGAGGGATATAGGGAACGCCTCCGTCCGTCCGTCTGTCCATCTGTCTGTCCGTCCGGGCAATAACTCAAATACAGTTGGCCCGATTTTGTTCATATTTTATACACATATACCCTATGAGGGTAGAAGTTCTGCTCGAAAGCCGATTTTCAAAATGGCCGCTCATTTAAAAATGGCGGCCAATTTAGTGCCAATTTTACAGTAATTTAGGTGCAGTATGTAAAACTGTAATAGCAATATGTTTTAAATGTAAAAAGATTGTATAGGACATTGATAAAGCTAGAAATGTAGATATTAAAGAAGCACATGGCAGCCATCTTGAAAAATGGCGGCCTTTACTCGTTATTTTACGGTTTTTGCTGTAACTCAAGAAGTAGTGGACCCACTTTGTTCATATTTGGTATGTGAATACTATAAGCATGGCTCACTGTCTACTGACACTTTTGGTAGGAGGCGGCCATTTTGAAAAATGGCTGCCATTTTAACATATTTTACTATAACTCAAAAAGTAGTGGAGCAATTTTGTTCATATTTGGTTTGTGAATACTATAAGCATGGCACACTGTCTACTGACACTTTTGGTAGAAGGCGACCATTTTGAAAAATGGCCGCCGTTTTAACGTGTTTTACTATAACTCGAAAAATGATGGAGCGATTTTGTTCATATTTGGTATGTGAATACTATAAGCATGGTACACTGTCTAATGACACTTTTGGTAGAAGGCAGCCATTTTTCAAAATGGCCACCATTTAAACATACTTTACTCGGCCTTTACTTGTTATTTTACGATTTTTGCTGTAACTTGGAAAATAGTGGAGCAATTTTGTTCATATTTGGTATGTGAATACTATAAGCATGGCACACTGTCTATTGTCTAATGACACTTTTGGTAGAAGGCGGACATTTTGAAAAATGGCCACCATTTTAAAGTAATTTTCTATTACTTGAAAAGTAGTGGAGTGATTTTGTTCATATTTGGTATGTGAATACTATAAAAAAGCATATTACTTCTTCTGATGACAACTTGGCTAGAGAGCAACCATTTTGAAAATGGTGGCCTTTCTTATGTGTGTTATTTTATGATATTTGCGATATATTTCGTTTGTAAAAATGCCAGCCATTTCTGTTCGATGGGATTCGCTACGCCTTGGCATTGCTGTTGTTCTGGTTGGAGAATATTAATATATCAGCTATCTGGGGCAGTAGTATTAGGGTAGGCTATTTAAGTATATGGTGATGGATAAGTATTGTGGAATATTTCATATACAAGTACATTTCCGGGGATGCTTAAGTATCTGGGTGAGGTTATTTGGAAAATGTTGTTGTCTAGATAGGAATTTTTCATTTGCAGGATGCTTGCTATGCTCAGCACAGCACCCCACTCTCTTTAATTTCGCTTTCTGTGCTTCAGTCTAAAGCTTAAAGAAACACCTTATATAATATATAGAAAAAACAAATAATGTTGATCAGTCAGTTTATCAGACCTTTTTTAGGCTTTTCTCATTAAGAATTTTTATCAAAACTTTCAATATCATCCTCAGTCAACATAAAAGCCATCTGAGTTGTTTTGGATGTATAATTTCATTTGAATATGTAGTACATGTACATTTATGAGCTAATAGTAGCTATCTGTAGTTGCAATGCAATCAATCCTTGTAACTTTTACATCGCCAGGACATAAAATAAAAAATGTGATTAAAATTTTCTAGGATATCCAGTTGTCCTTTTTGTCCAAAGTTTGTATCGATCCTAACTCTTTGTAATGAGTTGTGCATTAATAAAAGTACGTCTCATACGTTTCAATATGATATATGAATATATTGACCTCAATAAAAAGCGTGTTAATTGCAGTTTGTGAAGTTTGCTAACATTGAGGAGGACACACCTTCATACCACAGGAGATATGATTTCTTTGTTTCCAAGTTCAGCTCTATGGCTCATAGTGGCAATGACAATCAAGAAGCCAGAGCCAGGTGAGTTCATCAGATTTATGATTTATTTATAGTGATAATTCATTAGATTATGTGCATTAGGAATTTATTTCTAGTTTTTTTTTTATTCATTTGTACAAAAGCATCTGTATAAAAGACATTAGGTTTAATTTTAAAACTGTATAAACTGCTTGTATAGTTAGCACTGATATTGAAAAATATAAAATTACTTCATTTTAGATCACCTGAACTTTTAGGTATAAATGTAAATATTGTAGGATTCGTAATGCTGGTCTCCAGGGACTACAGGGTGTTGTGAGGAAGACTGTATCAGATGACCTCCAGGTTAATATCTGGGAACAAACCCACATGGATAAGATAGTTCCCTCTCTCTTGTTCAACATGCAAGATACAAGGTACAGATACTGTAAGCCTTAAGCCTAGAAAAACTTTTGACACACCCATCAAACCTTTTCTGAAAAAATGAATTTATGTGTTTCTTTTATTTTTTTAGAAATCGATATACATATTTTTCCGATATAGCAAAAATTGCTGACAAATGAAATTTGTAAGAAAATTTAGACCAAGAGGTACATGTACATGTATGTTACTATCTTAGATTATGATATATGGTTGAGATGTTCTATTTGACTGATTTTACTACCAATTATGAATATTTAAATTCTAAAATTATATAATAACATCCCTTTGTTCTGATTTCTGCTCAGATTGACAGCAATGGACTGTTTAGGCTTTTGCACTTGATGCACGGTCTTCATTGTCATTTTGTGTGTAGATGTTTCAATTTTTCTGGGTTTGTCCATTCTGTGGTAAATCGGATACTGTGTTTTATTTGCAGGGGTCGTAGTCATCCAGATATTGAGAGTCCTAGAGAGGAGGACCATCCCTCCTTTGTTGCAGAGAATTGCTTTAGGGATCTTGTTTGCAGAGCATCCTTTGGTAACATAAAGGCAGTACTCAGGCCAGTTTTAATGTAAGTAAATCCTTAACTTTTTTAATCAAAACCAACTTTTCTTTTTTTGATCAATCTAAGTTAAAAGTATGAATGGCAGCCTTTGAAAATATTAACTCAAATAAAATTGATTAGCCATAGGGTCCACACTTTTTTGTAAAACAAAACTTGTTGATTGAATAGTAAGTTTCTTTATTTACTAATGCATTAATGAATACAGTGAATATTTAATGGTAGCTTGCGGTGTCGCAAACCTTGGCGTAGTCATTGAAAGCTGTTCCCTTGGGGCATTTGACGTGGAGGGGCTTGCAGCAGATACAGGCCTTCCTGGTCTTGCTGTAGGCGTCATATTTGAAGTCACATCCACACTGGATGAAACCATATGGGTTATAATTGTCCTTGAAGAGTCCACTGGGGTTACCATAGCATTTGCCATCACATGGATCTGGATATACAGTGAAGTTCAGTGATTCAATGGTCAAGTAGATAAGGGTGAAGTTTTGTTAAAATTGGCAAAAAGGCAAGAATAGATATAAACTTGATGAAATGAAACAAAAATGATTTTTTCAATATTCTTGAACTTAATGGGGGTACATTCCTCCTCGCCTAAGAAATCAAGAAGTACTCACTGTAACTGTGGGCTCTGTATGCTGGTTTGTAGCTGCACAATCCATAGCTTCCAATTTGTCCCTTGTTGCAGAGATCTCCCTTGCAGAAGTACCATTGAGCTCCATTTACATACTGGCAGTTGTTGTAAGGGTTCACTCCAAGGGGGAGATTCTCCTTGTTGGCACAGCCACGGTACACAACTGCAATAAAACATGGATACATTTCAGTTCAAAGTTTATAAGATTTGTTTTTCTTAAAATAATCAAACCATAATAACATATACATATACATGTATTATATCTATAGTATGAAGGAAATGATACTCCACAGGAAAGAATTGAAAACATTTTTTACTTGTTAAATACTGCTGTGTATCTATACAAATTATCATGAACTCTGCAATTACTGTACTCCATAATTGAGTTGGAGGATTTAAGAACCGTCGTCTGAAAATCTTATGAACTTTACTCACTTCCATTTTTGTCTCTGCGAATGAAGCATGTACCAGATGCACAGGACCATTTGTCGAGGTTATCAGCATCATCATAGTTAGTTAGAGCACATCCTTCATACCCAGCTGTAGTTGAACGCTTCCAGTAGTCGGACTGGTAGCTGTAGCCTGATGGGGCATAGTTGCAGTCAAAGCATCTGGCTGGAATTGGACAGACAAATTGATAGAGTTAAACATGTTGACTCTATGTCAATCTTGTTAAAGTTATTGCTCAAAGAGGGATTAATTGAAAAAATATGACTGTACAATAAACCCTTCAAACATTTTACTGTTTTATTACTTGCAAGCACTGCAAACCTTTTCATAATGTTCTCTACTTTCCCAGCATTGCCTTTCTAGCTCTCTAGAAAGCCCATTGTTCTAACCTACTTACATCCATATCCTTCCGCCAGCACTGCAGTTAGTCCTGCTACGAAAATAGCTACGGTCAGCATAGTTGTCGTGTTGAGAGAGCTCAGTTGAACTATGATCTCTCTCAATGTCTCAGCAGCTTTTATACATTTTGAATTCTTAATTAAGTAACATCCTGCGCCATTGTTACATAATGTTTAATTAGACTTTGAAAGTTCCTTATGTCAGATTTTTATTTCATAAGAGTCGATTATTAATTGTTATAGGTGTATGTAGTCACATGTGTTTAGGTATTGCATATTAATTCTTATTAGTCTGTAAGTTCTGAATGTCATTTAAGTGTTAGAAGTTTTTGATTCGTTATTGAAATGTTTTGGCTAGATTGTTTGCCCAGATTTATAATGGGCAACAAAGTATAACAGTTTCTGTACCTGAAAAATTAGGTTGATATCCTAAATGTCAGACCCTAATACAGGAGGCTCTTTATAAGAGATATAGGTGTACAATTTTGATGCTGATAAGATCTAAATGAGCCATGAGTAGCTGTCATGGCCTTCAATGAGAATATCATTATGGAATGAATGCCAGCTTCTTATGAGTATAAAATTCTGTGAATGCCCTTTTTGGGAAGCTGGATTTTTATTGAGGATTTTTATTGGTTAAGGTTAGATCAAAATGTTATTTCTAACTCAGAGTGTAGAACAAAAATTAATGATGTATTGGAAAGGGTATTAGGTTTATTACATTGAGTTAAAAAAATTACCAAAATTTGGGCCACCCCCTACTTGATGTATTTGTTGCTCATGCTCTAGTACCTTGTATATTTCAGGCACCTGGACAATCACAGACTGTGGGTTCCTAATGACTTTGCTGTGAAATGTTTCAAAGTTGTCATGTTCTCAGTGCAGGTATGTTGCTATATATTTGTATATGTACACTGTGTAGTAAGTTGATCAGCAACAATGAATACTTTGTAATGAAAGTGTTCAGTCAATATTTTTGTGCCCATTTATCTGTATACTCTGATCTTGATTTTCCGAAGACTGTTTTCCTAAGTTAATATATACTCGTGGCCAAATGAAATATTATTTTTTGATATGTCATCTCTATCATAGATTCTTTATCTAGTTTTTTTCATTGTATTATGTGTTTAAACAAATGTAATTCTTCTTATTAAGGCCCAGTATGGCTATGTGGTGGTTCAAATGTTAATGAGTCACTTAGATGAACACAGTAAGAGTCAGCCAAGGATGAAGGCCAGTATAGTGGATGTCCTTGCAGAAACAGTCCTCATAGCAGCTGGAGGCTCAATAGGTAGGTACCTAGTTTACATCCTTCAGCATAATTGTTGTCTAGCTTCCCCCACATTGTAGTTTGAATTAAGGCTGGTAGAGTGCAATGACTGGGAACGTTCAGTTTTATTAACCTGACCATTTATTCTACTCATCATACCTAACTTCATGTTAAGCAGCATTTTTATTGTATTGTTTTTCTTGATTTCCCCATGGTAACTGCAGATATCATAATATTTTCCAGGGCCCTCAGTGTTGGAAGTGTTTAATACTCTGTTGAGGCACATCCGAGTTTCCGTTGACAATAAAACAACAGACAAGGATCGCCTTAGTGATGAGAAGAAATTCCAAGAATCTTGCATTAACACTATTGGTAAGTTTACAAGGTTGAATAATTATGTTTTGGAAATACTATAAGGAAAATGTTTTATGAAAATGTTGAATGTCTCTGTAGCTTTAAGTTTTCCTGGTCTATTCTTTTATTTATTTTTGTTTGTACAACAAATATGGTCCCAACGGTTTAGTTCTCCTGTTTTCAATAAAATGCCAAACATTTGTTTAGGTGAATTTGCAAACAACTTGCCTGATTATCAGAAGATAGAGATTATGATGTTTGTCATGGGGAAAGTAAACACGTCAACGGATGACAAGCCTAGGTAGGTGTTTTACTTATCTTTCGCTTGGAAACTGCATTATTTTTAGCAAAGTACTGTAGTAATATATTTCCACAGTATATTTTCTTTGAAACATTCCTCTAAGAATTACCATCTATTGTCTAAAGGAAAGATTTTAGAAAAATGGTCCTCGGATTCATAAACTATGTTCAATCCACCACTATTCACAACTAAAAAACATACAGATACATTTTATTTTTCAGTGATAGTAAAGATGTCATGCTCCAAACTATGTTATTAAAGACTCTGCTAACTGTAAGTTTACAAATCTCATATGTAATTAAGATTTTATTGCTCTTGTAACTAAAGTATAAGAAATGAAAATGTCTTGAAATATATTCTTTTGTACATGTATAGAATTTGTTGGATTAGTGCTATAGACCTATTCAGGCTTTCTTATCATCAACAGTGTATCATATTATTTGTATTGGATCATATGGTTTCAATTCCATTCATTAAATTTTGATTACTCATTGCATTTTCCAGGTTGCAACTAAGTATAAAACTGTCCTTATGAGTAACGCATTCACATTGCCTTTCCTGGAACCCTTGATGAGGATGTCCATTTCAAGCGATCCAGGAATACGACTCCTAGTTCAAGAAATCTTACACACTCTATTAGACAGACATAACAATCTCCCAAAGCTGAAAACTGTCAAGTAAGTCTGGCTAGACAAAATAATGGGGTTTTAAATGGACATTCAAGTTTAATTGAATCAAAGTGTTGGTATGGATTTTGATTAAAAAGTATATGGTCTTAGACTTCTCCTTATTATGTAAATAAAACATATCTCCCATTCTCTTAATTTTTGCCAAATGCAATATATTTTGATTCATGGCTGAAATGTCATATCGAAAGTGTAAGATAAGTTCTGTTTTAGATGTACAATTTATTTCTTTGGAAATGTCTTTATCTCCTCAGTCCCTAGGCTGTTTCTGGAAGATATGAAGTTCCTATAGAAAAAACAGTTATTGCAAAACCTCCCAAAGCGTTACCCTTGTGTATTTTAGGATAATGGCAGACATTTCTCAGCTGAGTCTCACTGTAGAGAAACCTCCCAGACAAGATGTTATGTTTATGAAGAAGGTATGGCTCATCAAATCATAGTTTGATTTGATTTGAAATTACAGAATTAAATTCCCCTTTAAGGGCTAACATGCAAAAGTCAGTCCTTCCCAGTGGGGATTGAACCCACAAACTCATGGTTCTGGTAGATTACTTCACCACTGGGCTATGGGGCTGATTTACTCCTTCATATCAACATTGCATTTGTAGCATTGCAGGTATTAACAAATATGTGATAATAAACTGTCAAAATTAAAGTGTTTAGTAAGATGTGATGCAAAAAATTTGAAGCATAAGTGAACACCTCTTTAAAGTGAACATGTGAACCTCTTGAAATGGGTGTCAACAATAACAATTGATACAAGACTAATATAAAAATGTATTTATTTCCAGAATGGCAGCCAGTTTTACTGGCACTTGTATGAGAACATGCAACAACTAAGCAATAAACTAGAGAACTTTGCTGCTCTCTATATTACACTAGCATTACTAGGCCTTGAGATGGGAGCTGATGAAATCCTTGTTGAACTATTCCGACTTTCTCTTGGAATGCAGGTATTGAGATCACGTATAAAGCTTCAAATCTTTAGTTAAAAATTCAGACTACACATTTGGTGAGAATGGAACGTTGGAGTGTTTCAGTACCTACAAAGGATCATGTCATTTGATGAAGAAGGAAATGCTACCCAGGATGTGACTGCCTAAAAGTGTTCAATTTACCGAATATTTCCTTTTTCAGGAGATGGCCTGTAACAGTACAAGTCTGCCAAGCAAACACAGATGTTGTATCCATGCTGTTGTGGCAGCATATTACAACCTGATGAGCCAACTCACAGCAATACCAGCCCTATGCCAGCACATAACACAGGTAATAGAGGAATATATACAGTATATCGTAGAATACAGGGTGTCCTTAAAGTACAGACTTTGTATTGGAATTGTAAAGCTACTTCATGGACACCCTGTATAATACAGGTACATGTACATTGATTGACCTTGACTCGTATATTGTGTATTGTGTAAAGGCACATATTCCTTTACTGTTTCTATCTACCTAAAGTCAAATAATTTCCTTTATATATCATAAGTATAATATGTTTGGTAGTAATTTGGTTGAGCCTCCAACACACATGCTGGTATGTTTAAGAATTACTTTTTACAGATTTAGTTGGTACTGTTCAAGTTTGACCTTATAAATTTTGAAGATATTTTTTCAGTATGCAAACCAACATGCAAAATGTTGACGTTATCCTAACATTGTTTTGCTTTTGTAGGTTATTGAAATACGGGAGAAAGAAGCACGCCACCTATTGCCTGATGAGGCCTTTACTGAGAACAAACAGTGGACGTAAGCAAGCATTTACTTTATCAGGATCTCTTGCTACATACTGTGTACTTGTTACATTGTTACTGCTATGTTTAGCATTCTTATACTGTATTTGTCTTCAATTTGGTGCTATTTCATGGCGATTTTCTGTTTTTGGGCCTATTGGCGTCTATTTAATTTGGCAGTTTTTCAAGTGTCCCAGACATCCTCCCATTCAACCCAACTCAAGTTACTCATTGTTGCTGTTGATGAACAATTTCTTCAATATTTCTTGTTGTTTATATTTTCTTCAATATTTTTTGTTGTTTCTACAAATCTAAACAGCCCAGCCATCTTGGTATCTTTCTTATAATCGGAAGTGCAGTGAATGAAAAACATGGCATATACCTGGGGGTTTTGGCAACTCTTTAATTTGGGCGATTTTTTAATTCGCCAAATTAAAAACAAATACAATATATCATTGCTGTTATTGTTATTGGCAATGTAGAATGAAATGGGAGAGGGGCTTGCAAGCCCACCTGGAATATGCATATTGATTTTAAGAGGAGTCAAGGACCTTTCTCGTATTAATGAGTGATCTCTTCTAATGTTAACTAATTCTCTTCCAGCTCCCCCGAAGGACCAAAACCAGAATGGTTGTTTGACCAAGACATCATTAGCGAAGCACTACATAGTAGTGGATTAGACACCACTAAACTTGGAACACCTTTCATGAACAAACTCTCAATCCAATTAGGTTCAGGTATGTGTTGTCTTTCTTTATTATTCCTCTCTCCATGTCCATCAGAGTAAGAAATTAGAGGGGATAGCGCATGAAAAATAGTGGAGGCAACCTTTTCAAAAAGCTTGTCTAACAGTCCTAATTTTATTTCCTGAAAAAAGAATTGACATGCGGAAATGGGAAAACTATTTAGAATTGAAAATAAAAAGGGCATTTACTGAATTTGGACAAAGTTTTTCATATAAAATTATTCCATATAATTGAATTGTGGAATTAAATGTAATCATTCCTTATTATTCATTTTTTAGAATTTTATTTATTTTTTATTTTAGTATGATTTATTCATATTATTTTGTCCTGCTTATTGAAATGTTATGTTTGAAATTTTACTCATTTTGTTAGAATTAGGCCCTCTTCAACGCAGTAGTAAGTAAAGCATGAATTGTTGCATCATTTCCTATTGAAATACATGTAGCTAGAGTTAAGGTAGACCAAGTAGTACACGATTTTAATTTGTGGATGATGTCAGTATTCAAGCCTATACACAAAAGATTCAATTTGTTCATTAGTCATTCTAATCTGCCTATCTTAATATTATTCATTATAATACATGCTTTGTACTAATAAACAGAAACTTAGCCTAGCGATCCATTGCAATTGCTATTTTGCTCTCAGACGACGTAAGCCATTTAAAGGCAGAATCAGATCTATGGGGGTGATAAAATTACAAGCAACATGTATAATTGACTTACCAATTTTTACCTTACAATCTCAAATACAATATCTCCCAAAAGATTCACGATATGTTATAAATTGATGAAGTTATAATAGATTAAAAGTGCAAAAATGGGTGAAAAATGTTTAAATCCTCCCAAATAATAAGAATGGTGACCATTGGTATAGAAAAATAATACATTATTGTAAAAATCTTTAGTTTTCCTGAAATAAAGTGTGCACTTTGGGGATTTTTAAAAAATAGACATGAAAAGGAATAACATATGCCAGAAATATTCTAAAATCGAAACAATTTTTTGTTAGGCTGCTTGCTAGATCTGATTCTCTCTTTAAAAACAGGATTGAATAGATTACATTTTCATTGGATTTATTTGGTATTTTGAAACTAAATTGGTCTCTTCTCACACACCTTACAGTAACAAAAACGTAACAATATAGAAATAGGATATGAGTTAGCCACGTAATACAAAGGCAGCTTTGATTCTTGCGAGATGATGTTGCATGTGTGTTCTTGCAATGTGAATGTACTGTACGCTTACACTTAATGCTTGTATTCAATGTTCATGCCACCAGTATTTTTAACTTATTTACTACGCATTCATGCTATGCTATGATCTAACTTTTAATCCTAATTTTTATGGCACAATCAAAAGTGTTGACTTGATATATTTTTATAGTCTCTAACTTTTTGTGGACAGTGTTTGGCAGTCAGTGTTCATTGTTCAGCGTCTGTAACAAATTCTTACAAGTTCCATTAACTTAACAAGAAGAACTGTTTGATTGACTTCAAATTTTTACTGTGATGATATATGAACAATGTTACAAGTTACATATTTTTGCCAATATCTGTTGCCATGTCAACAGATAAGTGGACTTGTAACATTTTGTAACCATTTGCAATAATTTCAGAAGTAGTGTTCACATGCACTTAGACTTGATATTTTTTTTGTCAGCTCGTATGAACATGTTATGACTTTTACATATTTCTAGGAGCTTCAATTACCATGGGCATGAAAACATTATTTGTCTTAATCTATTTTGATAAGCATGATCTGTCAATATTGCCAGGTCTTTCATGACACATAATCAGCAGTTTTGACCAATCATAAGATTGCAAGCATGACAGTACAATAATGCATTACTAATTTCTCATGGGTCCAACACTGTATGTGTGTTCCCTGTGAGAACCTTGGCATGGAGCTGTGTTTCTACTGTATTATAGATGGCGTAGATGGTGTGACAGGCAGTGTTAGTGACATCAACTCTATCAGCATTGACCTCGAGAGTGCCGCCTCCACCCCAGGCATGACTAGGGTAGGTTTTGTTTAACACTTTAGAGGCCAAAGAGATTTTATTAGAGCGTACTTTTTCATTTAAAAAAATATTCTGAAATGAAACTTTGAATGAAATAGTTATCATATATTTCTACATGAGAAATAAGTCTAATGAATAGGCTTGCACCAAATGAATTGTTGAAAGATAAAGGTTAGATGACATAAGAGATACCATAACTATATTAAATATATTCACTGCATGGTCATGTGTCTAGTTGTTAGGGTTATGAAACATATGTATAATTATTATTTTATTGTATGTTAATCATTGTTTTTTCAGAGGAGATTTTCAACAGAAATAACAGTTGAAACATTGAAGAAAGTCCTTGGTAAGTTTGCTTGTTAAATTAAAATCATTAATTATTTTTATTCTTTTGTTCTTCTTTGGCTCTTTTATTTTTATTTTCATATTATCTGATTGTTCAAACTTTTTATATGATTCTTTATATTTCAAAACAAGGAGCCTATACACACCAGGTCGTCTCTTTCATGTCATTCTAAACATATTCAAAAATCTGAAATAGATAAAAAAAAAATGATATAAATACAGTACAATTTGTCAGTGATTGTTGTATATCTACCGGTATATGAAAAATAACAATTCTGTGATTCGATGTTCACTGATTCAACCTGATCTCCACATCTCACAATATTGAAAAACCATTTGCCATAGAAATGTATGGAACACTTGCTTTCAAAGTTGTTTTCATAGAGCAATGTCTCCCATTGTCTTCAGCTGACAGTTCACAAGACAGAGAGGAAGAAAAGGCTAAACAGGCAGAGATCTTACACATGTTTAGAGAGGGACCATTTGAAGAGATTGTGGCGAAGTCTGAGGCCAGAGTAAGTTAGCCTTTTGTAAAGTTATACAAGATAAACTTCTCATACATACTATAAGTATCCTACACTTATAATACCCCACATATATTTGTAGTACCCCAGACACATTTGTAGTACCCCAATGCATTCTTGCAGTGCCCCACACATCCTTATAGTACTCAAATATTGGAAAAAAGTATGCAAATGAATAGAACTCTAACCGGAAAATTTTCTTGTATTTCCCCAAAAATACTTGTAGCTCCCAATACATATTTGTAGTACCCTACACATACTTTCTGTACCCCATACATACATGGATATGAAATTGACCCACTCTGTCTACCTTAATAGAGATTTGATAAAAGGCACATGCCATACACGCACATTTGGTGTCAATTGGAGTGTGCTGAGATTTGAAATTGACCCACTCTGTCTACCTTAATAGGGATTTGATAAAAGGCACATGCCATACACGCACATTTGGTGTCAATTGGAGTGTGCTGAGATTTGAAATTGACCCACTCTGTCTACCTTAATAGGGATTTGATTAAGGCACATGCCATACACGCACGTGTGATGTCAATTGGAGTGTGCTGAGATTTGAAATTGACCCACTTTGTCTACCTTAATAGGGATTTGATTAAGGCACATGCCATACACGCACATTTGGTGTCAATTGGAGTGTGCTGAGATTTGAAATTGACCCACTCTGTCTACCTTAATAGGGATTTGATTAAGGCACATGCCATACACTCACATGTGATGTCAATTGGAGTGTGCTGAGATTTGAAATTGACCCACTCTGTCTACCTTAATAGGGATTTGATTAAGGCACATGCCATACACGCACATGTGATGTCAATTGGAGTCTGCCGAGATTTGAAATTGACCCACTCTGTCTACCTTAATAGGGATTTTATTAAGTCACATGACTACACACACATGTGGTGTCAATTGGAGTGTGCTGAGATTTGCTCATCAATCAATTTATTGACCAAATCTTCAATAATTAGTAGACAGATATGTTGGCAAATCCTTGAATGGCTCTTACGGTTCAATGGGGAAGAATTTATTGTTTGTTTGTCTTGTCAATAGTGTCTTTTGATTACAGTTATTCAGAAGAACAGCAATAAAGTCTTTCTATTTATTTTGATTTCTTGCTCTGTTGGGGAAGCCTTGGGAAATTGAACACTAAATCAACAATATTATTTTGCTCAGTTTGTTAGTTAACTACTATATTTTGAAAAACAACAGCCTTCTTGTTTGCATTGTAATTTGCTTTTAACAGCTTTTCAATTAATGTTTCACAAGTTAAACGTCTAATTGAATTTATATATTCATCATATCCACATGATATATGTAGATGTATGATTTGAGTAATATATTAAAAGTAAAGTCATAACTTCTGTGGAGACATAACAAAAAAAGCGTAACAAGAAATGACATTTGGAAAATATTGTAAAATCGTAACAATTTTTAAGAATGGTTCCCAAATCAATCTTATCCCTTGGTTCTTTAAACTTAAATCATTAATTTTCAAGATTGTTGCTTAACAAGAAAAATATTTGATTTTAGGCCACCAGGTTTCACAGCAAGGTTGATGAAATACTGAAGATGTTAGATGAACAAGCGGAATCAGTGGAGAACCAAGACATCGATAGAGACATTACAAATATAGATGAACCTATTCCAATATATGAAATCAAATATCCAGATTTATTCGTTTACTAGAACATAATTTAGATAATTATCCTAGGAGATTTTGGAGATTTTTAATTAAATTAATAATTATGTAAAATGAACTATTTATTTATATAAGATAGTACAGTAATGTTGCTGTATATGTTTGTTAGTGTATAAGTAACAAATAGAATATAGACTATTACACAAGATGTATGTGTTTATGCAATAAAGCTATGTAGTTTTGTGTCAATTTTGTGTTTAACATGACCTGAAAGGGATTGAATTTGTGTAAAGTCCAAGAACCAATAATACATTGACCTAAGTGGAATATCATATTACCCTAGGTATGAAATAGAGGTTATTTACTTGGAGGGATTCAATATGCATTTTACTATGAGGGAAAAAATGAAATATCATATTGTCACGAGAAATAAACCCATATTTAAGTAGTAGTATCATGGGATAATTTAAGATATACCATTTACATCCATTCAAAATGAACACACTTTCAAGAGGGAAGTTTCATTGTAAAACAACACAAGAATCTTATCCTGCAGTTCGGGTACATAATTCCATTTACACTCATTCACTTGAGGTGTAAGCATGTTTGTATGTGGATGCACCACATTTTCAATGTGTGTGCCACTGTTTTAAAAGTGATTCCAATAAATAAATAAAAAAAAATATGTTCAATTGATCTAATTTATGAAACAAAATATATAAGTATTTGTTTATACAAAATCTTGAAACCTTGCAATATGTTTAACAGTTGCAAATATTTATTTTAATTGTTTACCATTTTATTCTGTCATTCCATCAAAATGTAATTTAATTTTGTTAAAAGTAATTATTGATTGCTAATCCCATCTCATCATGGTTTTTACAAAGAATATAGCGAGGACATCAATTCGTCTGTCTGTCTTCAATGTTCTCAAATATTTCCATTTCGCTCAAATTTTGGAAATTATGTTCCTTTTCAATGACTTAGTTAAGTGTACTTTAGAATCATAAAAAGCTACTGCTTTTGAGATAAATTGTAAATGTGTTGAAATTGTAATTGTGAGGAAAAAGTAGTTCATATTTTGCCAACTATTGATACACTCCTTTCCAAAAGTTTTGCAACATTAAGTCCCTCTTGGATATTATCAATACAGATTTTAGTGTGTTTGTCAATTTTAACAATTATCAAATTTGAGGACAAAATTCAAATTCAATAACATGCTTCTATCTAATAAGGACTTCCTTTGGCAAACATATGGATGTACCATCTTTAATACTAGGAAAATGCCCTTAAAATGTCTATCATTCTCATTGAAATATAAAGCAATGCATGCAAGACTAAAATAATGACAATTTTACTCCATAAAGTCCTCCATGGATGTTTCTTAAGATAAGCACTTCAGAATCAGTAGATGGCCTCAAGTGCAAGTGTTTCATAATGTAATTAACAAGTGGCTGGCTATCGCTGCACCCACAGTGTTGCTGTCAAGCTGGATAACTCAGCTATAAAAGGTTGTAATATTTCACACCCAAGGGACAACTGATTCAACTTCATGCTGTACACATTAAATTATATCATGAGCAGATGCTTTCGATTGAAGGTAAGCTGAAGATTTTTTAAATTTTCAAACAGTATTTTAATTTGGAATAATTAATCTGAGATAAATGCTCAATATTGGCACTTCTCTGAGTATTTCAGATAAATATGGATATGCATTGTATAATTTATAAAACAAATGAAGACAAAAATCTAAAAATGTTTAGTTTTCCTTTTATTTTAGGATTTTAAGAGATAAAAAGACATGTATTGGCCAAAAATATTTAAAAATTGAAACATTTTTGGAAAGATTGCAATTAGATGTAATTCTGCCTTAAAAGTTGTTTCTCTATGATGTTTCTTTAAATATTGTTCATATTTCGATTCTAGATGGTGAACATGATGAAATCTCTCTATTTTTACTGGCTAGTATGTGTTAATATGATGAAAACTGATGCATCATCTATACTGAAACCTGATGGCAAGTTTATTCTGTATTTACATTTGACCTACTGAGTTTTGATGCTTGATTCATTCTGTTAGATGCCCATTGTTTGTAGTTTCATTTATTTTGAAGCTTGCATAATGGAGATATCACAACTGTCAGGTGTTGTATTTCTTGTATTGCCAGTGGCGTTCTTATTTCAATAGTTTTTAATTTGCCATGTTTTGTACCAACATACATTAATTTAAATCAAAAATGTTGAGTGTTTTTTTCACATTAAGAATGTGGTTTGGACATAATGGTAGTCCTAGATGGTAGTTCCAGTATCTCTAAGGAGAACAAGGCTATAACACGTAGTGCTTTACTCCCCATGGTTGACCACTTACAAGAGCTGACTGGTATTGGTACGGGAGCTAAGTCATCCCTCATAAGCTTTATACTGTATGGCGAAGAAATACTATTACAAGTTGATATGTCCAAACACCAAACATACAACGATGTGGTCACACAGCTGAAAAGGACACTTCTAGTGGAGGATGAATGGCCATATTGGAGACATACAAGAACAGATCTTGCATTGACAAAAGCCCTACAACATCTGATGACTGCAGGCAGACCAGACACCCGCAAGATGATTATTCTTGAAACTGATGGAGCAACATTTCCTTTAGGAAAACATAGGAGGACTATAATGATTGCTCAATATAACAGTAAGTATAAATTGATTAGGATTTTACTCCACAATGTAATTTACCATGGTTACTAAACTGTAGTTCCTGCTTTGATTGTATTTAAACAATTTACCGAAATAAGATGAGACATATCTTGATGACAATATATATATATTGACTATATCATGTCTGAAAAATCTGATTTCCCCAAAACAAGGCAAAATTAAGAGATGGAAACCAGTGGCTTAAATTACCAGCATGGACTTCGGCTACCGGAATTAACCCACTATTTTATGGGCAACTCATTTAAATATGAATAATACCTGCCAATATTCCATTCATAATGATATGAATTGGTCATAAAATAGTAGGTTAATCTGTTAGCATAAAAAATATAGATAAATATAAAAAATATGAATAATAAAAAAAAAATCTGGTAGCATACATCCGAAAGTTGCATTCGCGTATCAAGCTTAGGGTAGCATTTCCATTGATGCTAATTAAGCAAGGAATAATATCTGATGCTGTGTACTAGCAATAGAATCCCCTTCTAACAATGTCACAATCCTTTTTCCCTTAATTTTGCAATGCACCCAATGATCAGAAGCTCAAACATTTTTTCAATTTTTACCATAAATTATCTTTAGATGGCACTATTTGATTGTCAATTAATCCTTTTAATTTCAGGGGAATATGTACAATACCAAATACCCATACTTGTGATTGTCTTCCCAAATAACTTTGGAAGTCGGTCCAGTCAAACTCAAGTGAACATGAAGAAAGAAATTAATGCTATTACGTGGGGGATTGAAAAGCGAATTTACAACACAACTGACTTTAATGATGCTGCAAGGACAATGGTATATATCTTAGATGATATATTTGACAGCAGCAGCACACGTGGATTGGATATCTCTAATAAATGCAACGATGGGCAAGGTAAATATTGATGTACACTTTAGCTTCTCTTGAAACTCCACATGTTTTCCTTACAATCCTTTTTATGTCACCACCATCAGAAGTGGTGACATATTGTTATAGTCTCCAACTTTTTTGTGGACAGCATTCGGAGTTTGGCAGTTGGTGTTTGGAATTAGGCATTCAGTATGTGTAACAAATGGCAGGTGGTGACATTTTGCATGTTAATACTTTGTATTATTTTATGAAAACTGAAGATTCAAAATGCATTTATCTTCTTCCTTTAAGTGCAAGAGGTTTCAGTAAAGAATTAACAATGTAGAACACAATTGCAAGCAGCATATTTACAGCATATACATAATAGAGGAATATCCTATGGTTTTAAGGAACATTACGTTTACCCTTGAGTGGGGGGGATATCTATCATTTCCACAAGCAGTTGATTCGACAAAAGCAAGAGCCAAAGAAAATCATTGTATAATGATAATCACAATTGTATTTTTATTATTCATATTTGTAGTTGAAGCCACACAAGTTTCAACAACTGCAGCCCCTCCACAGACTCAATGCTGCCCGTGCCCTGGTAAGTATTACTATGTATTGGATATTCAAAATCATGCATTATTGAATTAGTCTAGGATATTTACAGCTATATCATGTATATTCTGGATTGATTTCACATTCACATTCTATGAAGATACAAAAGACACAAAATGCTGCCCTTTTTTATAAAAATGCAATTTTGAAAGGCTTTGTGTAGAAAACCTTGTACATTATGCCCCCATACTACAACATCAAAACTGTTGTTATATGACTTAATTTTAAAAAAACTTCTAAATCTCAATTTACACTCAATTATTGTAGGTCAAATTAAATTCGGGCTATTCAATGTTTTTAAACACAACCACTACCTATTTATCATTCCATTGCATACTATTTGTTTACATTAATATGGAACATATATTCCAAAAAAGGGGCCATTCAATATAAACACGTGACCTTGGATTGAATGTACTTGTGATATTGTATGTTTGGTGATATTATGGATAACTTTGATTTTAATAGGACTAAAATACCTGTTGCCAACAAGTTAAATTGGATCCAATAATAAGAATTTCAAAAAATACTGATTTTTATTAAGTTAACATGACCTACAATAATTGACAATAAATTGAAATTGGTTTTCATAAATTAAACTTTTTTTAAATTTATTCTAATGATAAACCGATATAAAGTTGTTTTTAAGATTTAACTTTTTGATTTAAAACTTGACTGTATAAACATTTGAAATTAGATTCAGGCAATATTTTGTAGAGATTTGCTGACCTGTTCCATATAGATGTAGGTATGTAATTGTTGTGTACCTTTATTACCATATAGGCGGGACAACTTTGGCAAGATCAACTTCTGCAACTGCAACATCAACTCAAGCTCCCACAGCATCAACTTCTGCAACTGCAACCTCAACTCAAGCTCCCACAGCATCAACTACTGCAACTGCAACCTCAACTCAAGCTCCCACAGCATCAACTACTGCAACTGCAACATCAACTCAAGCTCCCACAGCATCAACTTCTGTAACTGCAACATCAACTCAAGCTCCCACAGCATCAACTTCTGCAACTGCAACCTCAACTCAAGCTCCCACAGCATCAACTTCTGCAACTGCAACATCAACTCAGGCTCCCATTACAACACAATCTCCCTCTACAAATCAAATTCCTGCTAGAGCAAAACAACTGTTGAAGAATGATGAGCTTGAGGACGATGGGCTTGGAGAAAGTGACCATGGATCTGGGGGTACCTGTAATTGTGGGCCAGCTGATGATGGTTACGTGTTCAAGTCAAGCAAATGTATGTGGGGAAATGAACTTGTAAGTAATGCACAAATACTCATTCTAAAATTTTTATTCTAATTTCAATTAAAAGTAAATGTTATTATATATTGAAATTGTTAATATAGGATATATTATATTTGACAGATTTGAATATGATATATCCTTGTACAGGGTGAGCCAAAAGGTCATCCAGTATGGATTAAGTCACATTTAACATAAATCAACCTTGTTCAATGTTCTTTATTTCTATCAAGTTTCATTAGTTTATGTCCAATGGTCACAATTTTATGGCCATTTTCCAAAACATGCTCCAAATGCCAAAACATACCAAAATCACCCAATATGAAATCCTGTAATTTTATCTTTGGGGCCATTTCAAAGATAATATCGACATTAACAACCCTAGAAGCAGCAGAGAGTTGAAGCAAGAGATGAGAAGGCAAATGAGAGTCATTACACAAGATATCTGTGAGCGTGTAATCAGAAAACTTCACCCGATGCATTCAAGTTTGCCTCCAAAAACAAGACTGGCATTTTGACGATGTTTTGTAAAATGTCCATATAATCGTGACCATTTGGAATTGACCAATGACATGTAGAAGAATGAAAGACCATTGAACAAGGTTCAATTGTGCCAAATATGACCTTTAAACCAATACTGGATGACTGCGAAATTAAGATTTGATTGGGTTACCTTTTTTTGGCTCACCTTGTACATTCTATGTTGCAGGCAGGTTGCTTTAAGATATATGACACTCCTGGTGATGATGAGACTATTTGGGAAGATGCAGAAGAAAGATGTAGAAAGGAGGGGGCTCATCTTTCCAGATGGAATAGTCCTGGTTGTCTTAATGATATACAAACATATTTTAGAGAGCAAAGTAAGAATATTTTACAATTAAGAGGCATTGTTTGTTGAAATCTTCATAGGTGGATTTTTCTTTTGCTTTCAGAGTCTGATTTACAAGGTCTGAGCAAATTGTTAAACTTATTACATATGTAACATAATATGAATGAATTGAAGTATGAAAATAAATGTATATGTATTTATTAATAATATGCATATTGTAATAATAATATTTCAATAGGAAATGAACTATACCTGATGAAGTTGACTTGAAATATATAAAGCATAAGATTTCAGAATTAGGGTATATGAAATATTTAAGAAATATAGACTTAAGAGCAGGGGTAATATAATCAAATACACCCCGCATGGCTAGGCACAAACGTCTTCTGTACCCCAAACAACCGAAGTGAGTGAGGGGTTCGAAAGCTTTTGTGCTTAGCCCTAAGGGGTGTATTCGACGATATTACACCTGCTCTGAGGTCTATATTACAATTCAAACAGGAAAACTCCCCAAAATGTTTAGAATATTCATTATGGTCTGTCATTTTTACTGCCCACCATTATGTCACTCATTTCTCGTATTACTAGGGGTATTGTTCACGAATATACCCCGGGTGAAATGTTGACTTTGTTCACAGTTTATAGAAAGTGTGGATACAGTCATGTTTGAATATTTGTTCATCTCATATAAATATCAACTTCCATGCTATGTATGTTTCAGACTATCCATCCTCGAGACATTTTTGGACATGCGCTCAAGATCCTCCATACAATTTTACATGTGACCGTAAGTTGCATCAAAATATTTTTAACATTGTTTCACAAATAGCAGCCTACTATATAAATGATTTTTTTAAATATTGAATCAGATTTTGAAAAAAGGATGTGATCTTTTTGAGGATTGAATTGAATAGTGTTATTTCAATCCAATATAATTCCCCTACACATCAGCAAAGTTGAGTAGAGAGTGAGAGAGGATCTAGAGAGTAAGACTACAAATTAATAAAATGCCTTTTAAAATTGTTGTTTTATTGATCTTAGCTACAAGAATAGAATATACAAATGGGGAAGAGCAGAAAAACTCTGCAGGATGCTACACATACCATCATAAGAGTAACTCCTTTACTGAAATATTCCATATGCAATGCCAAGCACATAAGATGTTTATGTGTCAACGTTTATGCTCAGGTGAGTATTGGTTGAATCTTAGATATGGAGCACTAACATTATTGTTATGCTATTATTTGTGGTTTCAAGCTGACATATGTTCACTTAAACGTTTTCAAATGACACAAAATATATTAGATTATTACATATTCCGTGGAAATATAGTTATTTCATTGTTGTGTACTTTTATTACCATATAGGTGGGGCAAGTTTGGCTGCATCAACTTCTGGAACTGCAACATCAACTCAAGCTCCCACAGCATCAACTTCTGCAACATCAACTCAAGCTCCCATTACAACACAATCTCCCTCTACAACTCAACTTCCTGCAACAACAGAACAACAGCTTGAAGACGATGGGCTTGGAGAAAGTGGGCTTGGATCTGGTGATACCTGTAATTGTGGACCAGCTGATGAGGGTTTTGTGTTCAAGTCAGACAAATGTATGTGGGGAGATAAAATAGTAAGTTAGACACAATTACACATTCTTCAATAAAAAGACTTGAATTGAATCTACAAAATGGTACGATCAAGTTTGATGTAATGATTTTTACTTTGTTGACTTCTAGATACAGCTAATAGCGAATGACTTTGGTTATTACATGACATGGTTAACGATATAATATATCCTTGTATGTTTTGTGTTGCAGGCAGGTTGCTTTAAGATATATGACACTCCTGGTGATGATGAGACTATTTGGGAAGATGCAGAAGAAAGATGTAGAAAGGAGGGGGCTCATCTTTCCAGATGGAATAGTCCTGGTTGTCTTAATGATATACAAACATATTTTAGAGAGCAAAGTAAGAATATTTTACAACTAAGGGCATGGTTTGTTGAACTCTCCATAGGTGGATTTTTTGTTATGCTTTCACCAAGAACATTAAAGAGGTAGTAATATTATATTCCTCATTTTTCTGACTGGTATTCAGAGTCTGGCATACAATGTCAGTGGCAAATTATTAAATTTTTGATATGAACACAATGTTTCAATACTATCTTCTAGCAGTTACAATGGCAGTGCATTTACAAACATGAGAAAAAACTCACCTTCTGACATTTTCAGACATCCATTTGATTTCAAAACCCATATGTTAACAAAATGTGATACATTCATTTTTGTTTTAATGAAGTATTAATTCAAGAGGAAATGGGTTATAACCGTAGAAGTTAATGTTAAAGAAGCTTGGAATACATGAAATAAATACAAGATTTCAGAATTTGAGTAATAAAATTGTATGATATATTCTTTGTTTATCTGCAATAGATCTCAATTCCCGTGTTATATATGTATGTGACTTTGTCTGTATTTCAGTAATGTTATGTTTTCAGACTATCCATCCTCCAGACATTTTTGGACATGTGCCCAAGATCCTCCATACAATTTTACATGTGACCGTAAGTTATACCAAAATATTTTTAACATCTTTCTCAAACTGCAGCCTAGTGTTAAAAATTGAATAAATTTAAGGAGCGAAGCAGATTTTAAAAATAGAATGTGGTCTTTGTTGGAATGATTGAATTGAATAGTCTTGATTCAGTCCAATTTGATTACTCCACACATTAGCAAATTTAAGTAGAAAGGGGAAGGGGAAAGTATACATGAGGCTATAAATTAATGAAACATTGTGCTTTAATTTAATGATTTTAGCGACAAGGGAAGAATTTACAAATGATGGAAAGCAGAAAAATACTCCAGGATGCTACACCTACCATCACAAGAGTAACTCCTTTACTGAAATATTCCATATGCAATGCCAAGCACATAAGATGTTTATGTGTCAACGTTTATGCTCAGGTGAGTATTGGTTGAATCTTAGATATGGAGCAGTGCCAGTATACATTATTGTTATGCTATTATTTGTGGTTTCAAGCTGACGTATGTTCACTTAAACGTTTTCAAATGACACAAAATATATTAGAATATTACATATTCTGTGGAAATATAGATATTTCTTTGTTGTGTACTCTTTATTATTACCATATAGGTGGGGCAAGTTTGGCGGCATCAACTTCTGCAACTGCAACCTCAACTAAAGCTCCCACAGCATCAACTTCTGCAACATCAACTCAAGCTCCCATTACAACACAACCTCCCTCTACAACTCAACTTCCTGCAACAACAGAACAGCTTGGAGAAGATGGGCTTGGAGAAAGTGAGTTTGGATCTGGTGATACCTGTAATTGTGGACCAGCTGATGAGGGTTTCGTGTTCAAGTCAGACAAATGTATGTGGGGAGATAAAATAGTAAGTTAGATACAATTACACATTCTTCAATAAAAAGACTTGAATTGAATCTACAAAATGGTATGATCAAGTTTGGTGTAATGATGTTTACTTTGTTGACTTCTAGGTACAACTAATAGCGAATGGCTTTGGTTATTACATGACATGATTAATGATATAATATATCCTTGTATGTTTTGTGTTGCAGGCAGGTTGCTTTAAGATATATGACACTCCTGGTGATGATGAGACTATTTGGGAGGATGCAGAAGAAAGATGTAGAAAGGAGGGAGCTCATCTTTCCAGATGGAATAGTCCTGGTTGTCTTAATGATATACAAACATATTTTAGAGAGCAAAGTAAGAATATTTTACAACTAAGGGCACTGTTTGTTGAACTCTCCATAGGTGGATTTTTTGTTATGCTTTCACCAAGAACATTAAAGAGGTAGTAATATTATATTCCTCATTTTTCTGACTGGTATTCAGAGTCAGGCATACAATGTCTGTGGCAAATTATTAAATTTTTGATATGAACACAATGTTTCAATACTATCTTCTAGCAGTTACAATGGCAGTGCATTTACAAACATGAGAAAAAACTCACCTTCTGACATTTTCAGACATCCATTTGATTTCAAAACCCATATGTTAACAAAATGTGATACATTCATTTTTGTTTTAATGAAGTATTAATTCAAGAGGAAATGGGTTATAACCGTAGAAGTTAATTTTAAAGAAGCTTGGAATACATGAAATAAATACAAGATTTCAGAATTTGAGTAATAAAATTGTATGATATATTCTTTGTTTATCTGCAATAGATCTCAATTCCCGTGTTATATATGTATGTGACTTTGTCTGTATTTCAGTACTGCTATGTTTTCAGACTATCCATCCTCCAGACATTTTTGGACATGTGCCCAAGATCCTCCATACAATTTTACATGTGACCGTAAGTTATACCAAAATATTTTTAACATCTTTCTCAAACTGCAGCCTAGTGTTAAAAATTGAATAAATTTAAGGAGCGAAGCAGATTTTAAAAATAGAATGTGGTCTTTGTTGGAATGATTGAATTGAATAGTCTTGATTCAGTCCAATTTGATTACTCTACACATTAGCAAATTTAAGTAGAAAGGGGAAGGGGAGAGTATACATGAGGCTATAAATTAATGAAACATTGTGCTTTAATTTAATGATTTTAGCGACAAGGGAAGAATTTACAAATGATGGAAAGCAGAAAAATACTCCAGGATGCTACACCTACCATCACAAGAGTAACTCCTTTACTGAAATATTCAAGATGCAGTGCCAAGCACATAAGATGTTTATGTGTCAACGTTTATGCTCAGGTGAGTATTGGTTGAATCTTAGATATGGAGCAGTATACATTATTGTTATGCTATTATTTGTGGTTTCAAGCTGACATATGTTCACTTAAACGTTTTCAAATGACACAAAATATATTAGATTATTACATATTCCGTGGAAATATAGTTATTTCATTGTTGTGTACTTTTATTACCATATAGGTGGGGCAAGTTTGGCTGCATCAACTTCTGGAACTGCAACATCAACTCAAGCTCCCACAGCATCAACTTCTGCAACTGCAACATCAACTCAAGCTCCCATTACAACACAACCTCCCTCTACAACTCAACTTCCTGCAACAACAGAACAGCTTGGAGAAGATGGGCTTGGAGAAAGTGAGTTTGGATCTGGTGATACATGTAATTGTGGACCAGCTGATGAGGGTTTTGTGTTCAAGTCAGACAAATGTATGTGGGGAGATAAAATAGTAAGTTAGACACAATTACACATTCTTCAATAAAAATACTTGAATTGAATCTACAAAATGGTATGATCAAGTTTGGTGTCATGATGTTTACTTTGTTGACTTCTAGGTACAACTAATAGCGAATGACTTTGGTTATTACATGACATGGTTAACGATATAATATATCCTTGTATGTTTTGTGTTGCAGGCAGGTTGCTTTAAGATATATGACACTCCTGGTGATGATGAGACTATTTGGGAAGATGCAGAAGAAAGATGTAGAAAGGAGGGAGCTCATCTTTCCAGATGGAATAGTCCTGGTTGTCTTAATGATATACAAACATATTTTAGAGAGCAAAGTAAGAATATTTTACAACTAAGGGCACTGTTTGTTGAACTCTCCATAGGTGGATTTTTTGTTATGCTTTCACCAAGAACATTGAAGAGGTAGTAATATTATATCCCTCATTTTCCTGACTGGTATTCAGAGTGTGGCATACAATGTCTGTGGCAAATTATTAAATTTTTGATATGAACACAATGTTTGTATACTATCTTCTAGCAGTTACAATGGCAGTGCATTTACAAACATGAGAAAAAACTCACCTTCTGACATTTTCAGACATCCATTTGATTTCAAAACCCATATGTTAACAAAATGTGATACATTCATTTTTGTTTTAATGAAGTATTAATTCAAGAGGAAATGGGTTATAACCGTAGAAGTTAATGTTAAAGAAGCTTGGAATACATGAAATAAATACAAGATTTCAGAATTTGAGTAATAAAATTGTATGATATATTCTTTGTTTATCTGCAATAGATCTCAATTCCCGTGTTATATATGTATGTGACTTTGTCTGTATTTCAGTACTGTTATGTTTTCAGACTATCCATCCTCCAGACATTTTTGGACATGTGCCCAAGATCCTCCATACAATTTTACATGTGACCGTAAGTTTCATCAAAATATTTTTAACATCTTTCTCAAACTGCAGCCTAGTGTTAAAAATTGAATAAATTTAAGGAGCGAAGCAGATTTTAAAAATAGAATGTGGTCTTTGTTGGAATGATTGAATTGAATAGTCTTGATTCAGTCCAATTTGATTACTCTACACATTAGCAAATTTAAGTAGAAAGGGGAAGGGGAGAGTATACATGAGGCTATAAATTAATGAAACATTGTGCTTTAATTTAATGATTTTAGCGACAAGGGAAGAATTTACAAATGATGGAAAGCAGAAAAATACTCCAGGATGCTACACCTACCATCACAAGAGTAACTCCTTTACTGAAATATTCCATATGCAATGCCAAGCACATAAGATGTTTATGTGTCAACGTTTATGCTCAGGTGAGTATTGGTTGAATCTTAGATATGGAGCAGTATACATTATTGTTATGCTTTTATTTGTGGTTTGAAGCTGTATGAACAATTAAAGTTTTCAAATGACTCAAAATATATTAGAATATTACATATTCTGTGGAAATATAGATATTTCATTGTTATGTACTCTTTATTATTACCATATAGGTGGGGCAAGTTTGGCGGCATCAACTTCTGCAACTGCAACCTCAACTAAAGCTCCCACAGCATCAACTTCTGCAACTGCAACATCAACTCAAGCTCCCATTACAACACAACCTCCCTCTACAACTCAACTTCCTGCAACAACAGAACAGCTTGGAGAAGATGGGCTTGGAGAAAGTGGGCTTGGATCTGGTGATACCTGTAATTGTGGACCAGCTGATGAGGGTTTTGTGTTCAAGTCAGACAAATGTATGTGGGGAGATAAAATAGTAAGTTAGACACAATTACACATTCTTCAATAAAAAGACTTGAATTGAATCTACAAAATGGTACGATCAAGTTCGGTGTAATAATTTTTAATCTGTCGACTTTTAGGTACAACTAATAGCGAATGACTTCGGTTTTTACATGACATGTTTAATATAATATATCCTTGTATGTTTTGTGTTGCAGGCAGGTTGCTTCAAGATATATGACACTCCTGGTGATAATGAGACTATTTGGGAAGATGCAGAAGAAAGATGTAGAAAGGAGGGAGCTCATCTTTCCAGATGGAATAGTCCTGGTTGTCTTAATGATATACAAACATATTTTAGAGAGCAAAGTAAGAATATTTTACAATTAGAGGCATTGTTTGTTGAACTCTTCATAGGTGGATCTTTTTGTTTGGCATACAATGTCTGTGGCAAATTATTAAACTTTTGATATGAACACAATGTTTCAATACTATCTTCTAGCAGTTACAATGGCAGTGCATTTACAAACATGAGAAAAACACACCTGTCTGACATTTTCAGACATCCATTTGATTTCAAAACCAATATACAGGGTGTCTCAAAAAATGTACCCAAAAGTATATCAAGAGGACAGATAAACCAATCAATATTTTCAGACATTTTTTGCAGGGTCATGTAGCCAAAACATGAAAGTTTTCTCCCCAATACACCATTTTTATTTCAGTCTTGTCTTCTTAATGCTTTAACCCTTTACCTTTTACACCACATATTCAATGTAACCTCATATTTCGATGACAGGCTGTATCCTTACTGCTACATTGTTCATCACATTTGATAATAATTCCGGTGGAATGTTTTGGATTTCTCTATGGATGTTGCCCTTAAGTTGTTCTAGGTCTTTTTGCTTGGAATTAGCATTAAAACACTCCTTCAAATAGCCACAGAGAAAGATGTTTGAGGATGACGATGGCAGAACAAACACAGATGATCAGGTCAATTATCGGCAAATGATTCAGGAGTTACCTTCCAGAGTTAGGCAGGCTAGCCTGGACACCAAATGATATCCAAATGAAAACACAGTGCTCTCAAATTGATACACACAACAAAAGCTCCCCTAGAATCCACACCAATGCAGTTTCTTGAACCTCTGACTTCTCTGTATAAGGGGGCTATAAGACATTGTGAGGGCCTCCCTATTCACCATATTTGATGGCCCATACTTTTTTCTCTGAGGCTATTTGAAGGACCATTTTTATGCTAAACCCAAGCTAAGAGACCTAGAACAACTTAAGACCAGCATCCGAACAGAAATCAAAACATTCCACCAGAAATATCAAATGTGATGAACAATGTAGTAGTAAGGATACAGACTGTCATGGAAATATGATGTTACATTGAATATGTGGTGTAAAAGGTAACGGGTTAAAGTATCAAAAAGGCAAAACTGAATTAAAAACTGTGTATAGGGGAAAAATACTTTCATCTTTTATCTACAAGACCATGCATAAAATGTCTGAAAATATTGATTGGTTTGTCTATGGTGTTGATATACTTTTGGGTACATTTTTGTGATACACCCTATATATGTTAACAAAATGTGATACATTCATTTTTGTTTTAATAAAGTATTAATTCAAGAGGAAATGGGTTATACGAGGGGTGATCAATAAGTAATGGACTCTTTTTTACACAGATACTTTTTATAGACCAATCCCTTTGATTTTCCTACCAGTGATACATCATTCAATTATCTATCAATTCTGAAGATTTGAAGACAAAATATATAATACATATTGATATATCCTTATTTCCGTGAAGGAGGTACAGGTACCCCAGGACCGACATTTACGTCACATATTCAGTTTTTAGCCATTTTGGTAAATTTCAGTTAGATTGGAACTTTTTATGTGCAACAAGTGTTGTGTTGTTTGAATTTTTTTGCTGACTGGTAACACATAAACAGAAAGTATTGTGATGTCAGAGTGTTGTATGGAAGGGGTTTGCAGGTCAATTTGAGAAAGCATTGTGGAAGAAAGGGTTGGTGAGAGAAGGGCACACCCTACTCCATATGGACAATGCACCTGCCCACAGATCTCAAAATGTTCAGAAAACAATATCCCTGGAACTCAAGATCGAGCCCTTGGCCAATGCACCATATTGTCCAGATCTGCTCACATGTGACTTGTTTATTTCAATACTACTTATTTCTATAGAGAAAGGATGCAGGTTTATTGACATTGATGAAATAAACATGATAAAACAACCCGTGCAACTGCATCTGGCTACCATGTCAGAGAATGGATTCAGCCTTGTCTCACAATCTTGAGTTAAGAGGATGAGGAATTGTGTACATGTAGCACTTTATGGAACCTATAGAGGGCCCTGTGGAATGAATGTGGCATGAATACCACATAGTGATGATAAAATATTCAAAATCAACTATGGCAAAACAAAATGGGGTAATTCATGACCATAATGGTTTGTTTTGTTCAGCCTGCATTCATGTTAAACAAGCTAAAATAGCTTCAGAATATGTGACGTAAATGTCGGTCCTGGGGTACCTGTACCCCCTTCACAGAAATAAGGATATATCAACATGTATTATACATTTTGTCTTCAAATCTTCAGAGTTGATAGATAATTGAATGATGTATCACTGGTAAAAAAATCGAAGGGATTGGTCTATAAAAGCATCTGTGTAAAAAAGCGTCCATTACTTATTGATCACCCCTCGTAACCGTAGAAGTTAATGTTAAAGAAGCTTGGAATACATGAAATAAATACAAGATTTCAGAATTTGAGTTATAAAATTGTATGATATATTCTTTGTTTATCAACAATAGATCTCAATTACTGTGTTATGTATGTATGTGACTTTGTCTGTATATCAGTACTGTTATATTTTCAGACTATCCATCCTCAAGACATTTTTGGACATGTGCCCAAGATCCTCCATACAATTTTACATGTGACCGTAAGTTTCATCAAAATATTTTTAACATCTTTCTCAAACTGCAGCCTAGTGTTAAAAAATTGAATAAATTTAAGGAGCAAAGCAGATTTTAAAAATAGAATGTGATCTTTGTTGGAATGATTGAATTAAATAGTCTTGATTCAGTCCAATTTGATTACTCTACATATTAGCAAAGTTAAGTAGAAAGGAGAAGGGGAGAGTATATATTAGGCTATAAATTAATGAAACATTATGCTTTAATGATCTTAGCGACAAGGAAAGAATATACAAACGATGGAAGGCAGAAAAATACTCCAGGATGCTACACATACCATCACAAGAGTAACTCCTTTACTGAAATATTCAAGATGCAATGTCAAGCACATAAGATGTTTATGTGTCAACGTTTATGCTCAGGTGAAAGTGAGCTTGGATTTGAAGGTGAGTGATGCTTGAATCTTAGATATGGAATAACACAGGTTATCTTTATGCTATTAAATTCAAAATACTGTTTACAAATTCATTTTGGTCAAAGGAACAAGGCATCCATGAGAGATAAACTAGAAAATAGCATTTCCATGGAGTAGCAACTCCCACCAAATAAACATATTTTAAGATAAGAATAAAAACCTTATTATTTGACTCTTGAGCATGCAGAGTCCTTTATATGTCTCTTGAGCATCAGCATATTAAACTTAAATCCATCAATTTGTATTTGAATTATTTTTCATAAAAAATGGTGGCTATTTTTAATGGCCATATTTAAAATGCCTTTTTGAGTAAAGGTCCTTTGCCTACATTTTTACAAAAAATGGCAGCCATTTTGAAAAGATTAAACATCCTTTCCTCTAGACATCAGCAGGCAAAATTTGAACCAAATCTGTCCACTGATATTTCAGCTAACAAAGATAACTTTTTTTTCATGAATAATGGCATCCATTCTGAAATTCAATTGCCATCTTGGAAATTTTTTTTTGAGCAGAGCTCCTTTGTCCCTAGGTATCATTTTGAATCAAATCTTTGAACTAGTATTGTGTTATCAAAGACTACATTGTTGCCATTTTGAATAACGCAGACATCTTGAAAATGACTTTCTTCAGTGAACCTAGGGCATTGGCATGTAAAATTTGAACCAGATCTGTCCATTGATATTCAAGTTATCAGTGATTATATTTTTTTCACAAAAAATGGTGGCCATTTTGAAATTCAGTGGCCATCTTGAAAATTTCTTCTGAAGCAGAGCTCACAGTCAATAGGTATCAGCATGTAAAATATGAACCAAATTCGCTCACCACTATATCAAATATTACATTTTTTAAAGAAAAATGACGAAACCATCTTGGAAATGTCTTCTTGAGCAGAGCTCCTTTGTCCCTAGACATCAGCATATTAAATCTGAACTAAATCCATCAACTTGTATGTGACTTATGGTAGCCATTTTGATTTGAGTGGCCATATTGAATATTTCTTCTCAACCAGAGGTCCTACAAACATAAGGCATAAGCCTACAAAATGTGAACTAAATCCATTGACAAGTGTTTGATTTGATGTACGAAATGACAGAAAGCTTCTCTCAAATTTCATTCAGTGGGATAATAAACCTGTTATTGCCAAAGGCAGATCATTACTAATGATATGCTATAAAATGGTGTATTTTAATATACCTTCAGTTGGCTCAACTGTGACCAATTCAAATGAGTTAGTTAAGATTCATTTCGAAATCTTTCCTGAATATTGTATCATGTTTATTACTAATATCCTACTAAACCCAGATACTTTTTCTTTTCAGAACTCTTTTAAGGTAGCTTTACTGTACAAGTGATCTAAAGACAAGATGTTTGTACTGATGAGTGAATAGTTAGGATAACTTAAAAACTTTTTAATTTGGACAATTTTAACATTCAGACAATGACATCAAAGTTCCAATTACAGTAAAACCTGTCTTAGTGAACACCTCTCTCTAGTGAACACCTGTCCCTAGTGGACACTCTTCCTACGCACATAGTCCACTGACTTCTGTATAAATTACCCTCTCTCTAGTGAACACCTACCTACAGTGAACGTTTTTTCTTGGCAAAAAAATGTTCACTATACACAAGTTTTACTGTATATACAACTACAAAAGAATGTTGAAGTATCCCCAAAATAAATGAGGGAAGCCTTAAGAAAACAGCTTCGCTAATGCCTCAGTCACATATGATCTATGGCAACTGTAAGGCGTCTGTAGCTTTCCAAAATCGAGAGAAATATGCAGCATAAAATATAGTGATAAGCAGTACGATGTAGATTTTCTATTTTGTGTAGCTACAGCTGCTGTAGTACAAAAATGTGACTGAGTCTTTAGGATGAGACTAATTCAAATGGATGATAAGACTAACATAAACATAATATTCTAATATATCGATATTCTAACACTAATGAACCTTACTTATGAAGATTTACAGGCTATTGAGTCGACCACCATCACTGACTTAAATAACGGGTTAATCAGGCTATTTAAGCAGCTACAAACACCGAATTGTGGTCTGTTCGCCATTGTGGGATTCAGTCTCTACTATCCCTTGGTACAAGCTTTTGATAAAGAGAGACAGATACATCAGAATGTCCTTTCGTTAATTTAACCAAACAGCTTTATTATAATCGATCTTTACAGAGGCATAAATGTCATGTGATCATTGATCACTGTTAGTTGACGAACAGGTTGTTCGTTATTTCAAATTCAAAATGACGAGTTTAATTTTGCAAATTATTAGATTAATCCTGCAGTTGCATTCTCAATTGCTTGACTGGATCCAATTGGCTTCATTGTTTGCTCTTAGCCTTTAAAGTTACATAAGACATGATTTACTAAAATTGTTTTACCAGAAAGCAATCACATTTTCGCGGCTATTAAATTTCGCAGTTTTCACAAGTTCAAATTTCATTATCCTCTGAATCTTCAAGTTTTGTAAACTAAGTTACCTTTAATACATTAGTTGTAGTTACATCCAACTCAGTGTAATATTTGGATAAAATTCATAATTACTAGATCTTTGAGACGGTATGCTGCACCCCAACCACTATTACATCGTCATTTTTAGTCTAACTGATCCAATAAGCCAGTGTAAGAGAAATGCTATATCCCATTTATCACCCAATAACACTGGATGAACGTGATGAAATGCATTTGAGTCCCAGGTAATAAAAAATTCCACAGGGATTTAATTTGCATATTTCGAGACAATTCATTTTCAATGATTTTACAGCAAAATCGCAAAAAGTGCGGAAGTAAATCACATGCGACAAATACCGGGAGTACAGTAAATTCATTACTTATAAGTGGACACAAATAATTCAGTTTTGATTAGTATTGTGTATATAAGAATAACTGCATGTAGATGTACTTTCATTAATACAAAGATACTATGTAAGACTGGAGTTTAACAAGAACTGTAAATATACATGGGGTTCTATAATATTTTTACATGTATATGAATATGACATGTATGATGCCCACTTTACTTTTTAACAACAATCTCTGTTACTGTACATTCTGTGAAACAATGTTTAAACTCATTTGTAAATAAATCTCAATTATATATGATGAACATTTTTTTTGTGTTTATGGATTATAGTATAGATGGGCCAAAAATGGGACAGTCACGTCATGAAAATAAATGTGTCTTACCTTGTATTCGCGAATGCAACTAACGCCTGTCGGCCACCGGATTAACCTATATGGATTTGAATGGAATAGTGGCAGGTACTATTCATATTTAAATGAGTTGCCCATAAAATAGTAGGTTAATCCGGTAGCCGACAGGCGTTAGTTGCATTCGTGAATACAAGTTAACATTTGTGAATGTTGTATAACATTTTTTAAATAACTTTAAAATGGCTGCTAGAATCCATTTGTTTTATCATCTCTACAAAAAAGCCATTATTTAAGGAAAAAATAATGATAGGCCATTCAATATGGTGAAATTCAGCACAAGTTGGACAGAATGTCATACACAGCACAGGTGAGTGCATTTGTACTGACATACTGTTCAACAAGTGTAGAATTTCACCATATTGAATGGCCTATCATTATTTATTCCAATTCAAACATAAAAAAATAAAACAATATTTAGAAAATTGGGGTCTATAAAATAACCAAACTTGCTGTTATTTTCGCCATTCATAGGTGTGACATCACAATACATAGATACCCAGATGATTGAATAGAGCACGGTTATGCATGTATGTAAAATACAGAACGTTCATTATTGGCCATATGCTGCATTCTGATTGGTTGAGAAATTCAATTAGAGCAGGGTCATGTTTGGATAAAGTATATTCAAAAGGAAGCTACATTGGAACCAAACTGAAGAGTTGGGCATCCACATATCACAAACATTTTGAATTTATTTATTTATGATTTATTTTTATTATATGTCTGACCTGATAACAATTCCATCAATTTATCACAATACATTGGATGTAATTCACACAGCTAGGCAAGGTGTGTCACAATCACAATACATTGTATGTAATTCACATATAGCTAGGCAAGGTGTGTCACAATCACAATACACTGTATGTAATTCACATATAGCTAGGCAAGGTGTGTCACAATCACAATACAATGTATGTAATTCACAAATAGCTAGGCAAGGTGTGTCACAATCACAATACATTGGATGTAATTCACATATAGCTAGGCAAGGTGTGTCACAATCACAATACATTGTATGTAATTCACACATAGCTAAGCAAGGTGTGTCACAATCACAATACATTGTACGTAATTCACACATAGCTAAGCAAGGTGTGTCACAATCACAATACATTGTATGTAATTCACATATAGCTAAGCAAGGTGTGTCACAATCACAATACATTGTATGTAATTCACACATAGCTAGGCAAGGTGTGTCACAATCACAATACATTGTACGTAATTCACACATAGCTAAGCAAGGTGTGTCACAATCACAATACATTGTATGTAATTCACATATAGCTAAGCAAGGTGTGTCACAATCACAATACATTGTATGTAATTCACACATAGCTAGGCAAGGTGTGTCACAATCACAACATTGTATGTAATTTACACATAGCTAATCAAGGTGTGTCACAATCACAATACATTGTATGTAATTCGCACATAGCTAGGCAAGGTGTGTCACAATCACAACATTGTATGTAATTCACACATAGCTAGGCAAGGTGTGTCACAATCACAATACATTGTATGTAATTTACACATAGCTAATCAAGGTGTGTCACAATCACAATACATTGTATGTAATTCACACATAGCTAGGCAAGGTGTGTCACAATCACAATACATTGTATGTAATTTACACATAGCTAATCAAGGTGTGTCACAATCAGAATACATTGTATGTAATTCACACATAGCTAGGCAAGGTGTGTCACAATCACAACATTGTATGTAATTCACACATAGCTAGGCAAGGTGTGTCACAATCACAATACATTGTATGTAATTTACACATAGCTAATCAAGGTGTGTCACAATCAGAATACATTGTATGTAATTCACACATAGCTAGGCAAGGTGTGTCACAATCACAACATTGTATGTAATTCACACATAGCTAGGCAAGGTGTGTCACAATCACAATACATTGTATGTAATTTACACATAGCTAATCAAGGTGTGTCACAATCACAATACATTGTATGTAATTCACACATAGCTAGGCAAGGTGTGTCACAATCACAACATTGTATGTAATTCACACATAGCTAGGCAAGGTGTGTCACAATCACAATACATTGTATGTAATTTACACATAGCTAATCAAGGTGTGTCACAATCACAATACATTGTATGTAATTCACACATAGCTAGGCAAGGTGTGTCGAAATCCAGCCAATCTTAACACAGTATTTCACATAACAGCAGTGCATGAAATAACCAATAACGCATTTGTTGTATGGTTGTCATCATGGTGAGAACTAAACTCACTGATTGGAAATGATGCTTTACCAATTTGACCCTTGCAAAAAGTTTCATTGAAAATATCTTCTTTTGGTGATTTTATATCCTTTAAGTGACATGGAAGAAAATATTTTGCAATGTGTGAAAAGAATTTAAGCCCAAGACGCAATGTATTGTGGATTGACCAAAAAATTAACACTCGATGCAAAGCATCTCATGCAAATTTTGGAAAGCAAAACCTTTAAGGAATGGTCATTCCACATTGCACAGAGTCAAGGACTTAAATCCTTAATTATAATTTTTGTCCAACCTATAATAATATCTTGATCAGTGGATCTGGGATACTTTTAATCAAATTCACCAAAAACATTGTTGACCAGGTGGTTTTCTGTGATTAATCATGGATTAATATACTACTGAGAATTTTATAATTGAACTTGTAGTCTTACAGGATTTTATTTTGGACGGAATTAGTAACTGCAATTCGAGACACCTCTCATTAAAATAAGGTAGCTTCTAGCTGATGACCTCTATTAATTATTTCAGTCTTAAGTTTCTCTGCTTGAAATCGTTCAAAACATCTGTTGATGTATGGAAGACAAATTGTGACATCATCATCCTTTGGCAGTACATTCAGGAAGACCTTAGGAGGAAGTAACTCAACCATTCGGGAAAGTGTCTCTGCAAATACAAATATATCTGTTTGATCTATGTCATACATGTGACATACATGTTGGGGGATATTATTTTCAAAGGTGTCCGATGAATCAAAGATTGGTCATCAAATTTCAATACAAGGTAATAACACCAACTACCTGCCATTTGTTACAGACACTGAACACCAACTGAACTGCTAGATGCCGAACACAGACCACCGAACACTGTCCACAAAAAATTTGGAGACTATAACGATATGTCACCACCGTATTTAAAGCTGGGGCTGAACTATTTTCACTTTGAAATGAAACATGACATGAAGCACTAATTAGAACATGAAAAGCAGTAACAAATCCCACCCAACAAACATATTTCATAGAATAATTCATCATTTTGAATATTACTTGATAGTAAAACAAACACCAATGACATGATTCAATACTATATAAGATATTCCTTGAGTACACATCACACAGCAATCTGACAACTGGCATTTGAGATATCAAAAAAGTTTTTTTTATGATAAAGTCGTGACCATTCAAAATTGAGCAGCCATATTAGAAATCTCATCTTGAACAGAGATTCTATCCCTGGAAAACATTTATCTATCAAATTTGGATCAAACTTGTATTTAAATGATGCAGCAGCCATTTTGATTTCAGAAGCTATCTTGAAAATTTCCTCTTGAGCAGAGATATCCTTAAAATATCAGCATTTAAGTTTTGAACCAAATCCATCAAATGAGATTTGAGTTATTACAACTTTATGAGAAATGTTGGCCATTTTGAACATCAACCAGTATTTGAGTTGACGCTCCTTGACAGATGAATGGAGGGATGATGGATGGATGGATAAACAGACAGACTAATGGACAGCTGCTCTATATCCTCTTCAGTATGAGAATAATAATCACCTATCTACCCAACCACCCACCTTTACCCATCCCTTAAGTACAAAAAGACCCTCATGAGAATATACCATACCTTTCAATGTATTCTCATACATATCTTTTGACTCAGCGCAAGTCTCAAGCTCGATCCTTGATAACATAACAGTCAACAGATATGACCACTGAAAATAGAGGGAAAACAAAGAACTTATTCCAGAATATGTTTTTACTATTTAAAATAGAGGCATCTACACTGTAAACAAATAGTCAGTTTTCATCCTGTTTCTCCAAGGTCAGTTAAACCTTTCTCTATAGGTAAAGTCCTTCAGTAGAAAGTGGGCAGATCCAAAGTTATAACTTGTGTAGTGAAATATATAAAATATATAGCAAATATTTATTCAGATGTTAACTGTACCTGGTTAGCATTAGTGTAGAATTGCGAAGCAGTGTAAATGGGTAGAACACTAGGAAAATGATCCAAGAGAATATCTAGAGGGAGGGTGGCACACTCCATACAGAGACATAACACCTCTAATGATCTCTGCCCTCTGATTGGTCCACTAGGTCCTTGGGCGCACCCTGCAATTGGTTCACTATAGCTTTGATTTTGGTCTTTATGTGGTTCACTCAGACCTTTTGTGGTCTGTCTGAGGGGTCCTTTACTGTCTTTGGTGCCCACTCTGTTTGGTCCATTATGACTGTGTGTCTTCTCAAGCACCAATTGGTACAAGTTATTGTCAGTATGGCTTGAGCAGAGTAAGGACTAAAAACAAGAAAACAGCCAGTATGTAGTTTCAATGTGGATTTGTTCTAATAAGTCACTTTTGTACAATAACAACAACATATCCATTCTCAACTACTTTAAAAATAACCAATGATAATTTACTAGTCAAACAAAAGTCAACGGAGAGCAACAAGGATAAAATTGAGTTCGCCAAATTTTTCAATATTGCAAGTCTGCCAAATGTCCAAAACAGCAAATCCGCCAAAATATGTAGCACCAAATTAAGGAGAAGTACAGTAACCTTAAAACGTGAAGAAATGAAATCTGCAAACCTGAATTATGGCCTAGTCACATAGCCCGGCCGATGAGGTTACGATGAGCCAGCGATGCAATTTTCACCGAACTCGGCCGAACACCGGCCGGACATCCGTGGCGTTTGTTGCTTAAAACCGCATCGGTGGTAGCTCGGTGAAATTTTAACTTCGGAGTTAAATTTCACCGGGCTCTCACCAAGCTCCCTCATCATGTCATCGCAGCCCAATCGTAACCACATCGGAAAACACCTCGGCCAGTGCACGGCCGAGTATCGGCCGGTGTCCCGTGCATCTGAGACAACCAGAGGACTAGGTTTTTTAACGGACAGCGGCCGAGCTCCGACCGAGCTCCGGCCGATGTTGGACAGAGCATCGGCCGGTCACTGTTCAAAGCCCGTTAACAACCTGGCCGGCGATCGCACGGTGTCCTGTTACCTGCTCGGGTACCGGCCGTATTCCTTCCGATGTCAAGCCGACCTCCGGCCGGTAGTTGCTGCCACATCGGCAGAAAAAAACTACCATTTTGAGACAGACTCCGTACGGTCACCGGCCGGTGTTCGGTCGGTCGCCTGAAGATGTCCGGACGGAGTCCGTTCACGTCACCGGGCTCTGCTTCCGATGAGGAGAGCTCGGTGGCACCAAAAAAATCCACCGAGCTCTACCGATGCCGGACATCGGCCGGGCTATGTGACTAGGCCATTAATTTTGCCTATATGAAGTTTTGGGATTAATTCTGCATACCTGAAGTTTTAGCAGGTCCTCATTGCAGCAACAACAGGGACAGGTACCATATCCATCCCCCTGGTCTGAAGATGGAGCCCTATTTATATCTGTAGGTTTATTAAGGTATAGACAAGGTCTCTGCCTCATATTTGCACCTTAAAAACAATATTTATTCCATATTTACATTTGATATTCAAAGGACATCATGTCAAAATAAAAATGGTATCTTAGTAGCAAATTGAAAAATATCATGATTTGGGCTTTAAAGCCATGAGACATGGCAATGTATCCAACAGTTAAAGGATGTATATAACTATATAAAACAATTTGATAGTTATATACAATCTTTAACAGATTTTTTCATTTGATCAGCCATTTGGTAAAATGACAAGCACGTTTAACTATGAAGTAAAAAGAGCATCAAATGATTAACTCATGATATGGTTTCATTATTATATACTCTTTTGCTTTGATCAGAACTGAGCCATTCCTTTTATTTAAAGCGGCTCTAAGGTCTGTGGAGAGAAAAATGGAGAAATTTTACCTTTTCTGAGCTATCAGGGCGAAGTTTGGTCTAACATCTTCTTCCTTATTCCTATTTTATAAAAATGTATGCATATGGCAATATTCATCAACCAGTAGAACTGGCAAATCGTTTAGAATCTACAATTCCATACAAGGAGTCCCACTCATAAATTTTTTCAAATTCATTCCAAGTCGACGTCGAAACACCTAGCGGGTGAATTTGAAACTAATTTTTCTGGTCGCTTGAATCGATAAAATCTCTGACAGTGTGAGTCTTTTTAAGAAAACTTTCTTATAGAAATCACTTGACGATTATTAGAAAGCATTAAAAGTTGAAACTGAAGCGTAATCTGAAATAAAAGTGAAAAAAATTGCGCGGACGACAGAGAACAAACTTCCGGTTTAATAAAAAATGGCGGAGACGAAAGGAGAAATGAAGACGAAAAATTGGAGGATTTTCCTTTGCCATTATCGATCGATATAAGGTATGTGCACAAATTCTAGTTGCATTCATGGAAAATAGATACATTTTTGAAGGCAACAACATATTCAAAGCTTTCATTTTACGATAGGCCCAGGATCAATGGATACGACTCGGCAGTCGATAATCCCACTTTAAGCAGGCCCATGGCCAGGATTTGCCAAGGGGGGTTCACTTTTTGAAAAATTCCAGGGAGGGTTCACTTGTGACAATATTGGTCCAAAAATTTAAAAAGTGCTCAGAATGGTGAAAACCAGCATGATTTTGAAAGATTTTTTAGCTATGGGCCTGTTAAGGATATGACATTTATAGTAACACAGCCTTTCATGGAGGATATGCAAAACCATATTCATTCATCATCTAGCTTTTTCAAGTCAACATTTTCATCATCGCAGCAAGACAAAAACAGATCATAAATTACCATATCTTACCTTGGAATGGTGGCAGGTCATCTAGCCAGCCAAACCTCTTGGCAAAATGGCCCCTACCCCTTGGCTGAAATTAAAAACATTTGAACTAGAATGAATAGTACCATGGGTACTGCGGTCACATGGGAAGAGTTCAATATTTTTAATGTTTACAGTAGGAGCATTAAGTTTTTTGCAAATTATAAAAGGTTGATAATTATTTTGTAAAAGTACTTGGCTAGCTGAACTGAAAATTCAATTAATTCATAATAATAACTGTCATGTCGACCCATGATTATAAAATTTCTACTTTATCAATATGTATCAAGCATATTATTCTGCCTTGAAATAGCAAAACATTTATTCACTCATATTATTTAAAGATGGCAGCTCAATGCAAGCAATTAAGAAAACAACATACTGTACATAATACAGGATGTTTCCTTAGGCAAGTTAGGGCAGTTATTAGGACAAAACTCCATGTACATTTACATTTTTGGCCAATATAATATATCTACCCTCCGGACCTACGGCCCTCGGGCAGATGTATTATATTGGCCTCAGGATAATCCCAATATCCTGAACCTCATATAGGATAATCTCTATTTATCCCATACTTAGTAGTGTTATAGGTGAATACAGGCCTGTCAACTTGGGAACACCTAACATGAGTGACTTGGAAATGTTGAACACCTCCCCTCAAAATGTGGACACCTTGGTCCAAATCTGAACACCTTTATCCAAATTTTGAACACCTTGGTTTCCATATTATTACATCTTGCCAAATTTTGAACACCTCAAATTTTTCGCAAGTATATTCCTCAGATATACCTTGCATCAAATATATCTCCCGCTGAGGTGAGCGGGAGATATATATCACCCCCTCATCAGCAATCCCAGGAAATTTCTTTCGGTGCTTTTTTGAATATTCCCGGAATATACTTTGGCTCTATTTGAAAAATATTAATTTCATACACTGTTAAATGTTAAAAGCTGTTGAGTTTAAAATAAAACAAAAATTGTTGAGGACTTTAAATTGAGATAAAATATTCATGTTTTGATTGTAATTATCGTTTGTAATTACTACATTAGGATTCCCTAACATTTAATGCATATTTAATTCTCCCTACGGTCCCTCGGGTAGATGTATTGTATTTCCCTCAGATATACCTTGCATCAAAAACCTCCCATTAAATAACCTTTATGTAACACCTACTATATGTGTATGTGACACAGGCTGAAGTTCTCTGGGTAAAGGTCTCCAATGGGCTAGTCGCTCAAGGTAAATCTCACACAACTGCCTCTACAACACAAAAATTACCCAGTTCAACACAAGAATAATCAAATTAAAATACAAGTTGACAAATTTCCAAGTACCAAAGGGGTGTGTACACTGGTACATGGTACAGTAAAATATATCATTACTTGCTGAAGTCTCGGTATACAGAAATAAAATATACACATCTATCACTTGGATTTCTTATTCAGAGGGGGAAGATTTAGAACAGATAATATAAGTTATTGAATGATTTGAAGTGCAATACAGGATATATTCTGTTCGAGAAATTCCGTATTGGAACGAGACGAAGTCGAGTGCCAATACAGAATATCGAGACAGAATATATCCTGTATTGCACTTCAAATCATTCAATAACGTTTTTATCGTGTTATCCTCTGTATTGCTACTGAGATTGTCTCCTCCGTACCAATATTTTCTGTATTGCGACGGAGATGATCAACGTGGACAATCTCAGTAGCAATACAGATTGGTACAGCACAAGAACTGACCAATCAGAGGGCTTCATTTTACAGATCATACGATAAAGGTACTTACTGAAACTTGTGGAAATATTGCATTGCGCTTGTCATCTGGAACAAAACAATATCTTCAATCAGCCATCACATAGAATAATAACAGGACTAGAGTAGCAAATACCAATGAACAAATTTTTTTCTCAAACGGTTGTGTACTATTTATAACGATTCCTCATTTTAAATATACATTTCAATAAGTTTTCCTCTATGAACAGGAGGGAATGACTGTATGAGAAAATGCTAGGTCTGTTATTTTTTCACTTTTCAGTTCTTACATCATGACTAGTAGATGTGAAATGCTTACCATTGAGCAAGGCCTCTAGGAAGAGAATGACATGCTGGTTTTCAGACACTAATCCATCACAGCTCACCTGTAGGTACATGAACAGGGTATAAGTACATGAACAGGGTATAAGTACATGAACAGGGTACAAGTACATGAACAAGGTACAAGTAGATGAACAAGGTACAAGTACATGAACATGGTATAAGTACATGAACAGGGTATAAGTACATGAACAAGGTATAAGTACATGAACAAGGTATAAGTACATGAACATGGTATAAGTACATGAACAGGGTATAAGTACATGAACAAGGTATAAGTACATAAACAGGGTATAAGTACATGAAGAGGGTATAAGTACATGGATAGGGTATAAGTACATGAACAAGGTATAAGTACATGGAAAGGGTATAATTACATGAAGAGGGTATAAATATATGAACACGGTATAAGTACATGATTAGGGTATAAGTATATGGGCAGGGTATAAGTACATGAACGGGGTATAAGTACATGGAAAGGGTATAAGTATATAAACAGGGTATAATTACATGAGGAGGGTGTAACTATATGAACACGATATAAGTACATGAACACGGTATAAGTACATGATTAGGGTATAAGTATATGGGCAGGGTATAAGTACATGAACAGGGTATAATTACATGGATAGGGTATAAGTACATGAACAAGGTATAAGTACATGGAAAGGGTATAAGTATATAAACAGGGTATAATTACATGAGGAGGGTATAACTATATGAACACGATATAAGTACATGAACACGGTATAAGTACATGATAAGGGTATAAGTACATGGGCAGGGTATAAGTACATGAACAGGGTATAAGTACATGAGCAGGGTATAAGTACATGAACAAGGTATAAGTACATGAACAGGATATAAGTACATGAACAGGGTATAAGTACATGAACAGGGTACGCATGCATGAACAGATTATAAGTACATGAGCAGGGTATAAGTACATGAACAGGGTTAAGTACATGAGCAGGGTATAAGTACATGAACTGGGTACAAGTGCATGAACAGGATATAAGTACAGCACCATAATATGAAGAGAAATGCTTGACATTGACAAAAAATCACATACAATTACTCACTGATAAAGATATAATTCTATGCAACTGTGTTCTTACAATGTGTTTTTCAAAGATTTAACATCATACTGTTCTGAGTTTTATGAGTTCTGAGTACAATGTGTGGATTCCAGGTAGTTAGTGATCAAAATTCTGCAAATCAGTTATTGACAGATTGACTGAGGCAATTCTGTCTGCTTTCTGAAAATGGAAAACTTGGAGTGATAAATAATAACATCTAAAAAATCAAGTTGTTTTCTTTGTAAACTCTAGTTCCATAAATATCCAACACCTGGCTTTATGTACATTGGTTCCATTTAACAGTTTTGACCACTTCAGTTTTGGTTTTCATCCTGACCCAGCACTTTCATGTGTTCAAGATTACACCATCACAATGATCACATCCAATCTGGACTGTTCAGTTACTCTATCAGTATTTCAATATCAAATACAGTCGCATCAAACATTACAGGGTTCACAACTAATGTTGAAAACATGATTGCCACAATTTAACATATTGACATTCAGTCCACTGCCCAACAGGCAATTCTTTTTTTAAGTTCCTTGCCAACAAATTGGCAGTTGGACGATTGTGGGTTTCAAGCCCTGAATCATGAACATGCTCTCTCTCTTTTAGTACTTTAAGGCAATGACGTAAATTAAGACCTTGAAGAATATACATTCTTGTTAGCACTCATTATCAATTTCAAAATTAATAAGGATTTTTCCTAATTGGCTATTAATTACTAAAATATATGACATAAACATTATTATATTATATACATGTATGTGATAATAAATAACGCTATGTGTGGGTGTTATTGCTTCAAGATTTGTGCATTTGCGGAAGGGTGTGGGAAGCTTGATGGTGCTTCTGGACAAAAAATTAACTGCTTATTAGCCATTGGATATAAAATATAGGTATTTGATGTAAGTGTTAATTAGCCAATTCTACCAAGTACACTTCTTCAATTTCTGTTTCCTGAGCAAAATATGGCCCAATACTAGTTGCATAGGGCACAGGTGAGGGAAAAATAAAAGACAATAGGCCCAATAGAAAATGGATTATTTTTACCTGAAGTAACTTAACAGTTGTCTCCATGGTGAGCACATTGTTGTCATACAGGCCTATTAAGATACTGATGAACTGCTTTGGGTGCCTCTGTCGGATTAACTGAAAAATGGACATAAACAGAACATTTAATCTAAAATATATCATATTGCTTAAGTTTTGTAAGAAACCAATGATTATAGTCCACAATTAAGTTGAAGATTTCATCTTATGATTGAGACTTCTTCAGATTAAGTCCTTTTTGACTGAACATCTTTTTAAAAAAAAAACATGCGCAAAATATTATTTGCCTTAAAAAACTTGTGCAAAGTACACCAAATCACAGAACTGTTGATCAAAAGAGCAAGCCAGAAGATACCTACTTGTGCCAGTGGAGTGAATGTAGCCAGGCTATCGTGTAACATAGAATGTTCAGCCAGGCATATATTCACCAGCTCAGTCTAAAATTTAAAATTGATACATTAAAGTTATTTGTAATATGTAATTTTTGTAATATATTGATTCAATCATGATAATGTTTTTTTAATAATAATTTACTAATTCTAATAAATCAAGATCGACACCTTTTCCCGAAATAACTAGATAACGGCAACTCCGCGGAGTAGCAAATCCCAACGAACAAAATATCAATTAGCGAATTCCAATCAATTATACTCATTACTTTGGTTAAAATTGAAAAAATTAGATTTTAGAATTGCGAATTCCTGCAAAGCAGCCATTTTGAATTTTCTGAGATACAAATCTGAAAGATAATACCATAATTGTGATTTACTCCAAAATTCCTTCAATTTGAGTATAATATAGCCATACTTTGAAGGGATCGAAAAATTATTGCGAAATCGTACATTAGATGGCCATTTTGAATTTTACGAGGCTCGAATCAGAAAAAGATACAATATTTGCAATCTACTCTTAATTGCCTTTCATTTGAGTATAATAAAGCTATACTTTAGAAAGATCTAAAAATTAGCGAAGATTTCTGTTTTCATGTCCCCCATACACGGCCCCTGTGGGTCAGGATGAAAAACACGGAATATATGTGAAATAGATAAATGTTGTGAATATACTACCAAAATTTCAAACAATAATATTAATAATTACTTTGGTTCAGAATGAAAAATTTATGATTTTTGCGAGCGGCGGCCATCTTGAAAAATTTTTTTTTTGCGTAAAACTATTCACCAATATACATCTTTCCACTAAATATGAAGAAAATCCATCTACTAGTATTTGAGTTATCTTCCGGACAGACGGACGGACTGACTGACTGACTGACGGACGGACGGACAGATGGACGGAGGGCTTCACTATATCCCTACCGAACTTCGTTCGTTGGGATAATAAAATAATATAAACAGTGAGAGATGTTTTTGCTATAGTTTCCAAATCCTATTTTTGAATGGGATTAAACAGAGAGAATATACCTTATATCATATATAGTATTATTATTTATCCCACGATTAATGTGTTATCTGTACAATAACAGCTATCGATATTTCTGATATTATTGAAATCCGTGTGATATTTTCCAGAAAATCGTTTATCAAACTCATATGCGTGTGATATCGTTTATCTCACACATATCCGTGTGATATCACATCTGCATTTCGCGCCACAATATTGTTGGAAATTAGGTCAGATAATTTATTCTCTTTTGAGAAAATTGGTCCGTTAATTTATTCTCTTTAAGTTTCATTGGTGTATTGAATTACGATTGTGTATATAATTTGATAAGAAGGCTGCTAACTAACGATTAAAAAATGGTATTTATGAAGAACAATAAAGTGTTTCAAATGATATTCTAATTTCTAGTTTATATTGTCTGCCAATGCCCTGGAAATTGGATCAGAACTTCACAAGGTGATTGTAATCATGGGATAAACCCAATATCACATAACTTCTCGTGATATCATTTTATCACCTCGTAGATATCAAATATCAACACTCAATCGCTTCGCTCACTCGTGTTGATATTTGCTATCAACTCGGCGATAAAAATGATATCACTCAAAATGATGTGATATTCTGTATATATTATTACAGAGGTCATTAATATTATTATATATTAATATGATATATCATCTGAGAAATAAAATGACCAAATTATCAACTAACCACTGCAAATATAGAACCTCTTGTATATATAACCTTTATCTAACTAAATGTACCTTTGACATGGCAAAGATGCACATTGAGGCCTCATCCATGTCTCCTAGTGCCAGGTGCAGGTTGGCAAGACAGAGTAAGTCTAAGCTGGACCTTTTGGTAGACCCCTCATCAATGTAAATCTTCAGCACAGAGGCTGCTAATTCTGAAAGTATAATCATTATAGTAACTTAATTAATCCTTGATTCATTTTGGATGGTTTCAGAGAACGAAAGTCCAAGAATTTTTCCATGAATATGTGTATCAACAAGTTTTATGGAAGAATTGTATCAATGATATTGATGTATATATCATATACGTGTATTTAACTCATTTCTACTTTTGTCATATACATAATTTTGATCTTAGATTTTCATGATTTTTTGATTATTGTGATTAATTTTTGTACCTAAAATTAACTTGTTCTCAATAATGTAATTGCCAAACAGGTCAAAATTCAAAATACATGTAAAAGTGTCACATTTCATTTATGTTTGAGTGGAACAATCAAGGTCCTCGAGGTCACAAAAAGAAAGTAAACAATAGCGGAAATTTAGGACTTAGGTTTTTCCATTACCAAAAGCACACAGCTTTCATTTTCTGAATCTTCATGACTAACAACTGACATTTAGTTATATTAGTTAAAATGGAATAGGCCTAGCATAGAACCTGGTTTATACAAGATAAAGGCTAACATGCTTTAGAACACATGTATTTCAGAATGATAGGGGAAGCAGGGCAAGCAGGGCAAGCAGGGCAAGCAGTTCATTTGTTCTGTTGTACAGCAAATGACTCCTTATAGAGGAATAATGGGATTTTCTCACATCCACTTTGACCACAGGATCTAAATATGCATTTTCAAATAACAACTGCCTGAAGTGAATTTTCTCCTAATGAGAGATTCTCACCTTGAGAGTATCCAGTTAGTCTTGAATGTAGTATGACATCAGAGAGGACCTCTGGTTCCTTGTTGCTATAGATACTGAGTATCTGGTCACATGTAGCCTATAACATAAATGATTATTTTGTATCTAATTATCACTTCTCCCAACGATTAAACTAGGAATGAAATGTAAATGCTGTCATTAGTGTTATATCTTGGCAGTTTTATTAAAATGTTGGAAGGGTGGAATGTGAAAAATACAATGTATGTTTTGAAGGTTCTGGATGGGAGATAGGATAGTGGTGGATCCAGAGGCTAACAAGGGTGGGGCCCAAATTTTGAGTCAGTAAAAAATTTAAGCCCATTTTTTTAAATTTGGCCTAAAATTTTTTGAGGCCCTTCAAAATTTCTGGGCCAAAAATCCTTGGGACCCTAATATTTTTTTCTAGGCCTACAAAAGGGAGGGGTATAATGAAGTATAATGAAGTAATAAATAATGAAACATGTAATAACAGTGTACTCACATTTGGCAGATTGAGTTTACTGCTGGTGTCCTGGAATATAAGATGGTTCAGGTAGTGAATGACTCCATCTCCATACCCCTCCTGTAACAAACAAACTACCATTCATTAAGATAGATCTGAAATGTTGCAGTGCAGTTTCTGTATTGAAGAATGTACCTAGGACAGATCTACTGAGCAAGATTAAAATTCAGACCAGTTGTCATGTTATCCTACGTATATGGTTAACAAACAAGTAAATTCCTTCTGTTTCAAAAAATTGATCCACTGTAAATCAAAGGCATCAAACCATGAATAGTACAAAGGCAGTGAACAGAATGACTATCATAGTTGCTACTGGGCCGATATATGTCTGACGTCACACATGACCGCATAATATCCCTAAGCAACGAGCAAAAAGCAAATTTCCAAAAGATGACATCATTTAACATCCGGGCTTTGTTCACTTGAGGGAAAAGTGAAACATAGAAGCAAGAAAAGAAATCTATGGTTTCTGTTTTTTCTTGCTAAAAATCAACCCTAGGTTTAGTTCTCCAGAATATAAAACCTGTTTTGAAAGTAACTTCCAAAATTGTGGTTGATTTTGCAAAAAGGCTAATTTAATAAAACCTCAAAAATCTTTTAGGCTTACAATAACAAATGTTTTTTGGGTCCTCTTCTGGGGAGCCACCCCTTCCCAAGGCTCTCAATGAGTTACCTTTTGGTTTTCAAGTTTCATCTGCTGAAACTGTTCCATGATCTCTTCAACTGGTAGACTGGACATGTTATAGTAAGGCAAGGCTAGTTGACTCTCCTCTGCACTACCTCTGTAAAGAACAAAAAAATTTGTTTGACAAGAGTCGAGTGTTCAAATGGTCATTATATGAAGAGGAATAATTTCTAGTCATATGTGAGTTATTCACATTGCCCCTCAGCACAATGAATTCTAGCTTAAACACACGTGTTGTAGGCCTACATGTTGTAGTATCTATAATGATTGTTGTCAGATCAAATGCAACAAAAAATGAATACAAAATATATTTTGCCCTGAATTGACTTTAGCCTAACCTGAACTGAAGATGTCATCACAATATAAGTGGTATACAAGGCATTAACATGACAAAATGTCACCACCTAGTTGCTCACAATATTATTAGTTCAAACTTAAGTCAGATTTGAATTTTGAGAACTCTGTAGATGATTTTGAAAAAAATGTCAATTTGAAACAAGTTTTTGACCCTGAGAAGGTCATTGAAGGTGAAATCTCAAATCTAAAGTCAGATTTGTACTTCTGAGAACTTGAAGATGATTTTGAAAAAAGTCAATTTGATCATCGAATTGAAGCGAGTTGAAAAAACACTTTTTTGACCTTGAGAAGGTCATTGAAGGTCAAATCTTTTTTTACCTTGAAAATGTCGCTGAAGGTCAAATCTATATTCAGCTTTGAAATTTTGAGAACTTGTAGAAGATTTTGAAAAAATGGTCAATTTAAAGCAAAGCAAAGACCTTTTAATCTTTTTTGACCTTGAAAAGGTCACCGAAGGTCAAATCTTAATTCTAGAGTCAGATTTGAACTTCTGAAAACTTGTAGATGATTTTGAGAAAAATTGAAGTCAGTCTAAACAGTATTTTACTGGAAGTTGTAAAGACACCAATCGCCAACCGCCGCCAACTGCCGCCAACTGCCGACTGCCATCCAAAAAATTGAGATCATAACAATATGTCACCACTTTTTGATGGTGACATAAAAACTATGTTACAGAATTGAACAGTGTAGTTAGTCATCAAAAATCAGTCAATGTTTTCAAATAATGAACAGTAAATAACCAATCTGATTGGTTGAGAGTATTTAGCTATACTGTAGTTGAATATAATTGCATGGTGCTGGAAACTAGAGAAACTAGAGAAACTAGAGAAACTGGAAACTTACTTGCAGTAACACTGGGCCAACAGAGAGCAAGATTCACAGAGTAGGGCATTAGCTGACGTGTCTCTGTTCTTGGTGAAGCTACAATGTGACCTGGCAACCAGGTGTGCCTCTTGTAGTAGGTGTAAGTAGGCAGGGGGACCTGTAGTCTTGTGTTGGCAACCAAACTCCAACTTGAAAATCAGAGTGAATCAGATTATATTTAGAATAATGGAAGTCACAAAGTATTGAAAGCTTTCTATTGCTATGAGAACAGGCATGTTTTCGAGAGGGAGGTACATGCCTTTATTCAATGATGTTGGTAACCTTGCGATACAGACCTTTTTATACATTATCTATATCATGCTTGAATCATAGAATAACTTAATACCATGTACACCACTTAAGAACACTTAATTTGAGAATTTCAGGTCTTAAATAAGGTTACTAGAAAAATGAGACCTGTTTATGAGAGACTTGATGAATAAATATAAATAATTAAGGACTCACAGCCCCTGTGCTCACACAGTGAACTGGAACGAAAATGTGACTTTTGATGTCAAAATTGCCAATTTTTTAATCCAAGAGGACTCAGAAAATGGTGGTGATCGGTCAAAATGAAAACAGAACTTCATTGGATTTGAAAACGCAGACAATTTTTTTGTGGAGATTAAAAGTGAACACCAAATTTATTTATATAAAATGTGACTTTGATTTAAATTCCAGATTTATCAAAACTATGAAGACTGAGAAAATGGCAGTAACAGGTGAAATAGACACTGTAGATATAATACACATAAAATCTAAATCCAAAATGAATAGTACATGTAATTTGCACTGCGAATGATGATAGAAGATGGATGAACGAACAGACTGGTGGTCAGATGGATGTACTTTCCTTAGGCTCATTTTAGGAGTCAACAAGAACTACATAATGTACTAATGAACATGTAGACAAAAATAATTATAAAATACCCACTAAAACATAACATGCTAATGAAAGTGGGTAGATATGCCAAGGCATCTGTCAATGAATGTAAATATGTACTTTCGAAGATTAGTAACATTTTGTTATAATACAAATGAATCCAACATAGAAAATGTTTCCTTGACACTCTCAGGGACTTCTGATGTTTCATAAAAATTCTTTAGACTTGCTACGAGTCTTTTCGCCTCCTTTCAAACATCCCCATGCAAGGAGAAGTAGATGGGGGTCCAACGGTTTAATGTAACAAGAAAAATGATTACACAATTTAAAATTTAGCTAAGTTCATTTATCATCCATTCAGAAAATTTGGTTAATATTGTGCAAATGATCACACTACTATTCTTACATTTCCATATTCAGAACCTCCAAATCTCCCTTTCAAGGGCATACTTCCCGCTTTTAAACAAAACTTTGATAAGAAATGTGAAAAAAATATTTGAAAAATATGAAAAAATGTTGATTTTTAAAAAACTTTACTGAGTATACAGTCCCTCGGGTAGATATGCATCATATCCCTCTGGATAAACCCCGTATCCAAAACCTCCCAGTACATAACTCTTATAGTATATCACATACCATATCTTGGTAGATTTGAGCTGGACTGCTGTTTCTAAGTGCATAGACACTCCAGTTACCTTCACTGGAATAGAACATATGAGAACTTCAGTTTCACAATAAATGAAATTATTTGTAATGACAAAATGTTCAAATGATTGAAATAAACAGTGGAATGGCAGCATTGTGTCTGTGCTTTGGTGAGGTTTTCTTCTGAACTACTACAAGCATAGACAAGGTACAAATCCATGTTTGTACTACATAACAATGCACAAAGGAGGATTTTTTAAAGGTTGTTATTGAAGGTGAATGGTGTTCATTTAGAGAAATCATTTTCTTCTTTCATATTTCTATAAAATAAGGAAAAGAGGTCATGGGCATTTATAATAATAATTATTGTAACATTGATTTGCTCCAAGTTCTGAAAGGATCAAGCTAATAAATCAAACCCCTATTAACCATACAGGCTCACCTTTGAGAGTCCTCCATATCCTCAACCTTAGACATGAGCACCAGGTGTCTTCCTTTAACACACATGTCCTGGACACCTATGAATGGCTGCATACCAATCAGGCAGATATCTAAGTCCATCTTTGGGATTGCCTGCAATGAAAGAGACAGCTGTCAAAATATGGCCAATCAAGTATACTTACTAATTTCACCACCAGGTGGCTGCTTTGGGTTAATCAACATGGCAGATATATATGAAAGTTTCCTTAAACTTGAATATTATATATACGTATTAGTGTAAGTGGATCAATATTCATATAGGCTAATCATTATGTGTCTGATTTGATTATGCTAATGAATATATGTCCAGTAAAAGAAAATATTATCTGGCCAACACAAGAAAAAATATTTCATTTTTTTGTGATTTTGTAACATGGGTTCTATGGGAAATCCCCGACCTAGAAGTCACATTTTCAAAGAAGACTTTTCAAAGTTGGTAAATACTTTTTTAAACCATATTTCTAGATAGAATTTTACATGTAGCCTTCAAATATGATATCCCTTTAACTCATTTTGAATGTTTAATGAAGTAAATCAAGATTATTTCTACTCGTATCTAGTATACTGCCAATATCTACAGTACAGTCCAGAGCAGCCATCACACCTCGGTGCGACGATCGATGCACCGAACGACGCGCCGACTGGTGCAACGATCGATGCAACATTGGCGCGCCAAAGTGCATCTCGGTGCATTTCAAAGATGCACCGATCAGCACGTTTAATGCGCCGACCGACCCATTTCTCTATGCAACGTCCAATGTGCATCGGTGGATCGAGGAATGCATCGATCGATGATGTAACAATGGTTTTGGATCCAATTAATTGTAAATACTTCCTATTCATTCTCGAGAATATTCATGTTTGTCAGAAGCTGCAACTGAGCATTCCTCTTATACATTTATAAGAACACTTACATTTGTGACATTGTCAACTACTTCAATATTATGTAGGGCTGTAACATGACATCTAGTTGTGTAAGTCTCTATCCCTGTGTCAGTAATGGCATGTAGCAGTATGGGGCTGATCACAACCTGCAATAATATGCAGAAAATAAGCGTTAATTAAAGGCATGATTCCAATAAGGTAATGCAATATGATTCTGAAATTCAGATAACTTTAGAAAAAGCAGCTCTGTAAAGTATTTGTTTCAAACTTTAAAAGTATAATGGCTGGATCTCTTCTTTGAAAAAAATGTTACCCAAAGATCGTTATAGAAAACTACTCTCTAAATAGGAATGATCATCTTATAGTTTGGGATTCAACCACTCAGGTAACACTTCGGGGCTACAGGATAATGCAATCCAGAACTATCTTAGAGGGGCTATATGTCGATTGGATCAGTGAGTTAAGAAATTTATGAGTTACGTGGAGTATGGGTCAATCGCTTTGACCATGGGCTTTCAACTATTCTTCACCTTTTTGCTGTTTGATGTGTATGGGTACATAGAAAGCAGTTTCACATCTGAGCCTACTATGTTGTATAGGAATCCTTCTCTGTTGCTACTGATGAAACAGCTTAGGGACACTAGGTTGCCATGGCGATCAGAATGGAATGGATTCTGGTCATTCGAGAGCTTGGCTGCCTTGGAACTCTTGGCTGAATAAATAAAGATACACATAGATTTTTAAATGTTCTAGCTATTAAGATGGGAAATGCTGCACTGATTTATGATATGCGCAATTCATAACAGGAACATTTTGTACTAATTTTCCTTTTTTCATAAATTGAAAATTTTCTTCACTAAAATGTGGGAAGTTATTAGTATTAGTATGGTAATGTATTGACAGACTGCACCTGAATACGTGTTATTACACAATGACATTTCTTTAAGGTTATTGTGACCTCACAAACAGGTTAAAAGTTTAGTAAGAACATATTGATCTCTCTATTCATTATTGATTACATGGGATTGCCATGACAAAACATAAAGCCCTGCTAAAATTAAATTCCATGAATAGACTATCGTAAATTGTTTGACCGCAATAGTTTATAGTCTACAGTCAGAGACAGGAGTGGCACCTGAGGTGGTGTGATAACTTCAATAGGATATGGGGAATCCCCTTGTAAATCTGATGAAATATTAACTTTTGTACAACTGACTCACCCAAAGTATAAACAGGTACAAGTTGTAACGAGTGCAAACTGGTATCCATTGGTGGAAACTTCCTATACAGATATGTCGTAACCTCTTCTTTTATCAACTTACAATCTGAAAATGATTAAATCTTTGTCTGATATGAGCATTATATTTGTTGTTAAAAGTTTAAGTCTCAAAAATCAACCTTGCTAATTAAAGAATGAATCATTTAATAGATCCATTTAAATCTTACAAAAAACTTACAAGCCAACAAGATCATCAAGTTATCAAATAGTAACATATAACCTTCTAAATCAAGATAACCTTAAAAATAAAGATTATCCTGAATCATAAAGTTAGAACTGTTTGACTTCTTGATCTACCAATGTATTACATATAACTGGAGGAATATACTGGTTTAACAGTATGACTGTTTGACTTTTTAGAAAAATAGCATGACATGCCAACAAACAAATATTAAACTTAAAATTTTTTACCAAATCCATCAACTGGTATTTGATTTATCAAACATTACATTTCTTTAAAAAAATGGCGGCTATTTTGAAATGAGTGGCCATATAGAAAATGTGTCCTTAAGTACAGGTCCTTGCCCCATAAGATAAATTCCATAATTTGGTCCATAAGTGGTATATCTAGGTTATCAAAAGTTGGGCGGGACTCAAGACCAAAGCCAAAACCCACAAGTGAAAGGTTGTGTAGTGAATGTGGGGTAATTGAGGATGAGCTTCACTTTATCACAAGCTGTACGGAGAACTTTTAAAACACAGAGAACTTTTGTTTGAAACTTTTGTTTGATCTGAAACAGTGCAAATATCCAGATAAACTGTTTGAAACTATTATCTCTAGTAAAAGCTCTCATGTTAACTTACATTTAGCCAGTATATCACTCTTTTAAAAATTTGGAAAATGATTCAGATTATGTAAACATTTCTAAAAAACACATGTATTATGGATACACCACACTGATATTCTGTTATCATACCCTGACATGTGAAACTGATGTAAAGTAGTTTTGTAATATGTAGTTGTAGTTTGTAGTTTTTTGTACACTGTAGTGACTGATATGTCATTTACATGACATGGTTTTTGAGTCAATAAAAGATATATAAAAAACATATATATTTGATCACTGCACTCATATAAAGGAATAGACGGATGAATGGATAAACAGACGGAAGACCTCTCTATATCTCTACAAGACGGCTGAAATGTAAAATTGTTAACTTCAGTGATCTCTACAGGATTTTTTTTCAAGTGGGTGCAAAATTCGCATTTTCACAATTCTGTCCAAAATTGGTCAAAATATGCCCATTTTCATGATTTTTTCATTTCAAGTGGGTGCAAATGGATTTTCAGTTGGGTGCAAGCCTATTTTTAGAATCTCAGGTGGGTGCTGCGCCCACTTGCTTTACTGAACTATTCAGATGATACTTTTTAACTAACCTCTGCACTCAGGGTAGCCACAAATTTGGTATTCCCTTTACCATGGTAATCTACTTATATTGTAGATCCTGAACAAAAATGACTTACGGGAATTCCAAGTCTACAAAAAAAGAGTCTAGAATAAAGAAATAGATTTAGCTTAGATTCCAAATCAACAGGACTTAATAGGACTCTGATGCAGTTATTTCATATTTATTAAGCAAAAGTGAGACAACAGACAAATCAATAGCATCAATTGAAAGGAGCATTCACTCAGAAACAACATAGACATACAATGGGTAAGTGCTTATGATCTTTTAAGCTTAAGTATAGTATAATCATGCACATTTCTTGTTCATTTGAAGAAAATGGTTTTATCTAAAAATTAGGGAATCAACATAGTCTGACAGAAAAACAGTGTAAAACATGAAAAGACCATATCATCAAATATGAGCAAGTACTGATCAGAAATCAGTATTAAAGGGGCATCAAGGCCTGTAGAGAGAAAATTTGAAAAAATTTACTTTTTCTGAGCTATCAGGGCAACATCTGGCTAAACATCTTTGGCATACCTATGAAACATCCAAACTTAAACATATTTTGACACTAGTCCATGATTGTGGAATAATGTGCTGATTGTTGTACCTTTAATTTTCACAAAATTCATTCAGACACAGAAACATTATCAATCTATAATACTGATAATACCTAATGATTTATCTTCATACATGTATCTAAATTCTTCTTTTTTAGACCTCCATAGAATGAAAATGCTGCATGGCTTCATAGCACTTACATTTACTGTAGCTCTCTGTAGCTCTTCTAGTATAACATGCAATGAGTATGATAAAAGATTTAGTCGCCCCGGGGAGGATAATGAGTTCTACTGCAGAGACATATGCACAAAACAATTCCAACACTATGAAAAAGTCTGCTTAGCAGACCAAGGTGTAATGGATAACTGTGGTGGTAAGATTCTGATTCAATTTTAGGGTTAATTATACTTTAATTAAAATTTCTGATATAAGCTGGGAAAGCCCTGAATAACTGAAGTATAGAATGATTATACAGTGTACATGTATTTAGTCTTCTAATATTTGTTTTTAAATCAAGTTAATAATCATGTTGCCCTCATATAAAAGATATACATAGATTATCCTATATGAGGTTCAGGATATTGGGATTATCCCAAGGCCAATATAATATATTTGCCCGAGGGCCGCAGGTCCCGAGGGGAAATATATTATATTGGCCTCGGGATAATCCCAATATCCTGAACCGACTATAGGATAATATGTTTATCCCATACCAATCTTGGTCATCTGGTTCACATTGTTCAATCGTGGAAATATTTTAGAATATTCATGTCCAGTTTTGTTTTCTTGGCTGTGGGCGGATTTTCCTCAAATATTCCCACATTTATTTTCTCGAATTTCCCTTTTTTAAACCATCAAACAGATCCCGATTGTCTGTGTTTTCTCCATTGTCGTTTACAGTCATTACGCGAACGTTACAAATTATGAACAAATATGCGAGCGGCGATTATGGTCACTGCCCACTGGAGCGGGACGTAAAGCTATATCTGCCCGCTGATGAAAATATAAGTTTTTACAAACCGGCTTTATGTACCTGTAACACGGGCTGTAACACGTCCAAGTATGGGATAAATATATTTTGAATTAAATATTTGTTTTATAATATCACTGTCATAACATCTTCTATAATTAAACCAGAACAACGGCAACGCCAAAGCGTAGCGAATCCCATCGAACAGAAATGGCTGGCATTTTACAAACAAAATATATAGCAAACCCATAAGAAAACCCATAAGAAAGGCCACCATTTTCAAAATGGTTGCTCACTAGACAAGTTGTCATCAGCAGAAGTAATATGCTTTTAAGTAGCCACATATAAAATTTAAAAAAAATCGCCCATGCATACATGTAAATGCTGGCCATTTTATAAAATGGCCACCTACTACCCAAAATGTCATAAGACAGTATGCAATCCTTACCAGTATTCACATATCAAATATGAACAAAATCGCTCTATTACTTTTTGAATTATAATAAAAAATGTAAAATAACACACATAAAAATGGTGACCATTTTTCAAAATGGCCGACTACTCCCTAAAGTTTTATTTGACAATGTGCCATGCTTAAGTATTCACATATAAAATATGAACAATTTTCAATATGGCCGCCTTCTACCCAAAATGTCATTAGACATTAGGCCATGCTTAAAGTATTCACATACCAAATATGAACAAAATCGCTCCACTACTTTTTGACTTACAGTAAAAAATGTTATATAACACACGTAAAAATGGCGGCCATTTTTCAAAATGGCCGCCTACTACCAAAAATGTCATCAGACATTGTGCCATGCTTAAAGTATTCACATACCAAATATGAACAAAATCGCTCCACTACTTTTCAAGTTACAGCAAAAATCGTAAAAAGACGTGCAAAGGCAGCCATTTTTCAAGATGGCTGCCAGGTATTTCTTCTGTATTTACATTTCTAGCTTAATCAATGTCCTATATAACTTTTTTTACATTTAAAACATATTGCTATTACAGTTTTATATGCAGTACCTAAATTACTGTAAAATCGGCACTAAAATGGCCGCCATTTTTAAATGAGCGGCCATTTTGAAAATCAGTTTTCGAGCAGAACTTCTACCCCCATTGGGTATATGTGTACAAAATATGAACAAAATCGGGCTAACGGTATTTGAGTTATTGCCCGGACGGACGGACAGACGGACGGACGGACGGACGGACGTACGTACGTACGTACGTACGTACGGACGGACGGACGGACGGACGGACGGACGGAGGCGTTCCCTATATCCCTCCGAACTTCGTTCGATGGGATAATAAGTCATATGTTAACATTGAAATACATTTATATTTCTTGTAACAATATGACAATAAATACAATACATATCAACTAGCAAATTATTTAGTCAATAAATATCAACTCCCAAATTGTAATAAATTTTAATTTAAGGTTTCATGTTAACATTATAATTAACTGTAACATTGCAATGGGTCAATGAAAATGGAACCATTGTGTTCATACTCATAGTATGTGGGAAACAGGGTTGGGAGTGTTTTTCAAATGTCCATTCTGAGATGACTCCTTGTTAGTACTGCCATTAACACTTGAATAATATGTATGTTTAAGTCATGACCGTTGAATATCATTTGATATTCACTGGAAGTCACGTGACTTCCGTTGAATATCGCTAGTTATTTTTTAGTCACGTGTAGGACATGGACCAATAAGAGAGTGAGGAATATGACAGTGATAAAATAATCTAAAATATTTCCACGGTTGGTTGAACTTTCTGAACTGTGAGATGACCAAGATTGGTATGGGATAACAAGATCATCCTACAGTCGGTTCAGGATATTAGGATTATCCCTTGGCCAATATAATATATCTACCCTTGGGACCTACGGCCCTCGGGCAGATATTTTATATTGGCTATAATCCCAGTATCCTGAACCTCATATAGGATAATCTCTATACACAGCATTTTCCCAATTTGTTCATTTTTGGATATTCTCTCATTATAGTTCAAAATATCACTAGAGACCCCATGAACAATGAAACGAGCAGGTTATCATAGCTAAAATCATGCAAGTACAAAAGCAAAATATTACATTTATATCTTCAGCATATGTTGAGTGCATGCAAGGCCTAGAAACTATGAAAGAAAAACTAGAAACTATGAAAGAAAATATGACAGAAAAATTAGAAACTATGAAAGAAAAACTAGAAACTACAAAAGAGAATATGAAAGAAAAACTAAAAGCCGCATACATCGGACTATCATTAGTCATTGTTACTCTTTTAGTCATCATAGGTGCCATTGTCTGGCAACTTCTTAAGCAAAGACATCTTAAAAATCCACATGAGAGAAATAAGTTACATAATGGTTTACAACCAGCACCTGAAGGTAAGACATTAGCACATATTATTCTAAGAGGGGGGGTTAAAGAATCCAGCTCTGCCTTGGTTTCAATGTGGCTATTTGGAGCATGTAACGTAAATGATCACAGCTCCTGAACCAGTTGACTGGTTGTATTGAGACTTTCAGGAACAAATTTCCATAGACCTTTCCTGGTGTGTGCAAAATTTCATTAATGTCACTTGTCTAGTTTAAGAGATATTACCTACTTCAATGGTCTCATTTTTTCTGGTCACCCTGTATATGCAAAATTCACATAATTATGAACATTTTAAAAAGCCCAGGTTACACTGGGAGCCTCTATATATGGTACTTCTTCATAACACAATCTGTTTATTCACCAGAATGCAAAATGATTGCCTGGACATATATACTGATGAACTTTTACACTTATATTTCCAGATGCTGTATCACTGACAAGCTCTGCCTAATGATGCCTCTGAAGATTGCTGCTGAAAATTAGCCCAAGAAGTTATGTGAATTAAATGTTGAATGTATATACTGTAGTATATTGATATATAATAATCTATGTATTCACGGTTGAAAATCTGTCCACTAGTATTCAAGTTATCTATTGGACGGATGGACTTCTTGTAATATATAAATACACTGCCCAACATGTTTTGATTAAGAGCAACAGAGAAGCATACACTCTTTACATATAGATAAATTCAGACTGACAGATGGATGGAGGCCCTTACTATATCCCTACAGAACTTTGTTGGGATAATTAAATCAACACCAAAATTAGGCGCTAAATCATATGCTAGACTTTTGTTTAAATTTTTTTTAGCCAAAATATCATCTTGAAGAAAAACAAAGGCTATTATTTTTAGCTCTAAATCAGATGAAACATTTAAACTCAAACATAATTTGAGTAAATGTGGAAAATATTTTATTTTCGTGATCATTTCTCAAATGGAAATGTTGATATAGAATGCACACTCAGGTCTCTGTAAAAGTGTATGCTGCATAATACAATATCAGTACGAACATTTGTTTTATCTGATTTCTCAAAATATATGCAAAATGTTAAACACATCATGTAGGGTAGTGATATCTACTATCGTATCACCAGAGTCAATATATTGTATATTGTACAGTAAAACATGCATTATTGAATACATCTCTCTCTTGAACACCTATCAACAGTGAACATTTTTATACAGTAATAGTGTTATTTCATCAAAGTCTAGTACTTATTTGTATACTGTAGAAGTAGTGATATATACTATTCTAGTATCACTAAAGAGCCAATAGATTGTATATTGTACTGTAATTAAAACTACATGTATGAAATCATTAATTTGTTAAATAAAATAATTATATAAATTGTCTTAAAATGAAGATGTAATGCTAAATGATTTTTTATTTTGTATTCTTCAATAAATTATGATTAAAAAAAACAGATTCAAATACTAGAAAAACAACACCACAGAGTAGCAGATATCCCATCAAACAAAATAGGTTATACCAAAATCACCCATCATTTTGAACATTTCATGATACTGTAGTCTCTTTTTGGCAAAATCCACACCCATGACATTGACAATGACACCCTAGGACCTAATACCAATATGATATCAAACTTTAAAATGTGGAGTACATCTCATAAATGTTTTTTTAGTTATCATGAATAATCATTATTATTTTTTCTAAAAAAATATAGCCATTTTAAATTGAGCAGCCATATTGGAAATTCCTTCTCAAACAATTAATTTTGAAAATTCTTTCTTCAACAGAGGTCCTATGACCCTAAGACATAAGCATACAAGAACACAAATGTGTACAAAATGTCCCCACCAATGGGTGATCCCATCAAATGGTTATCCTGAAAATGAGTAGACAAGACTTTACCAACACAATTTGAGGACGGAAAATCCAAAATGGCCACCTTAAAATTTACCCAGAATGCCAAAAATTTAGTCAGTTCTAGATTTTCAAACTAAGAACCACCCCTGAAAATTTTTAATTGATCCGTCACACAGTTAACCAGAAAACATGTAAACAAGACTTTACAGACAAGATTTTAGGATGGAAAATCCAATATGGCTGCCTTGACATTTACCCAGAATGTCAAAAAACTAATCTGTTTCTAGATTTTCATACTAAGAATCATCCCTGAAAATATAACATTGATCTACCAAATGATTCACCTGAAAACGCGTAGACAAGATTTTAGGACAGAAAATCCAAAATGGCTGCCTTGACATTTACACAGAATGCCAAAAACCAAAAAAACTGATCAGATGTAGATTGTCATACGAAGAATCATCCCTGAAAATTTGAAATTGATCTACCAAACGGTTCACCTAAAAACACATAGACAAGACTTTACAGACAAGATTTTAGGACAGAAAATCCAAAATGGCTGCCTTGATATTTACTTAGAATGCCAAAAAACTAATCAGATCTAGATTTTTATACTAAGAATCATCCCTGAAAATTTGAAATTGATCTACAAAACGGTTCAACTGAAAACGCGTAGACAAGACTTTACAGACAAGATTTTAGGACAGAAAATCCAAAATGGCTGCCTTGACATTTACCCAGAATGCCAAAAAACTAATCAGATCTAGATTTTAATACTAAGAATCATCCCTGAAAATTTAGAATTGATCCACCAAACGGTTCACCTCAAAACATGTAGACAAGACTTCATAGACAAGATTTTAGGATGGAAAAATCCAAAATGGCCGACAATAAAAAAGTGATTATGAGTTTTTGCTGATTTCTTTTTACAAAATTATCACATATATCTACTGTTAACAATAACATAGGCTTTTACAACAAAGTACATCTGAAATTATTTATAAAGCTACTAAATAGTTAAAGTATGAAAACTCAAAAAACACCATTCAATATGATACAAAGTATTATCGTGCGCTAACTTTTCTTAAGACATTCAAAATGGCTGACATGACTGAGCTAACAGGTCCAAAACCTAATCAGATGTAGAATGAAGTGAGCTGAACAAGATGTTAAAGTTTTAAAAGCAACTGTGAAGCTGTTTTTCTTAAAGTTTGCAGACAAGGATTTTAGCATTTGACTTCAAAATGGCCGACAGGAAGTAGGTATCGAGTTAAATTTTTTTCATCCACATCTGTATGCACTCATAAGTTATCCCTGAAAATTTGAAGGTGATATCTGTAGCGGTTTTGGAGAAAACTCCCGGATGTACAGACGGACGGACGGACGGACGGACGGACAGACGGACGGACAGACGGACGCCCCTAGGCCGACAATATGGCCCCACACTATGTGGTGGGGACATAATAAAGAGCCAAATAAACCTACTCGTATTTGAGAAATCAAAGATTTTTTTACTAAAAAACTGCAGCCATTTTCAATTGAGTCAGGCCATATTTGAAAGTTTTTTCTTGGGCAAAAATTCTATTCTCACAAAATGTCAGCCTATGAATTTGGACCAAATCTTTATCATTTCCCCAAAAAATGGTGGACATTTGAAAGGATTGGTATCAATATGGAGAACTGAATTCAACAATGTTTTTCTCTTAAACCAATCATTGAAAACATTCTGTAAAAAACACGGTATTTTATGTAATGTTGACTGATTGACAGCAATTTAATGCGAAAATTATATAGAAATATTTTATATAACTGTTTTTGTTAACATTTTTGTTTTTTTAATGCAATTGTTTTTTGCTCCTTTGTATCAATTCTTGAGAATGAAATAAAATGTCTTTCCGAACCTTGTTGGAACAAAATAGCATATACGACATGTTTTTAGACCTCTCTATATTATATACAAAGGAATTTTTGGTTGATTTTAAAAAAGTATTCAAAAAATTAAAACAAAATCCCCCCAAAATAGATAAAAATCAAGATAAACCTTTTATTTCATTGACAAGATACTTTTTTTAAATCAACCAAAATCTCCTTCGTTCATTAATATTGAGAGACCTAAACATGTTGTGTTTATGTTGTTTTGTTCCAATGAGGTTCGGAAAGATGTTTCATTTCACTCTAGAAACATGATACCAAGAACAAAACAAGTGTTTGATGTGTTTTCTAAAACAATATAGATGAAAGTATAAATATATTTTTCAAATTATATTGTTACCATTCAAACATTCAAAAGATGACCATTAAATTGACAATGTGTAAAATTTTAAGAATTTTTTGATGACTGGCTTAAGAGAAATGTGTGTTCAAAAAGTTTGCCATATCGATACCCATCCTTTGGCAGTCACCTTAAATTTCTTTTCTTGACAGATTTCAGCCTTACAAATTTGAACCAAAATCAGACAACTGGTATTTGTTTTCAAAGATTACAAATTTACAAACAAAAATGGCAGCCATGTTGAAGTGAGTAGCCGTACTTGAAATTGCTTCTATATAAGAAGTCCTATTTCTATAAAGTATCAGCCTACAAAATTTGAACCAAATCTGATAATTAAGTTTAATTATCATCCAGACAGACAAATGGACAGATTGGCAGCATCTCTATATCTCTCACAAACTATGTTCAATGGAATGAAAAAGAACCTAGAGATCATTATGTGCTTACATGTTGAATTATTACCAGAATGTTTTTGACTTCAAAATCTCATGAACCAAAAAGACTCGGTAAATTGTAGACATGTCAAAACTAGAACAACTTTAATGAGCTATGATTCATGAAGCTTTGAATTTTCGGAATATATTCTTGATGCCTATATGAACTTAAAGATGTAATAAAATGGCAGTCAGAATCTCTTATTAGCTTATACTTAGCACAAATAACAACTCTTATCCTATATGCCAAGTAGAGTTTTAGGGAGATAAGTTGGTAAGATATATCCCGTATCCTGATTTTGAGGTTTCCATATCCTGAACCTCCATATCTCCCGCCATATCTCCCGCTCCAGGGCATATCTTCCCGCTTCGAAAAAAATTTGAAAAAATACGAAAAAATTGAAAAAAAAGAAAAAATGTGAAAAAAAATTTGAAAAAAATAAAAAAAGAAAAAAATAGAAAAAAATTTAAAAAATTGAAAAAAATCAGAAAAATGTGAAAAAATTGGAAAAATAAAAAAAAAATGAAAAAATTGAAAGAAAATTAGAAAACTCTACTTGGTATAGGATAAAGCAGTTATGTACGGTCGGTCTGGATATTGGGTTCATCCCTCGTGAGTAATGTACATCTACCTTCGGTCCCTACGGTCCCTCAGGTAGATATGCATATCTCCCTCTGGATAAACCCCATATCCAAAACCTCCCAGTACACAACCCTTATTTATAATTTGAACTAAAAAGTAAGTAATATTTCCCCTAAAAACATGATTTATCAAGATGAAACTGTCAACCTCCAAAATGTTATTATTTTGGCGGACTTTTGAAGTCTCTACTGTACTGTGGTACAAAGTTATTCTGGCATCAAATCTAAAAGTGGAAAATGGATGGATGGAGGGACAGAAAGACAGATGCCTAGTTGATCAAAAAGGCTCTCTATATGAGCCAAAAATAATATTTGTCTTTTGAAACAATTTTCAAATAAAAAATCAGTTTAACATCTGTACTTAATCTTACCAAACCTCCATAAATATGGGTTACCTGTCTCAATATGGATTGCATTCATATTTTTTATCAGTGGTATCCTATTTACATGCCATTTGGAATAACCTTATCCAAAATATTAGAATGAAAAATTATCTTCCCTTTGGCAAAAAAGGACATATACAGATTTCTAGATTTCTGAAATTCCATATCTGAATATTTGAACAATTATGTGAAAGAGCATTTATTATAACAATTATAAAGGAAGGAAAAAGAAGACATGTAAGAAGATATATAATTATTTGAGACTCAACCTTTGCCTCACTATATCGAACAAAACTTTTTGAGTATAAGAAATTAAATCAGCTCATTCAAAAATGATTCATAAAAAAATATTTATGAATGACTTAGGGATTATGATATTAAACCTTTCTTGAGTAGTCATTGAGATAAAATAAAACCATTCATAAAATTTCAAAGTAAAAGACAATGAATGATTCAGGAATTTTTGAAAAATTGATTTAAGCGTTTGTCTCGTCAGTTTAAATCTATGACTCATATAAAAAAAAATTAGTTGTAACTAAGAGGAGGGAAAACCCAAGATCTTAGAGATGACAGACAAAATTACATGTATATCTCTTCATTTACCACCTTCGTTTGTCCAATTTTCGATGGCTAGTTTTCGAATACCACATGTCGGTGTTATATTTAATCAATGGTAGCATATCTTTCTTCATCTTGTCAGAAATTAACATAATATTATCTAATATATATTTTTGAAGCGTTTCTAGGAAATTGTGAACCCGCCATTTTGTTTTCATCATTTGACCAATAATTTGTCTTTCTGAACTCTGGGGTATTCTGGGTATTCCCCCTCTTATATTAATTTACATGTACTGGTATGTCTAAATAAAATTACCAACTATTCAGTTTGAATTAACAAGTGCAAGATAACATCCTATTTTTCTTCAGAGGTCTAGTACACATGTCATATATCTTTAATAAGATGTTTGTACTTGGGTATCCTGTAGTTGGAGAGTGACTTTTTTAGAGTCCATTGAGGCTCATGTTAAACTGGTAAAGATCCATCCTGGTAACAAATTAGCCCGCAAGTAGGTTGATTTGTACCCTTATACTTTATCTGTACCTTTATGTGGATATAGTTACCACTGGTTTCTGAAAAGTTTTAGTTAAGACCAAAGTATATTCTTAGGTTACTAAACCAACCAATGAGAGGGGTCCCCTACCTCACCAATTGATCAGGGTTTCTTTTTCCACCTATCTACCACACAGGAACATCAACCATGGGGAAGATGTCTCCTTTTAGAATATGGAAAGGAACAGTGAATTAGATGTATATGGTTTTCTTCATCTCATTTCAGAAATTGAATATTAGTCATACACATACTAAATTGGTTTCTCATAGGCTGGCATCAGCTGGAAGCAATGGTTTTAAAATGTTTTAAAATATTCTTTATAAATGTGTGTGACATAGAAATAAATTATATTAAACTTAACTAAAACTTTCTTACCTTTTAAGTAGACTGTAACAGTACATCCAGCCTTAGCGTCATTGACCCCAGGTCCAAGGAACTCAGATTTACTCTTCATTTCCTTCTCTTTGGCCCTTTGATGAGCCTGCTCTATACTTGCAATACAAAGTGTATTTCTGGGATGGTTGTTTGGTTTTGATCTTGATGGACTAAGCCCAATGCTAGGAAGAGTGTCCTTATCAGTGGCTTCATCAGTTTCAAATACCCAGTCAACATAGTGTTCATCCTCTACAATATATTTGTGACCATCCTTAGTATCTTTCATTGATGATCTATCTGAGCTACTGGGAGAAGGACTTGGGGTGTATGTCTCTCTGTTGGTTGATCGTAAATCTACATGACCTAATCCCACATCCACATTGAAATTCTCAACACCTTCCTGTCTCTGTTTGATATTTTGAAGAATGTATTTTGTTTCTTCAGATTGGGGTTGAGGAAGGGTATCTTCTATAGGTTTGATTGCACTATTAACATCTTCTGACTGTTCACTACTATCAACATCCCCTTCCCATTCTAGCTTGATCACTTGTACAATCTGATGGTACGAACATGCAATGTAATCTTCACACATTGCAATCTCATGAATCGGAAAACTAAACCGTAGATCAATAAGATGTTTGACTTGTTTCTCAGAGGCTCCATTAGTCAAAGCATTAGCCCTTACAGAGTACACACTGACAGTTGCATTGTAAGACACAGCAAGGTTGCCACTCTTATCACAGGAAGCAATATAAGATGGGGAATCTTTGGACGCAATCTCATACATGTCTTGTTCCCCATTTTCGTGTTCTGGACTGTCTTGATGGTTGGACTGTCTCAAAGGTCCAAGATTTTGAATGTCAGAGTTCCAGTATATACGAATGAAGACACAATCAGACTTCAACTTGGATTCTTCCAAAGTAGCAACATATCCTCCTGGAATGTCATAATATATTATGCATAATTTATTACTGCAGACATTACAGTATTGCACTGAAGCAAATTGCAATCCAAGATGAAGGAAAATCTTTTATCCTAGAAGCAACCTTTGAACTCCCCTCCTCCAACATTAAAGTACCAATTAATATCACAATCCCAGACCATAACACCAAGGGACATTTCATTCATACTGAAGTCATAACAATATAATACAATAAAAACATGTTTTACCTGCATCATTGTGAATGATACGCTTGACTGCATCTATTGTCTCTAAAGTGTAGACATAAGGGCAGCCAATGGTGGTCAATGAATGGACCTGTATCTTACAGTTTTCTGTTGCTACAAACACCAAGTCCTTAGATACACATACAGATACTGGCTTGTTCTCCGTAGTGAAGACATCCTGAGAGTTGAAGTGATGACAGGATAGCACTCTCACCATGATTGTTGAATATCTTCAGTATTGAGTACACTTCAACATTGGTCTGCAAAAGAGATGTTTGATGATATTTGGCTCTCATCATTTGGATGAACTTTTTTTCAGTATGAGATGGTTAGATGGTTAGGTGAATAGATAAGATGAACAGAGACCAAAATTTAGGTACAGCTGGAAAATAACATTTTGGTAAAAAATTGCTATACCTGCACATGTTATTTTCTGGTACATAATAAACTATGAAGGCATGTGTTAATTTCCTTGCTTTTTTCAGGAAAGTATCATTACATTGTCTTCTTTTAGTATATCTGGTAAGAGTTCAATGGGAACTCCAGAAAATTCTGATATTTCACACTTTCTATTTTTCCAAATTTTTTTTCAAAGTTTCCAGACAACACAGGAGGTACCATTGACCTGTTTCCAAGTCAAGTGAATGTTTTTCTGCCAAATTTCAAAATGGCGTTTTCTGCTCGGACATTTTCGTAAATCTCTGGAGGTTGGCCAAACCTAACTCATTCTCAAAATTTATTTCATTCATTGTGTATCTCACTCCTAGCAAACCACCATATTGGAAATGGGTCGAAAAAACATTCACTCGAACAATTTACAAGTCTTGATTGAAAAAGAAGTATTTCAGCACTCCAATACTTGCACGGATGGATGATACTGATGTAAGACACAGTTAGAGACCAAAAGTAAGACCAAAAGTAAGCCGCTGATCTCATTATTCATGTTTTAAAGCTTTCGCAGGAAGTAAATCATGCATATTTCACGTCAAAATGACATACAGGTAACCTCTTTTTATTACCTGTTAACTTTCCCATTGACATGGTTTCTCCCTTATTCCATCCTTGTTGAACTGCCTGTGTATTTGCAGCCATCTGGTACGCCTGTGCATACTGTACCAGATGGTTGCAAATACACAGGCAGTTCAACAAGGAATAAGGGAGAAACCACCATCTACATGTATCTCTGCGTATAGAACAGTACCCAGACAGGCTCTCCTCAGAGCCACAGGTTGCATCCAATCTACAAGCAAGGAAACACTAGAAATTCTGACACACTGCACTCCTATTGACATACTGTTCAAATCCAGACAGGCTCAGGAATTTGCCAGATAATGATCTACAGTTGGAACTATTGGTCTGAATGAAAAGCTGCACGGAAAGTATGAATGGGTTGTCTGCTGTATTAATCTATTAATACAGTAAGACCTGTTCATGATGCTTTATAATTTAGACCAAAGTATAGAAAAATACACGCATGTGTAAATTATAAAATCAACGAACAAACATTCAATTTTCACAAATGTTCAGTAATTTATCGTATTGAAACTTCCAGATCCTACTAGGAAATCATTAATTTTCACGGTCCATAAGTTACCTCTTGGATATTGTGCTAAATGCTCTATAGTTGACGCAACAAAGGTGATATGGTTTCATTGAAATGTGTCTTCTAACCTCTAGAGGGTTTAAGCAAGGCTCCTAATCTTCAGGTAAATCTTATTATTCAAGTTCTACCGACGAATTCACATAGCTGTCAAGTGTCCCGCGAATGGCGGGATTATCCCGCAAATTTGATCAAAATTTGGCTAATTCGCGTGTCCCGCAATGTCCCGCGAAGTCACGCTAATGTCGGCTTTGACCTCCGCGAATTTTCAAAATTGTAACAATCCCCGAGGCTAAATAATTGTGATTATCTTGTGATATAAGAAGCTAAGTTTTTGCGCTTTTGAGGAATAAAATTTGAAAAGTGCTGCCAAACTCCCAGTGCATCAGATCATCGTAGACTGCTTTTGAAAAGAGCATATAGTCCATTTATAAAACTGCGATTTTGATCCAAATAACGCCATAGTTGGCTTCTCAAGTACCTAGTATGCCATTATTTGGTATCAAAATAAAGAGGAAAAGTGCAATTTTCATTTTAATTACGAAAAATAGGGATGTTATGTCACGTTTAGTTCCAACGTTGACCTTTTTACTACGCGTGTCACGGCCTTCATCTAAGAACTGAGCAAATGTTAGCAAACGCGAGTTCCAATAAATGGACACTGATATCTCGAAAAGAAACCTGACTCCCTATAATTTGATTTAGATTAATCCAACCCCAATTTGAATAGGTACATTTTAATATGTAACACTATGGGGGGGGGGTAAATGTTTCATAGTTGGTCACGAACACCATAAGTGCAAAGTATTGTTCAGAATTTTTGAATTTCGTGGATTACGGTACTCACAACTAAAGCGTGGTTTTTTGATACAGGGTGGTCAAAAAATGATCATGGAAACCCTGCATTTTCCTTATATCTTTGTCACTTTAAGAAATTACTCCCTGATATTTCACACATTTGTACATCATTCAATTTTCTACCGCCCTACCATATTTCATAACCATCGGACTGATAGACACAATTTTACAGCACTTAGAATAACATGCTTCAGATTTGGCCATTATCGCGCTGTAGGCAAAACAGCACAGTTGTCAATGAGCCGAATGGATTCCTCAGCAGGTATGGCCTGAATGACACAAATGATCTCACTTTTGAGGTTTGCAATTGTCCTGAGGTCATTCATGTACTCTATCTCTGCCTATATCCCCACAGGTAGGGACATTTTAGACGAAGAGTCAAGTTTCCCCACAACCCAATAGTGGCCACTGGGCATGTTCTTTAGAGTACTGTAACATTGTGACTATCAATCTGATGGTCGTGAAATAAAATAGGCTGGAGGCAAATTCAATGATGTACAAAAGTGTAAAATATCAGGGAGTTATTTTTTAAAATGACAAAGATATGAGGAAAATGGTATTAGGGTTTCCATATTTTTGACCACCCTGAAGTTTAATAATATTTCTATGCGTATTGTGTGGAATTGTGTTGACGTTTACTTAAGTTAAGTGCATTATATTTGATAAATCAGTATCTGAAAGTTTGATTTGAGAACTTTTCATTAAGCCCCAATCACGTAAATCCTTTTCAAGAATGTCCTGCGACATCCCACAAATTTAGGTGGATGTCCCACAAAATCCCGCGAATTTAGGGCACTTTGTCTAAAAAATCTGTCCCTCTATGAAGTCTTTGGTGGTAACCCTGTTACTGTCCCGCAATTAGCATGTTTGTCCCTCGAATGGTCCCGCGAAATCCCGTGAATTTGATCAAAATTTGACCTATTAGCGCAATCACGCAAATCCCTTAAATGTCCCGCGAAATCCCGCGAATTTAGGTGGATGTCCCGCGAAATCCCGCGAATTTTTGGCACTAGGTCTAAAAAATCTGTCCCGCGAGAAAATCTTTGGGGGTTGACAGTACTGCAGTCAGGCCACGAAAAAGACTCTAGATACTGTAGGCCTACCCCCTAAAATTTTTATATTTCATATTTTGTACTAGGCTTATTTAGCACAGTGAGCACCATCAATCTTCATTATTCAGTTATTATGTTAGATATTAGATAGATGGTGCTGACTATGCTATAGACTCTCATCCACTGATGCAAATACACAGGCCGTCCAACTGTCCCGCAAGTTGCGTATTTGTCAAGCATTTCAGTGGCGGATCTGGGCCCAAAAAAATTAAGGCCCCAAAAAGTGGGCCTTTTTGGTCATTACTCTGCCTTCTTAGGCCTTATTTTTCAATTTCATGCCAAAATTAGAAGAAAATGGGCCTCAAAATTTCTAAGTTTTGGCCCACTTTTCAGTTTTATGGGCCCAAAATTTTTTTTCGCGAAAGCACGGACGTTTTTTTCCTCCGACTGGAAAATTTGGGCCCCCATTGTTGGTTCCTGGATCCGCCACTGCATTTGCTTGAAAATTTGAAGTCACGCCAGTTAATTGCATGACAGAATAATGTATGTCATGCAAATACGCATTTTACCTGATTATTGTCCACGGACCTCTGCCAGATTACTCCTCTGTGTCTAGGCTCAATAAAGCTAACATAAAAATAGGGGCTGTATCCGGCTCCGGATCTGTGCACAGCTGGGGTCTATGTGGTAGAGCCCATGGTGCACACTGCACAGGAACCTGTATCAACACCTGACAGTTACAGTGACATCTATCGGTGACAGAACCCTGGGAATATATCTCTTATACAACATGTACATGTATGTATTTAAGAGGTAAAGTGATATTTCCGGGGTTCGGTCAAAAATAAATGTCACTGTCAGGTGTTGATACAGCACGGTGTATAACCCAAACGCTCCTACATGCACGATGGAGCGTTTCATTTACGCGGAAACGCTCCGGAGCGAAATAAAATGGCGGCTAATGAAGATTCCACTATGACCGTCATTATTGTTTCTCTCGTTTCTCTTACATATCATATGTTATGGTGAAATATTATGTACCATTCGATGGACAATACCGTGAGTAAAGATCTTATTTATTCAACTTCTGGTGGTAAACTGTTATTTGCTTGATCTAAGCTCCGTAGTGTAGATCGAACGAATCTGAAGATGACGATTTGACCACAAATTGCGAATTAAACTAGTATTTCTATGAAAACGTTAATCTTTCTGTTAAAATAGTAGATCACAAACTCGTATATTCTCATTTCCTAAAATCCCAGTCCAAATCCATTACTTGTTCTTAAGAAATCGCTTGTTTTCCTCGAAACGCTCCGTCGATTTAGAACACAATTTTAGAAACGCTCTTACCATTTTGTTTTGATATCATTTTCAGATTATTAGAGAAGAGTTCCGAATCGAATCTTTCTCTCAAAAACGTGTTGTACTTGTTAGGTAAATTGAAACATCTGAACCTGGTGGTGCCAAACCTGCAACTAGCTGATTTAAGCCTACATTAGATGATGTCATGCCTACATGTGTGCTAAATCATAAAACTATAGAAAAAAACGAAAATCTATATGTGAATTAATCTTTCTTCTTTTGATGCCAAGGGGTATGATAGATCTTTTCTTTCTCTTCCAGAAAAGGAAAGGCAAGCTATATATTTCCTAAACAGATCTAGACTACCGGAGCGTTTCCAGTTCACTGTATTAACCAGATCGGAGCGTTTCTTGAATATGAGAATGTCATCATTTTTAAGACTGGATTTTCGGTCATCAGATCACTATTACGATAATGTATGGTGCGTTGAAGCATTGGAAATTGACTAAAATATACATTGGTGCTCTAATCTTTGCTCAAATAATCACTTGTATCGACCATGGGCTCTACCACCTCTGATAGAGCCCATGTATCGACAAAAGGGGTTTTGACCGGTAGAATGACAAATACCTTTTTGGATTTTGATAACTATACTGCTTCGTATAGCTCTTCCTAATTGCTTCAAACGTCAACAGCCAGCCAATAACAACATGAATATCACACCCATCGAATGGTATACTCGAAATATGTAACTCATACCTCTTAATCCCATTATTGGGGAAATCGTCAGACGGCTCATCATTCCCGCCAGCCAGTTTTCCTACTCCGGAGCGTTTCTTTGTTTAATTTCAGTAATGAAACGCTCCGTCGTGTATGTAGGAGCGTTTGGGTTATACACCGTGTACAGGTTCCTGTGGATCTGTGTGACTGTGTTATTGTCAAGGAAGCAAAAATATTCCTGTAAACCAAAGAGTGATCGCCGATACAGCACAAAACCGAACGCAGAAAAAAAACGAACGCATTTCGTTCGGACTTTTCGCGCGGATGCCATAATGTCACGCATTTTTCTCGAAATATTTCGTGTAAGGTGTTCCCAAGTTGACAGGCCTGAATCCTTGACTCATTTATTTACGTGTTTATGGTCCAAACTACTACCTAAATTAGCCTTCACAAATGAATCACGGACTTTCTGGTCCGTGCTGATGACTCGAACTCTGCTAGGCTGCTAGTCTTCACGGGAACTCGGAGAGCGCATCAATGGTATAGTTTTGATATGCTGGCTTATATGGACTCAATCCTAGTCTAATATAGGCCATAGAAACTCTGCATCTAAGCATTATAGTACTTTACAAGTTTCTGTGCTACCGCCTAGTGGGAGTTTCGACTTCGAGACTATTCTTTTACGGGGAATCCCCTCCTTGAGATCAATTATATATGTGTGAATTTACAAATTTCAACATTAGTTCATACTCCGCCACGCAACGCAACGTACGTCGAGCTTGATATTCTGGTTTCATTACAAAGGTACGCATTTTTATATCATCTATTTCTAGGCTAATAAGGATTCGAGGCTCTTGGAAAATAACCTATTCATAAATGGTGGAAACCTTAGACTGGCAAAAAGGGGAATACCACCTCTGCTTACTCACTTCGAGAGCCATGTTAGATTTTGAAACTTATGGCTCTCAAACGGAGAAGTGAACAGCTGATCAATAGTGACCTTTGAAACTGAATTAAGTCGATCCGCGGCTTACTTTTGGTCTCTAACTGTGTCTTACATCAGTATCATCAATCCGTGTAAGTATTGGAGCGCTGGAGTACTTCTTTTTCGATCAAGACTTGTAAATTGTTCATCGAGTTAAAGTTTTACAGACCTATTTCCAATATGGCGGACTGCTAGGTGCGAGATACGCAACGAACGAAATGAATTTTGAGAATTAGTTAGGTTCGGACAACCTCCGGAGATTTACGAAAATGTCCGAGCAGAAACCGCCATATTGGAATTTGGCAGTAAAACGATTCACTCGACCTAACAATTACAAGTCTTGATCGAAAAAGAAGTACTCCAGCGCTCCAATACTTACACGGATTGATGATACTGATGTAAGACACAGTTAGAGACCAAAAGTAAGCCGCGGATCTACTTAATTCGATTTCAAAGGTCACGATCACTGAGCTGTCCAAATGCTCCGTGGGAAAGCTATTATATCAAAATCCAAATAGCTTTCGCAGGAAGTAAACCTCTGCCAGATTACCTCTTCTTGGTGTCTAGGCTCAGAAAATATACACATTTATTCTTTGAGCTTATTACCAATGTGGCTGGATCTGGCTCCGGATCTGTGGGAAATACCATAAGATCAGGGGTGTAGCAGAACTCTAAATAATTTGGGTATACAGTTTGGAACATAAATAAATGACAGCTGCTGAAGTGAGGATTTCCCATGTTAAAATAACAGAATTTTCAAGAGGCCATACATCAGTGGATGAGACTATATAAAACGTAAAATATATAAATTTTAAGGGATATGTATCTAGACAATATTGGAAATTATGGGCTTTCACACGACCATGATTAGGAAATGTTGATACATTATAGACCTGTAATTTTGTTCCCAACTGTAGGTTGGTAAAATCAGACGACGAGGTTTGGGACAAATCACTCAAGAAGTGGATTTTGTAGTTAATATACCAATATTTCAGGAAATTTACTCCCTTTTATAAGTCTGAGAGGAAGTATACATGAAAACTTTCAATCTTGAGAGGAAATTAACGGCTTTAAAAACCTCCTACCTCATACCCACCTACCCACATACGTTGGACATGCTACAGTCTTTGAAGGGTTTAATTTTAAAGATCTTAGTTTATGATGAATTATATATGCATTTGTAATAACCCTTGATAGCAAGTTGCTACTATACAGCCCAGCTGGGTTCGATTCCCACTCGGGGCATCGAATTGAGCACACTTTCTTTCAATTTCTTTATCTGGCTTGTTGGACCTACTGTATGCTCGCTGTCGTTAGTTAGTTATTCCCCTGGGGCGCCCTCCCGGGGCGCCCTCGGGTCATTAGACATTACAATGCACCCATATGCCTTTATTTATGGATCTTTCACCCGTCTAGTCATAAAATAAACCCTGAATTGTAGAAATGTTAATAATTAGAGGTATTTCGAGATTTAAAAATCTTTAAAATTGAACCCTTCAATGACTGTATCATGTCCCACTTAGGTGGGTAGGTGGGTATGAGGTAGGAGGTTTTTTATACAAAGCCGAAATTGACATGGAAAATGCTCAAAAAAAGGGGTCTTTGGCGCGGCACATAGGTATTAAGAGGTATATTGGAGTGAACCCCCCGGGGTTTTTACCAAGGGGGTTCTAGTTTTTCACCAACTGGGAGTTCATTAAATATTGATTTTTTTACCTAAACCAAAATACTAGCTCTACTTTGTTTATGGATGGCTATGGTCAGTGGGTAAAAATGCCAAGTTTCAACACAGGAACTTGTACCGACAATTATATTAGCGTGTCCACACAGTGAAGTTTCCCGTACCGACAATTTATAGCCTTTACGTTTATAATAAGGGTCTCATTTTGAAGAAAAATCTTTCATCTGTAAGATAAATGTCACTGCATAACATGAAGACACCATTAAATAATAAATAATTGTTGTCTCTGATACCCATGCTTCAAAACTGGATCTCAATGACAGACTTCCAATTTTCAAACTCACTTTCTTGATCTCCCTCTTAATATTTCATCAATCAACTCGATCCTGGTTTGCTCCTACACATATACTGTAAAACGGGTATTGTTAGCGAGGGGTAATTGTTAGCGATTGTTAGCGATCGCTATAGTTTCGCTAAAAATTCAATTCGCTAAAATAAACTGGGGTTAAAGTAAACCGGGCGCTAAAATTTGCAAATTCCCGGGAAACTACATGAATAAAACTATAGTATTTAAGGAGCTTTTCGTTCAGTGCTCAACTTCCGGTTTGTAATTTGAAAAAGTTAAATATTATTAAATCGTATGTTTCTTTCAATATCTAAAGGATAAATAGCCATCCATCCAGTTTGGACCAATACCATGTGCGTTAGAAGTCTTACATTTTGATAATTCCTCTGTCATGTCCGTTATTCATTCTTCTGCCATAAATGATAAAATTTCTAATGCATTTGGCTAATTTGATGTTTTAAAGATTAATCTTCATTTCGCTAAAATTTCCCGCGTTAAAACCCCCTAAAATTGAAAAATCGCTAAAATTTCCCGGTGTCAAAATTACCCGTTTTACAGTATTTCTTACCTCATTTGATTCTAAAAGTTGTGCCTGTCTCAAATTGCAGAGGTGTCACTTCAGTCTTTAATTAGCCAATATATTTCCAAATGTCTGCTAACTTCATGCAGGAATTATTTCTGAGTACATTACGAGCATTACTGATAGAGGTTCGTCCAGTAACTGTATTTAATCTTATTTGGCAATGCTGGAAATGTACTCAGATCCTGAAGAAACCGGAAATCTATGTTTTTTATTTTCCCATTGTCTCTCTCATTTCTTGCCCAGTTGCTTGCATCCTATGAAGAGCTTTCCTTTTAACTATTTTCCAGCGACATTTTTAGCGCCCTTAAATACATATCAAGAGAATGAGTACAAAACTTTTAGAAGATGCAAAAGGTACAGGAAAGAATAAAGAGGGTTCTGTACCAAAGAGACACTCTGCTGATGCCCATCCACAAGGTGTTAGAGGGGAAGCCTCCAGTGATCCTCAGTTTGTCCATAAACTTGATCCAAAGAATGACATTTGTTGTGAATGCAATCATGTATTACAAGATAGTATACAGACAGCGTGTGGGCACAGGGTGTGCGAGAGACATATTAATGAAAGGCTAGAGAGAGGAGAAATATATACTTGTCCAGGGGGAGATCAAGAATGTGTTGAAGTTAATAAAGAAAACAGACACTTATTGGTAAGGAACTATGTTGCAATATAAAAATTGGCTTTTGAACATGTAGAAATAAAATGTTGAACATGTAGCAAAATCAATTTCAATAGTTGGGATTCAATATTGAGTCTAAAAGCATTATTCCCATCATCAAATCAAATTTTAATTCAGTGAATGATGCCATCTATAGTCCCAAGGGCCATTATCATTTAGATTATTTTTTTGCAAATACATGTATAATTGAAAAATGTCTAAATAAATAGTGAAGTCTGTCTCATAGCTAGCTAAAACACATCTAAGATGTATGTATGCCCAGTTTTAACCATAACCTCGTTATTTTTTCATAATTTGATTATTAATGTCTTTTAATCATTACTTAAATATCCTTTCAGGCCTTCCCAGATTATTTTGCAAGAAAACATATCTCAACTTTACTTGTGTACTGCCCCAATAAGGAACATGGCTGCCCAGAACAAATACCTTGGAAATCTTTACAAGTAAGTAACAAGCGTGATCTGACATTACATGAATTTATTTATATTTTTGGAAAAACCTGTTTTACATGTTCCCCATGAACCTAAGTTAAAATTCTGAAGATTTTCCAAGTTAGCCTTTATTATATGAGAGAGGAAGCGACACTCTTCATTTGATGCTACTGTACTCTTTGCACATGTATTTGAATTCAGATTGTTCACAGAATGCCTGGCCAAGCAATTATGATTTCATATTTATATTTTCAGGAACATATGGCAAAATGTGATTATATCAAGATTGAATGCAAAAATGAAGGATGTAGTGAGCTTATTCTTGCTAAGAATATGGAGGAACATATGAAAAATCAGTGTATCTTTAGAATTGATAGCTGTCCGAAATGCAAAATGCCAACCCCACATGCACTTATTAATGTAAGTTTACATTATGTTCGTGTTAAAATACATTACAAGGAAGAAACAATCCTTTTCTTCAAAGTGATTGATTAATATCATGACATTGTACAAATTGTTTTCCTAAAAGTAAAGAGTTTGTATTCACTATTCACTATGTTTATTCATATACATGTATAATAGTACTTTCTGTCTCTTAAGAAATTAACAATATTTTCTGCATATGTAGCAATTATTTTATGATGTATTATTACAAGACCTATTCCTCTTCAATACATTCATATTTTTGGTGATAATGAAACTGCTTCTAATTCCCACCTTTTTATGCATTTCTTTGAATAAAATACAATGATTGACAGAATAGTTCCTTACATTCCAAGCAACATTTAGAGTATGACGAAACTCACATACATACCAAGTATTAGACTGTCGCCCACCCTGGTGTATGTATCAATGATGTATACCGATGTATAATTACTATATGAAATATATGTTTTGCTTATAGGATCATTTATTAAATCATTGTGATGAAGAATTAATAAAATGCCCATATAAATGTGGATTGGAGTTTAAAAGAAGGGAAAAGGAAGCCCATGAGAAAACTTGTACATCTAAACCTAAAGCCTGTGAATTAAGTTCATTGGGGTGTGATTTTAAGGTAAGAATTGCAGCATTAAAAAATATAGATCAATTAGAATACTTTATATGTAATTTGTACACTTATAATAGTCAAATCAAGTACTATACCTCTGGAATAATTTTAAGATGATCTAGGATGAAGGAAAGATCTTGTTCTGTCATTTTGGATGATATATGTGAGGTTTCACACAACAGGTTATATTGCTAAAACATATCTGCAACTGTGTTACATTTTAATTAACTACTATGCATAAATATAGTGAATGCGATACAGATTTCAGATACGTTGGGCTAAAAACATTGAGCAAAACCTATCTAGCCCAATGTATTAAAAGACTACAGTACTTACAATGTATTATAAGTTATTGAATGATTTGAAGTGTAATACAGGATATATTCTGCTCGAGAAATTCTGTATTGGAACGAGACAAAGTGGAGTGCCAATACAAAATTTCGAGACAGAATATATCCTGTATTGCACTTCAAATCATTCAATAGCGTTTTTATAGTGTGATCTTCTGTATTGCTACTGAGATTGTCCCCTCCGTACCAATATTGGTACAGCACATGAACTGACCAATCAGAGGGCTTCATTTTACAGATCATACGATATTATATTTTTCAGTTGCATTCTCATTGTCATGATGCACTCACTGCAGACTTGCCATCCTAAAATGAAAAATTTTTGGGGAGATTTAAAAAAAAATTGCGGTACTTTTATGGGAGTTTTTTCAAAATGTTTTTGCGGTAAATTTTGAAAAAAAAACCGGAGTTTTTACGGGAGATTTTGAAAAAACAGGAGTTTTTACGGGAGATTTTTTAAAAAAGGTATTTTTCGCGGTACATCTTAAAAAACGTGACTTTTTACGGAAGATTTCAGAAAAAACGGGAGTTTTTGCGCTAGGTTCTGAAAAAACGGGAGTTTTTACGGGAGGTTTTGAAAATAAATCTTTGGTCTCATAGCTTGTAAACCATGTGCTGTAGTAAAGCGCTCTGATAATTGGACTACTTGATCAGCTGACACTGTATCATGTTCCCTTAAAAACATTCGCATTTCCCTACTACAAGCTGCCATGTACTGCTCTCGAAGTAGAAGATCTTTTAAGGCATCAAATGTTTTCTCTGTTTTTGCTAATTCCATCCATCTTGAAAGATATCTTTCTAATCTACACATGAACTGGGTCGGTGACTCCTTCAGTTCAGGATGACTAGTGAAAAACTTTTTGCGGAAACCGCTTTCAGTCATTTGATAACATTTAAGGAGTGCTTCCTTGAGCTTTTCATAATCATCACCAACTAATTGATTTGTTCTATTGTAAACATTGAGTGCTTCACCAGATAAAAGGTTTCCCAAATACATACAATAGTTTTCCTGTGGCCAGTTTTGACTAATTGCATACCTTTCCATTCTTTCCAAATATGCATCCATACTATCTTTCTCCTCATTAAAAGGTGGCATTTTCGGTGCCTTGGGAATTTGTTTTGATTATTTCAAATAAAAAAACGGGAGTTTTTACGGTAGATTTCTGAAAAACGGGAGTTTTTACTTTAGATTTTGAAAAAAACGGGAGGTTTTACGGTAGATTTTGAAAGAACGGGAGTTTTTACAGTAGATTTCGGAAAAATGGGAGTTCTTAGGGTAGGTTTCTGAAAAAACGGGTGTTTTTGCGATAGATTTTGAAAAAAACATGAGTTTTTACGGTAGATTTCTGATCTGTTTAGATTATAGATACAACATTTTATTACTTTGGAAACGAATTGATCAAAGCTAAGTAAAATGTATACGTGGCAATCTGCGTGAGGTTCCATTTTTAGGTTTGGTTTTTCGCGCATGAGCATTAAATCCAGCGATTTAATTGGTTGAAATTATTATGACGCATGCGCAGTTAATAAATTAATAAGAACTTATAATCTAAGATAGATGTCACTTACGTTCATTATTTCACAGCAGTCCCTTCCGATAATGCGCCTTATATTGCTGGAATATTTTGTTTAGCGCCACATAAAAACAAAATGTATTCTCCCGACAGAAGTATGACAGAATATGAACTGGCCCCCGTTTGTGGACATTTGGTGTGCAAACTTATACCGAACTGATCGCAGAAAAGCAATTTGAATCATGGGAATGAAGTACTTTTAAGTTATTTATAAAAGTATCGATTGTGAACCATGAGAGCCAATCCTTCTTGGAGTAAAAGAAAGAAGCATGCCTGCAATAATCAAGGTCACAAATTTGTCTTTTAAATACGGTAGATTTCGACAGCAAAAACGGAGATTTTACGGGAGTTATACCAAGAATACGGGAGATTTTACGGGAGTTATACCAAAAAACGGGAGATTTTACGGGAGTTATACCAAGAATACGGGAGATTTTACGGGAGTTATACCAGAATACGGGAGATTTTACGGGAGATTTCAGCAAAAATACGGGAGATTTTACGGGCACATTTTAAAAAAAAATTACGGGAGATTTTAGTAGAAATACGGTACGGGAGTTTACGGGAGTTTTTACGGGAGAAAACGGTACGGGAGTTTGGTATTTTTTACGGAAAAACAAAAAATTTACGGGAGATTCCCGTAAAAAAACGGGAGGTTGGCAAGTCTGCACTGTATTGTACAGCTGTATTATTTCTTATAACCAATAATTTTTCAGGGCTCACAAGAGGACGTTGAAAAACATGAATCCCTGGATAACATTGAACACCTTGGTTTATTCGCTATTAAATTAGAAAATCAGTCACTTGAATCGAAGACGTTAGAAAGACGACTTGAACAAATGCAAAATGAAAAGCAAATATATGAGAAGGAAATGAAGGACCTCGCTGACCATATGGGGAAATTAGTAAAACAATATAGTGCTATGAATTCTAAAGTTCAAAACATTTCGGTAAGTGTTTTACATCAATGAGCTTGATAATTATTAGGAATTTGTGTTTAAAAAAAGTAAATCTCATATCTGGCCTCTTTTGATTATTGAATGGTAATCAAAGGTCTGTTTTTTACATTTGCTGAGCTCTTTTTTTTTCATTAGGGAACACAGTCTCAGGGTTGAATGGTACTTTTTCATCGACTAATGCATGAAGCAAGAACTTGTTGATAGTGGTACTTTTATTGATGTAATTGGTCCATACGTCTTAAATATTTCCCATAGTTTATATAAAACAGAAAACCATTTAAACAACATATATCTGAATATCATTGAAAATCATTATTAAAATATATTACCAAAGCTTCACAAAAACTGTAAGGAATACTAACTTCATGTATTTGTATTTTTAAATTTAGTTAGCAATGGCAAGTCATGCTGAGAAGGTAATATCATTAGAAGATAAATATACATCATTTAAAACTGAGACCGAATCATTGCGGATGGACTCAATGAACAGTATGGAACGAAGATTGGTCGCTATTGAGAACAAAGAAGACAGAAGTTATACTTCCACTAGTGGGGAAGGGGGAGCTTCCAAAGAGGCTGTAGGTAAGCATCATGACTGATCTTTGATTTATGGCACAAAAATAACCCATCATTAAAAATTGACCCAGGTCGTAATCTACCTTTGACCTTCAAAGTTTAGCCTTTTCTGACCTCTTCAGGTATGTGTAACATTTTGAAATTGTTTTATACTGTGTATTATTACTTGTTTAATTTGTCCAAAAGTACATACAGGTAATTGATCTTTTATTAGATCTCTCTAAAGGAGCTTCATTATTCTGAAATATAGTGACAAATGTCAACCTAAATGCCATTTCAATAACTTAATAAAGAAATAATTTTCCCTTGTCCCAGTTAAAAACTCTATGTTGCCCTTTGAAATCATAACTATTGTCGTTTTCAAATATTGTTCAGGCCTTTTTAAGAAATATAATTCTCTCTATATTTTTTTTGATAACATGAATATTTTCATTTTATTTTAGATGGTTTGAAAACGCAAGTAAGACAACTTGATAGAATGGTAGGACTCCATGATGTTCGTTTAGCTGAGGTAGACCTCAGGATGGACTGCAATGACATCACATCTTATGATGGACACATTATCTGGAAGATAACTGGAATTGAACAAAGGAAACGTGATGCCGTGAGCAGAAAGACCCTTTCACTGTACAGTCCTCCATTCTACACTAGCAAGTATGGCTACAAAATGTGTGGACGTGTTTATCTCAATGGAGATGGTATCGGCAAAGGCACTCATGTCTCCCTGTTCTTTGTTCTAATGAAGGGAGAATATGACAATGTACTTGAGTTCCCATTTCGCCAAAAGGTTTCCTTCATGATTCTTGATCAGTCATCCGAGAGGCGTCACCTCCAGGATTCCTTCTACCCAGACCCTAGTAGCACGTCATTCAAGAAGCCAACTGCCAATATGAATGTGGCATCAGGCTGCCCCCTATTCGTGAGACAAGATGTCCTAGAGAACCAAGGCTATTTGAAAGATGACTGTATTTACATCAAAGTGTCTGCAGACCTCAATGATCCACCTTTAGTACCTTTGTGATAAAGGGGCCTGGGAGCACCAAACGACTTTTGAAATGTAATTTCCAATTATGAAGTCTATTTGAGTAAATCCCAGGCAATCGGGCAATTTAGGAAAAAACTGAAATGCCAAAATATATGGACAATCTCGTGCCAAATTCAAAGAATGCTCATATTACATACTCAGGTGTCGTTTGGTCGCCCCTTTTACAGGCTGTCAAACATTGACATAGATATAACATGGGTGTAGCCAGGAGGGGTGTGCTCACATGCCCCACCCCACTAAAAAAGAAAAAAGCAATTTTGTAAAATTTCTGAAAAAACATTAACAAATTATAGTTTGAAATGCTTAGAATGCACCATATTCAATGTAAATTTTAATTCCCACATAGCTAGGAAAGGTGTGTCCAATACCAGCCAATCAGAACACGCGTTTTCACGTAAATGCATTCCATTATATAACCAACCATTCACCCAAGGTCACTCCTTCTAGATCCTTTTGAAACCAATAAGTTCATATTTGAATAAAATTGAGTAACATAGCGAATGACAAGCTACATAGTAGGTCAAATGTTAAGTGTTGTATTGTTGTCATGGTGAAAATCCATGATACCGACTGACACAAACATAAAAGACCTTTACTAAAAGGTTTCCTTGAAAATATATTTTTGAGGTAATTTCATACATTTTAAAAGATATTGTATAAAATATTTTGCGATGTATGAAAAGAATTTAAGCCAAAGACTCAATGCATTGTGGAATGACCATTCTTTTCAGGTGTTATTTCCTAAAATTAATACTCGTGCAAATTTTGGAAAGCAACACCTTGGAGGAATGGTCATTGCACTGAGTACAGGGCTTAAATCCTTCAAAAGTTTATACCCCAAATCGCAAAAAAGTGCACCCCCTTAACATTTGCTGGCTACGCCCCTGTATAAGCTTCCGTTATTTTCAGCTTCATAGATGTAGGGACCGGGGGTTCAATAGGTTCATACGAACCCCCGGTCAGGATTTCCAAAAAATGAATTTGCGGAAATAATCATAACATTTCTACCAGAAACATACTGTGCAATATAATAATGACCAGTAAATTCATATTTGTTATGGTTAACACTACAGCCATTTTTGTTAAAAACATAGTATAGATACACTTCTCTCCAAAGGTTTGGCAACCTTAGGCACAGGGTTGAATCGTCTAATTTTGGGAAGACAAAGGAGCATGACATTTTACAAAGAAATTTCAGTAATTTCGGATAATTTATTTTTTAACTTCAAAGCTGCTTCTTCTCAGACAAAATAAACCACCTCGGGCAATGGCTAAATTAATCAATCTTTTGTAGGAATTTGGTTTTAAGTCAGTTCTGGTGGTCCAATACGGAGCTATTGAAAACGACGCAGACATTCTATACTCCTAAAGATCGTTTTGCTGTAATAACTTTTTAGAACATTTACACGAAGACTTTTTGAAAATACCTGGAATCGTATTAAAACTGATGAAAACCCCTGTTCTTTCAAATATGTGCATCTCCATTTGTTTTATTTTAAAAATATTAAAAAATATTTCTTGGAAAATCCCCAATGCTGGTAATTAATATTTATTAGTAAAAAATCATGCTCTAGGGTCTTCCCAAAATCAAACGATCCCACCACATGTTAGCTCCCCTTTGGACTTCATGTTAAAACCTCTTTATGTTTGAATTTTTTGTTTATATAACCTGCAATGAAAATACTTATGATAAAGTTGGAGATGTACCTTAACTTTATTCCCCATACTGCCATACATCCACATTTTCTCTTAATTGTATAAATAGGTTAAAACTGATGACTTTGATGAATGTTTTAAAATCGCCGTTCACATGTAAACCAATGCAAAAAAGTGGTTTGAAGTTTGGGGCAAATTAGATTTCAGGATATTTATTCTGTAAAAATTCACCACAAAAATATTTTTGCATAGAAAATTGCATTGTCTAAATTTTAAGCAAGTTTCGAAAAGTGTTTAATTTTTTTCTTTGTGAACATTAAAATTACAAAGCTTCAAAGTCACTTTTAGAAGTCATTTTCACCTCCTATGTTATTTCAACGGGAGAGCTTTCTTGATAGTACATTGTATTTGGCTTTGGAGACTTATACGTTAGTTGAACGTAAGGAAAGACAGCAATTTTTGTTAAAGGCCCTGTACAAAGTTTGAAAGTTTTTGTAAAAAATTATTTCTGGAAAAAGTTTGTCAGCTTTTTCTTTCACAAATATTCAAATTTCCCACCATTTTTCAAACAAAAGTTGTACTTTTATTCACAAACTTTTCACTATACAGTGCAAAATACAAATCTTTTGAACACCATTGCGATGACTGAACAAAGGACACATTATTTCAATAATAAAATCGAATGTGCCACTTACATATATGTTTTAAATGCATATTAAAAGAATGTCCCACCCTAAATGTCATGATTGTGATGTCACTTAGGATGCAAAGAGATTTCTGTGTCAGTCTCGTCAAATATAAACCAATGTTGATTGTCCAACTAGGTTAAAAAGAAGAATGTTTGTTTTAAATATTATTACTGTACCATTGGTTTCTATGAGAACTAAGATTTTAAAATGGATTTTCTCTGAACCATTTTCATGCATGGATGAGTTACTAATTTTTTCGACAAACGCATTTGAGGATATTGCTATTCATTGTTGGGAACTATCGCTTATTAAAGATATGTGTGACCTTTGAAATTTAGTTTTAAATAATTCACGATTTTTCGAACAAAAGTCCTTCAAAAAACCCTTTTCACGTATCTCATCTTAATAACACAGACTACAAAATAAACCAAAGTGGTTTAAACTTTATATGGGGCCTTTAGGTAAATTTCAAATTCAGAATTCAAATTCAATTGCGAGAAAAATGGATATATTGCAAATGAGGTCATTTTGTTTTTTCAGCCCTAAAAATATTTTCTTGCAAATTAGAATTCAAGCATAAAGAGGCTTAAACATGTAATCCAATGGGCCGGTGGAGTTCAGGTGCTGGTGCTAAACTTTTGGAGATAGTGTAAATTGTGTGTATAAATTCAATTTGGTTCGTGTGAGGAACCCTAATGAAGATGGGGGGTTGTAAATAACATAATAAGGAGAACTCCTGGTCACCAAATCCTGGCAACGCCAGTGAGCTTAACCAACTCACGTATCTAAAACCTATTTTTGGGTTTGTATTGCTCTTTGTACAATTTTTTTCATTTTTATGTAGGCTAAATATGTTATTTCAAATTTTATTTGAACACATCAAAATATATCACATACCGTACATGTATAACTTGTGGCCAGTACTATGAAACTCAGCATTATTTACTTTTGAAGTACTTTTTATAATGACATTCTTAAATTCATATTAATTGTGAGATATGTGATGATATTATTGATATTGTTTGTCACTCTAGATCTTGTAAAATTAGTGTACATGTATTTGTTTTTTTATAGTAATTTTGCTGTGTATTATTTGCTTATCACAGCTTTATGTTAACACTTATAAATAATAAATAAATAAATAGCACTAGAAGGGATAGTCATGTTGAAAGTTTTGAATATTTTTTATGCATTCGTCATACCATGTCATGCATAGACCTATATGATAAAAGTCCAACACTTCTGACTTTATTTCAGGATATATTTTGTTGATTTTTAAGATACGCTGTTAAAAAATCCCATCAAATCCCATCGAACAGCCATGGCTGGCATTTTTACATAGTATATAGCAAAAATGGCAGCCATTTTTCAAAATGACCACCTTCTACCAAAAGTGTCATTAGACAGTGTGCCATGCCTATAGAATTCACATACCAAATATGAACAAAATCGCTCCACTACTTTTTGCGTTATAGTAAAAAAGGATGAAATGGCAGCCATTTTTCAAAATAGCCACCTTCTACCAAAAGTGTCTTTAGACAGTGTGCCATGCTTATCGTATTCACATACCAAATATGAACAAATTCGCTCCGCTACTTTTCGAGTTATAGTAAAATAGGATAAAATGGCAGCCATTTTTCAAAATAGTGGCCATTTTTCAAAATAGTGGCCACCTTCTACCAAAGTTTCATTAGACAGTGTGACATGCTTATAGCATTCACATACCAAATATGAACAAAATGGCTCCTCTACTTTTCGAGTTATAGTAAAATATGTTAAAATAAAAATGGCCGCCTTCTAACAAAAGTATCATTAGACGGTGTGCCATGCTTATACGAGTATACGTAGTATTAACATACAAAATATGAACAAAATCGCTCCACCATTCTTCGAGTTACAGCAAAAATTCTAAAATAGCGAGTAAATGCCGCCATTTTTCAAGATGGCTGCCATGTGCTTCTACATTTACATTTCTACATCTACATTTCTAGCTTCATTAATGTCCTATATAATTTTTTTACATTTAAAACATATTGCTATTAGTTTTACATATTGTACCTAAATTACTGTAAAATTGGCATTAAAATGGCCGCCATTTTTGAATGAGTGGCCATTTTGAAAATCGGCTTTCGAGCAGAACTTCTACCCCATAGGCCATATGTTTACAAAATATGAACAAAATCGGGCCAACACTATTTGAGTTATTGCCCAGATGGACGGACGTACAGACGGAGGCATTCCCTATATCCCTCCGAACTTCGTTCGATGGGATAAAAATATTCATTGAAACATATTACTCACACACTCGCTCAAATATGAAACAAAGTTGATTTGCTTTAATATTGAACCAAGAAAAAAAATAGCTCACGTAGAAAAAAGCATTTGTTCAGTGATCATTAGTAGTGCACGCACATGCTAATCAAAGTGCAT